GTGCCCCGCATCGCCGACAGCCAGGCCGGCAGCCTCGGCGGCCAGGCCGACGTCGAGATGGCGGATCCCGCCGCTGCCGCACCCGCCGACGCGCCCATCTTCCAGGCCGGTATCCGCCCGAGCATGTTCAAGGCGCTGGTCGGCAAGGGCCACGAGGAGTTTTCCACGATGCGCCAGCAGGATGCCGACGAGTTCCTCAAGCACCTCGTCGACTTCATCAAGCGCGAGAACCGCCGCCTCCCAGCCGCCGCCGCCGCTGCGCCAGCCAACGACCCGACGGCCGTCTTTTCGTTTGGCCTCGAGCAGCGCCTGCAGTGCAACTCGTGCAAAAAGGTGCGCTATTCGGTCGAGGCGCAGGATGCCGGCCTGGGCCTGCCCGTCCCGATCCGGCCCAGGGTCAAGCCGTCGGCCGGCTCGTCGAGCAAGCAGCCCGCCGAGGGTGTCCACGCGCCCGACGCGGCCAGCAGCGCCAAGGCCGCCAGCGCGCCCGTCGAGTACGAGGCCGTGTCGCTGGTCGAGTGCCTCGACCTCTTGACCGCGCCCGAGGAGATCGAGTACCACTGCCCGTCGTGCAACGCCAAGGTGTCGGCGACCAAGCAGACGCGCTTTTCGTCGTTCCCCGAGGTGCTCGCCGTGCAGGCCCGCCGGTTCCAGCTGGTCAACTGGGTGCCCACCAAGGTCAACGTGCCCGTCGAGGTGCCGCTGGAGCCGTTTGAGCTGGACCGGTACCTCGGCAAGGGCCTTCAGGAGGGCGAGGAGCTGCTGCCCGAAGACGATGCCGCCGCCGCTGCGGGTGGCTCGCAGGGAGGCAGCGCTGCGGGTACGGTGACGTTTGACGCGGGCGCCATGTCGCAGCTGGCGTCGATGGGCTTTCCAGAGGTGCGGTGCCAGAAGGCGCTGCTGGCGACGGGCAACAGCGACGCCGAGGCGGCCATGAACTGGCTGTTTGCCCACATGGACGACGCCGACATTGACGACCCCATCGACCCGTCGGCGCTCTTTATCGGCGGCGGTGGCGGCGGCGGCGGCGCATTCGCCTCGACGTCGTCGACGACCAACAAGGTAGACACGGCGATGCTGGAAGAGATGGGCTTCACGCGCGCGCAGTCGCTCAAGGCGCTGCGGCTCAACCACAACAACGCGGAGATGGCCGTGGCGTGGCTCTTTGAGCATTCCGACGACCAGGGCGACGTCGACGACGCCGAGGAGCCGGCTGCCGGCGCTTCCGCCGCCGATGCGCAGCCCTCTTCTGCCGCGGGCGCGGGTGCGGTGGTGGGTGGCACCACGACGCTGCCGGCTCGGTACGCGCTCAAGAGCTTCATCTCGCACAAGGGCCCGTCGGTGCACAGCGGACACTACGTCGCCCACATCCGCCGCGACGTCGGCGCCGGCTCCGGCTCCGGTGAGGGCGAGGGCGAGGGTGAGGGTGCGGGAGAAGGGTGGGTGTTTTTCAACGACGAAAAGGTCGTCAAGGCCCCGCTTTCCGCCAAGAAACCCGTCGCGGACGCAGAGGAGCATGGCGATGAGGTCGAGCAGGAGGATGTTGGAGTCGTTGGACTGTCCAAGCTGGCCTATGAGTACTTTTTCGAGCGCGTCTAGGTGACAGGCGGGGGGTTGGCACGTCGAAGGATGGAGGGATAGACACGCGGGGCCAAGGCTCGAGCCAGTCTGATGGCGTCGCGGGCAATGTACGGACGACGACGACGTCGATTTCGCCCCCTTGAAACATCTACGAATACAACGTCGGCCATTAGGTCTCTTCCTCGCCTCGCCTCGGCCTCACGACGTGGCCGAGACAATCAACCGAGGACCTTTCGTAGTCCATCAACGCCCTCGTGGATCGGCACGAGCGTGACGGGACATCTGGCGTGCCTCTCGACGTAGTCGTGGGCGCACGTGTAGCAGAAGACGTAGCCGCTCGGCAGCAAGGCCGGATTGGCGATGGGCGTGGTGCCACAGAGCGGACAGCTATTGTGGATCAGCTTGCGGCCTCCCTCCCCTGTCGTCGTGGCGGTGGGTGTGTAGGGGGGTGGTGGCGTCTGTTGTGCGTCTTCCTCTCCGTCCTCGGAGGAGGAGGAGGAGGCGAGGTGCGTAGCGACCTTGGGGTGTTTCCATGCCTTTCCAGCCTCCTTCCGGTCGGACCAGTGCGTGAGGATGCCACGCGGATGCGGTTGGAGAACAGAGGGCGGGCCGAAGAGTGGACCCGAACCCGACCCATCCCCGTCTCCTCCCGCAGCGCCCGAGCCGGATCCGGAACCGCGACCGCGACGCCGGCGCGGGTTGTCGGCGCCGTACCACCATTCGAGGAACTTGAAGAAGAAAATCGAGAGAGGCAGCGCGTACTTGAGGCTCTCGAAGACGAGGCGCGGCGAGAGACGGAGCAGCGTCGAGAGCAGGCGCAGCGGTTGGCTGAGGGGCGGCATGCGTTTCGGCAGCACCGGTCGACGTGGCTGCCACGGAGCGGGACGGGTCAGATTGGACGCGGGGAGGACAGCGGTACGGCTGTCAGTGTGAGGTGCCGAGGCGCGAGCGCAAAAGGGACGCAGCCCAGACTCACTCCATCGCCGCCTCCCATGCGGCGGACGTCGACGCGCATCAGCCAGAACCACGGGCGCCAGTAGGGCGTCTTGTCAAACAGGTAGCCCACGTTGTACGATAGCAGCCAGAGCTGGTAGAGTGCGCCTGCGTACGGGTACGACGTCTTGAAGAGGCGGAGGAGGGCGCGGTGCAGCCGCTCGCGCCTCGATGCTGGGGCCTGGAGGGCGGGGGCGCAAGGTGCAAAGTGTGCGGCGAAGAGTTTCTTGGGAAGGTCAGCGATGCGTTGGCCCCTAGCGCGGGCCTGCCTCCGATTCGCAAGAAGCCCTCGGGCTCGCTGCGACACACACCTCTTCCATGAGCCTCGATCTGCCGCCCGGCTGGCCCTCGTCGCCAAACAGGCCGTCATCGTCGCCGTCGAGACCGTCGACGCCTCCACCGTTCCTCTCCCAAAAGTCGTGCAGCTTGGCCTGGACGTAGGGCAAGCCGACGGCAAAGAGGAGCGAGAGCCTGACCTCGCGCCTTGTGAGTGCCTCTGCGCGCGCGATGGCGACGCTGGTGCTGGCGCTGCTGCTCTGCGCGCGTGTCGTCTGGAGGGCGGGGCGGCGTCGTCGCTTGAGGCCGTAGAAGTTTTCGGCAAACGAGGCGCCCCAGGTCGAGAGGTAGTGGCGCTCCACGCCGAGCATGACGAGGTGGTACACCTCGTCAAAGTGGTTTACGATGCGGATGAGGTGGCGCGGGTTGCGCTGGGCCAGGACGGCGAGGATGTAGCGCGCGGCGGGCTTGATGAGGTCGCGCAGCTGGTCCGAGGCCGCCAGCTCGAAGAACGACGGGTGGTAGGGGTCCGACGACGACGACGACGTCGGATCCACCGAGGTGAGCAGATCCATGGCGGCGGGCGGGCGGATCGTGCTGTGTGACGGGTGAACAGGGTGGCGGGACGATCCGTCGCTTGTGCAAGGTCGAGATGGTGGATGCGGGACGGCGGCCACCGAGGTGCGAAGCCGACACGAGCAAAGTGGAGATGCGTGGGGCTCGGGCGCGAGCCGGCCAGGCAACCGGCACGGGCCGACAGCCGGCGCCCGCACCCTGGCCTGCCCGCCTGCCTGCTGCCCAGCCAGCCAGGAGATTCCACGCGCGACTGCTTCGGGGCCAGCCGAAAAGCCAATCTAAATTCGAGGCGAAATCCGAAAAGTCGGCGGCAGGCCGACACGCTAGCAGCGTCGCTCAGACACCCACAGGAGCCCGCCTGCTGTGCTCGTCAAGGAGGGCGGTCGAGTGACTCTGCATTCGGCGCGAGCGCTGGCTGTCTGGCATGCACCGTCCGCTCGTTCGTCGGAAGAGGCCGCACTGTGGCTCTCGGATGCGGTTCCGTGGGCCAGGGCGAAGGTGGGCAGATCGGCTTGGCCGTCGCAACGTCCGACGTGGCGACGGTCAGATGCCGTCCGCAAGGGCCAAGCCAAGCCAGCGGCCGGGCCGATCCTGGCACCGTCGTGCCTCTGATGCTCGCAGAGTGAGGCCTGGAGGTCTGCCGACAGACAGAAAGAGCCTCACCTCGTCCAGGACCTTGCCCCACGACCACCACCACCACGACCACCACCGCGGCGCCCGCCATGTACCGCAGCATCACCCCTCAGGTCTCGATGCCGCAGCACTCCATCTTTGGCGAGGCCGTAACTGTCACCTCCGCCACTTCCATCAAGAAGCAGAAGCAGACCAACCCAGCCAAGGCTGCGGCGAACAACAACAACAACAACAGCAACAGTAACAGCGCCCCGAAACGAAGCGAAAAAATGGCCCAGCCAAAGAGGATCACGTCGCCCCTCTTCAACATGGCCGAGACGGCCGCAAACGCCATATTCACCTACGATGAGCTCGAGCCCAGCGAGTGGGTGGGCTGCGCTGCCAACTTGCCTCTGCGATCACGGCGCCGTCGCTGATTGTCGCTCTCGACCCTCTGCCTTCGTCTCCAGAGAGGCCAAGAAGAAGTCGGAAGCCGCGCTGGCCGCCCTCATCGACCTCGCCGTCGGTAAGTGGGCCGGCCGCCCGTGACTTGGCAGACGGCCTCAGTTGCAAGGCTCCCCCAACCCAGCAGGCACCGGCGGCTCCCTGTCCCTTCAAACCGGCCTTCGCCTGATGCGCAGTCCGATCGCCCTCTATGCCCCACGACGGCCGTCGCCACGCTCTCCGCCTCGCTTCGACCTTTGTAGACCATTGGAAGAGCAAGCATCGCCAGGCCTCGACCGCGTTTGACAAGCAGGTCAACGACTACCTCCGGGCTACCGAGAGCGCCTGCAACGACGCCTGCCGCCGCGCAGAGGAGCGCTGGTAAGCAGGCTCACGGCTCGGGGAAGGTGCCTGGCAGATCGCAGCGTGGGGATCGGTGCCGCAACGCTGATGCTCCAAGTCTGGCTCCGCAGCACGAGCGCCATACAGGCCGTCGCGGGCCAATTTGGCAGCGACAAGGACGGTGCCAAAGAGGGTCCTCGAAGCCCCGACGAAAAGGCAGCGAGCGCCTCGAGCGGCGTGATCGCCAAGGAGCGCGAGCACCTTGACCGCGTCCGTCAGGTGAGCTGGAAGACCAGCGAAAGCTCGCGCGTGGTCGATCGCCAGCTGAGACCGATTTCATTTTTCTGTCGCGGCGGTTGGCAGCTCCTGGTGGACGGCGTGTGCTCGACGATGACCGACTGCGCGGCGATGCTGGCCGAGAGCACCAGCATCGAGCTCGAGGCCCAAATGCGGGTCCACTGTGAGTGGAGCTGCCCGAGCATGTCTGCCGTAGCCGGGTATGGCCGGACGGCCATGGCGACGACGCCGGCTGCCGCTGACTGCATCCCCCTGCCCCCATTTTGGCGGCAGTCCGAGATCGCCGCAAGCTGCTGCGCGCCGACCGTCGCGCGCTGGTGCGAAAGTACCGAGCCAAGCTGGCCGAGCACGAGGCGCACGAAGGGGTGAGGAGCGAGTTGGCTCGCGTCCCCACCAGCACCGGAGGTAGCGAGATGCGAGCTCGTCGATGCGCCTGCGCGACTGAAGCTGACGCCTAGCTCCCTCCTGCCCCCCCCTCTCAAATCCTCGCACGCCCGAACAGACGACGATCCAGACGGAAACCACTCTGCAGCTGATTGGGCAGCTGGCGCTGCTGTGAAAAACGGGCGACGGCCGGGTTCAAGCCACACGCACGCGAGCCTCTAGCGTGGATCCGGGGCTGTCAATCGGATGTCCCAGCGGCGGCCTTTCTTTCGTGGAACTCTGCCTGTCTACCCGCGCCAAAGCCACTACCAGGGCACCTTTTCATTCTTCCAGTCGCGGAAGGAACCGTTGTCGTCCTTGCCGAGGCTTGCGACGACGTTGACGAGGTTCTCTGCGGCCTCCCAGGGCTCAAACTGGCCCTTTGCCTTGTCGAGGGGCTTGTCGCTGTCGGGTCCGCCGGTAAAGTCCTTTGAGAGGTGGGAGCGGACGGTGCCCGGGTGGAGTGCGACCGAGATGGCGGGTACGCTGCGGAGCGAGAGCTCGTGCGAGAGCGTCTTTACCATCTGGTTGAGGGCGGCCTTGGAGGAGCGGTACGAGTACCAGCTGCGGTGCGGAGGGGAGGCGGTTAGGAGATGACCAGGGAGCGGGACGAGGATGGGAGTCAGCTGCGTGTCTCTGGGCTGCTGTGGTGCCGCGGCGCAAGGGCCACGACTGCTCACCCTCCCTTTCCATTGTCGCCGATGCTGCCGACGCGGGCCGAGAGGTGTGCGACGACGCTGAGGTCGCGGTGGATGAGGCCGTTTGCGGCATCGTCGCCGTTGTGTTGCTCCTGCACCTTTTTCTTTTCCGCGCCGCGCGGGATGAGGGGAACAAAGTGCTTTGCCGAGAGGAGGTGGGCGAAGGCGTTGACGGCGAAACTCTCGTTTAGGGACTGGAGCGAGACCTGCTGGAGGTTCTTCTCGGGGCGGAGGATGCCGCCGACGTTCCAGAGCGTCTTTAGGCAGTGCGGGCCGAAGCGGGACTTGATGTCGTCTGCGGCCTTTTGCAGGGTGGACTCGTCGAGGGCGTCTACGCTGAGGGTGTGCAGGCGCGACTGGTCGAGCGAGGACGAGTCGGGTCCGCCGCGGTAGGACGAGGAGAGGATGGCCTGTTTTGCGCGCGTGGCGTCGCGCGAGAGGGCGACAATCTGCAGATTGGTCCGCGCCAGGTACTGACGGGCTACCTGGGCTCCGATGCCTGGTGGAGTGGACCGAGGCGAGAAGCAGGCAGCATGGCGGATGGAATGGGTAGGTTAGAGCGAGTGCGGATACGGCCGCCGTCGGAGCCCATGCCGACGAGGCGGGGCACTACTCACCACTGCTGGTCCCCTGGATGATTGCAACGTTGGGCGCCATGGTTGTGGGTGCTGTGTTTGTCGTCGAGTCGGGGTCGGGACGAGGCGGGGTGGGGTGGGAAGGTGTCTAGATGGAGGAGGCAGGAGAAGGTGTCGAGATGGACGTGGGCAAAGCAAGAGGCGATGACAAGACGGTGCGACCTTTGTTGGTTTCGACCAGCAGCTGGGTCGGTCAGTCGGTCGCTCGTCGAGCGAGAGCTGGCAGGCCATGGCGTGGCTTTCGTCATTGCCGCCGCCGCCGACCCCTGGACCAGGAGGAAGCAAGCAAGGCGTCGAGGGCGAGGATGGAACGAGGCCAGCCGCCGCCGCCGCCGCCGCCGCATCCCTCCACAATCCGACCCTGACAGGCAGGCAGGCAGGCAGGCAGGCGGGCGGTTGTGGTTTTGCTGAGCCAACGCGGCAGCGCCCCATCGACCCGACTGACTCAAACGCAGCTCGACTTCGATGCAGGGTCCAACCAACCGTCCAGCAGGGTGGAGGCTCGGGAGTCGGGTGTAGGGCGCTCGGTGCGGCCCTCGAGTCGACCTTGCTTCTTCTCAACCAGCGACAACCTTGGGCGCCGGCGCCATACACGCTCCCTCTGCCCTCACCTTGGCCCCCCCTGCCCGCTTTGCAACACATCCCAGCACTCCAACACGCAACAAATGTCGAACAAGGCGAAGGGCACATACACCGAACCTGACTCGGACTCGGACTCGGGCTCGGACTCGGACTCGGGCTCGGACTCGGACTCGGGTGGCAGCCACGCCTCGCGCCCGGCCTCGCCCACGACGCTCTTTGAAGATAGCCTCTTTGCCCTCTTTGCCCACAACCAGCCCGCCCACGGCGACCCGGGCGACGTGCGGACCTTCACCCATACCAACCTGCCCCCTCGCTACGTCCGGCTGCACCAGGACGACGACGACAACGCCGAGGGCGCATCGGAGGCGCCTTCTTCGCCGCCATCCGCCCAGGTACCCGCCCACGACGATTCCTCCCTACAACGCCGCCGCCGTCGGCGGAGGGACACGACGATACGGTACCGCCTTGCCCAAAACGACGGGGACAACACGAAGCTGTTCGCGCACCATCAGTGGGACGCTGGTCTGTACATGGCAGAGATGATTGCAGAGCATTGCTGCGTCCACCCACCTACTTCCCTCGACCATCCTGACGCTGCCACCACAACCGACGCCGGCAAGGGGCCGGGCACGGCGATACTCGACGTCAGGGCAAAGACGGTCGTCGAGCTAGGTGCGGGAACCGGTCTGCCCAGCCTCGTCGCTGCGCTGATGGGCGCCCGCCAGACGGTCATCACCGACTACCCGGATCCCAAGATCCTCGATAACTTGCGGGGGAACCTCGACCTCGCCCTCGGGTCCACCTCGACCTTGACCTCGTCCTCGTCCTCACCCACGACAAAGGAGGACGAGGGGCGAGGCAAGAGGAAGGTCGCTTCCGAAGCGTTCCGCACGGCCCGACGCACGACGACGGTAGAGGGCCTGTGCTGGGGCAAAGACGACGAGGAGACCGCCGTTCTCTCGCACCTCGATCCCGGACGCGTCCCCGCCGTCTCTGGACAGCAACGACCGCGATTCGACATGATCCTCGCTGCCGACGTACTCTGGGTCTCGTCGGCCCATGCGCACCTCATCCACTCGATCCGGCGTCTCCTTGCCCGCCATGCGGAGGCGCGGTGCATCCTCATCGCCGGATTCCACACGGGTCGGCCGGCAGTGACGCGCTTCTTGCGTCTGCTCGCTCAGCCCGATGCGACGTCCGACTGCGACGACGACGACGATGACGAGGACATGGCAAGGAGGGCAGGAATCGTACCGGATTGGGAGGCGGTGCACGGCGGGATATGGGAGAGGGGCGTGGGCGGTCGACAACGGCCCTGGAGCGGCGCGTGGATCCCCACCAGGTCGCAGATGCATCCCCCCACCAGCCAGGCGGACACAGAGGACAGCAACGGCGACGATCGGGCGCCCGCCGAGGAAGAGGAGATGGGCGACGTGTCGGAACGCGCCGCTTGGGTCGTTGTCGCCTCGCTCCGCTGGGCCGACCTCTGATCCGGGCCGTCGGTCGCCGCATCTCGCGACAGCCAGCTCGCACGATAGCTCGTCATCGCGTATGGAACATTAGCAAGTCGAGCTGGGACAGGAGCGTACAGGGGACAGCGAGGATATCAACAGGGGGCGTGCAGGGACGAGCGACTGTGCGACGTGTATGATGCAGTGCAGGGCAGGACAGGGCAGGGCAGGAAGAGGCGCCCGTGAGGGTATATGGACGAGCCGGGGACCGCCAACAAGGGGCTGCGACGCAGAGGCTAGGCGCGGTCGTCGCTCTGCTTTCGCTTCTTGTCTTCGGCCTCGCGGATGGCGGCGGGACCGTCTTTGGCCTCGTCGAAGTTGTAAAAGGGAAACTGCGGGGCACGTGGGCGGGAGCAGAGGGCGGGAGCAGAGGGCGGAAGTTGAGTCAGATGGATCGGACGTAGAGGGCAACCGAGGGGACGGGGGGAAAGAGGGCGGCGCCTGGAAAACTCACATCGCAGAGGATCGTCGACTTGATGGCCTTGGGGATGCGGCGGTAGACGGCGTTGGGGAGCGGGACGAGGAGGCTGGTCCTGTCGCGGTAGGCCTTCATCCTGGTCCAGGGGTCGCTCTCCCTCTGCTGTCCAAACGGCTCGAGGCTCTTTCCGCCGTCGGGGCCGTGGCTCATGAGGAAGTACTTTTGCTGCGACGGCTTCTCTGCGAGCGGGATGCCCGAGAGGCCCAGGAGGAGCGCCATGGTGATGAGGGGCGACACGACCGAGGCGTAGAGCGCGCGGCGTGCGCCGTCGTTGGCGGCGGCCGTGTTGCCGAGCGCGAGCACGTAGACGCCCCACCAGACGAGGATCTCGCCAAAGTAGTTGGGCCGGCGGCTGTACCTCCACAGGCCGGCGTCGGTGATGGCGCCGCGGGGCGGGCGCGTGACGCTCTTGAAGCGGTACTTTTGCACGTCGGCCAGCGCCTCGCACAGCCATCCGAGGGCGAAGAGGACGATGCCGACGCCGTCCTTGCCGTTGCCGAAGCCGACGTTGCCGCCTCCCTTGATGGGGGACGACGAGTTGGGGCTGTTGAGGAGCGTGACGGGCATGGTGATGGTCCAGATCCACACGAGCTGGAAGGTCCAGAACCCGGCGAGCTTGAGGGGCTTGGAGCGCATCTCGTCGAAGCGCGCATCGCCGCCCATCTTGATCATGCGGAACAGCTGGAAGCCGCCGAGGCGCGCCGCCCAGACAATGACAAAGACGCTGGCGACGACGTTGCGCGCATGGTAGGTGCCACCGGCGGTGAGGGTGAAGATGGCGAGGATGACGGCGTTGACGGCGGACCAGAAGTCGGTGATGGTGTCGGTCTGGAGGCCGTAGGCGATGGCGAAACCCAGCACCTGCCACCCGAGGGTGATGAGGAAGGTGATGAGGAGGTAGTAGTCGTCGAGGACCTGGACCGTCATGGTTGTGGGGCGGGGCGGTGTGCGCTTCGCCGAGAACAGGCCAAGGGGCGAGACACAGAGAGAGAGAAAGTGGGAGAGGGACGCGACGCTGGATGCCTGTGCGCCGAAGGTGGTGGTGTGATGGCGACGAGGAAGGGCGCGCCGGCGTTGGATCGTCTATATACCAAGCAGGCAAGCCGGCGTCGTTGGGACGCCACTCCACGCGGCCTGCCTTGGCTCTCTGCGTGCGTCTGTGCCGAATACGAATTAAAGATTGTTTCCGACTCGAGTCGAGTCGAGGCTGACCTGACCTGACCTGACCTGACCCTGGCGGAAGATCGAGGGCGAGGCGAGGGTCTGCTCATTCAGACGTTCGGCGTGATTCCGATGGAAGCCAAGAGCCCCGCCAAGCCATCTGCTGAGATGCCATCTCGCCCTCTTTCCCCAACCTCCGAGGCCGACTGGGCGGCATGACGAAGCAGCGGCACGAGCAGCTGGCAAGGTGCAGGCAGGCAGGCAAGGCAGGGCAGGGCGGGCCCAGCGCGTGTGGAGGCCTGGCCGCTTGGCCATGAGGTCATCCTCATGCCGCCGCCTCAGATCTGGCCATCCCCCCCATTCCGAATCCCGCCTTTTCGACCGTTTCCCTCCGCCTCCATCGAATGCCATGGGCCTGCTCATGCTCTCACCACGACCCACAACCGGCCACATCGCGATCCTCGTCATCATCAAATGCAGTGGCCAAAGACAAAGAGGCAGGTGCCATACACACAGGCGCCATTCTGCTACAGCGTGAGGCTACAGAGTCCATCATGGTGTTCAAACGCCTCTCGAGCGCGTGAAGAGGCCTCGGGTGTCGGCCATTGGTTGACAGCCGGCTCAGCCGCCCGTCCGATCCTGCCATCGCCAGACCGAGTCGGTCAGGCTCGACTGCTCCAGACTGCCGCCGGCCGCAGGACCATCCTGGGGCGAGCCAAGGCTCGCGGCGCCTCGAGACGCCTGCTCGCCGGCGTAAGGCCAACTCGGTCGCCTGCCAGCCGGCGACCACATGGATCTCTGTCGCTCGGCCAAGGGCAGCCCGGGCTGGGTGGCAGCTCCTGTCCAGCCCGCCGCGAGGTTGCCTTCGGGGTAGCAGCTCCTTGCGCGGTCGCGTGCCAGCCGCATCTCGTGGGCTCGCGGTGCGAGATGCTTGCAACGTCGATGGCTGCGCCCTGTGGCACCAATGGCCCGAGGTGAATGCGCTTTGCCGCTCCTTTCTGGGCGACCGATCCAGACAACCACTGGCCAGTGCACCCGAGGAGGAATGAATCTTGCCGCCATCGTCGTACTCGACGCTCAGGACGAACTCTCGCCCATACTCCTTCTGAACGGGTTGTTCGGATTCACTCCCCTCGCGCCCGCCAACCCAGACGTCGACGGGCTGCCAAACGGCGACGACTGCCGCGAGCCGTTGGCCGCCGAGACTTGGACACCTTGCTTGTCCAGGCTCTGCCGCGCGTTCCTCGCCGCCTCGGCCTCGCTCCACGCAGATCCCATCCCCGCCACCGGTTGCGGCACAGGCACCGGCTCGGGAGCCGGCAGGTTGGTCCTAGGCGCTCGCAGCGGCGACGACAGGGGTGACCCGGACCCTCGCGATCCCGCCGGCGCAGCGGGCGAGGCCGATCCGGACGGCGCAACGGCGGTCGTCGATCCTGCTGCTGTCACCGTCGTATTCGGAGCGGATCGAGCGTTGGACGACGTGCGCGGAGGCGGCGCCGCGCCCTCGATCAGCTCGCTCAAGTCGGCCATCGTCGTTGGCGATAGACCCAGGCCAGCTGCCGACACCGCCGGGACCTGTGGCTGCGGAGGCGCACGGACCGGTGCCTCGGTGGATGCAGAGGCCACAGGACTCGTTCTCGACTGGACCGTCGTGCCCGCCAGAGGCGCCGGAGGGGCCTGTGCGGACCCGTGCTGTCGTCCCGAGCTGGCAGCATTTGCCGTTGATCCCGACGCGGTCGCCTCGCTCGCGGGCGCTGGCGAGGATCCTTGCTGAGCCTCGGCGGCCCGCTGCTTCTTGGCGGCCTCTGCCTCGCGCTTCTGCTGCTCCTCGTGCTCGACGAGGCTGAGCCGCATGGCCTCCATCAGCATCATCTCCTCCATCTCCTCGCCGCTCGTCAGCCGCATCAGACGCGCAAGGTCCGTGTTGGGCCCTTCGCTCCGGCTGCCGCGCCCTCGCCTCCGCCCGCTGCCCATCATGGTGCCGCCCAGCCCGGGCCAGCCGGGTCGATCCTGCAGGATGATGCTGCCGCCGGGACCGTGCATGTTGATGCGGCCGTCCTCTGCGGCGGCGGCCAGATCGGCGCCCGCCCGCGAAGACGAGATGCCGATCGGGATCAGCCGGTCTCCGACCTGGCGCATAATGACTCGGCGGTTGGCCCGGCGAGCGATCGTGGCCTGGGCCTGGGCCAGCTTGACGTGCCAGTCCGGCCGCACCTGGTCGACGGTGATGACGGCCGGGTCGTCGACGGGGAGCACCTTTTTCTTGCCAGAGCCCTTGCTCCCCGCCGCCCCGCCGGTGCCGATGGCCCTCTCGGCAAAGTTGGCGGCGTCGCTGGCGTCGTTGGGCGAGTCGGATCCAGAGGATGAGCCGGAGCCCGGACTGCCGGCGGCGGCGGTGGCGGCGGCGGAAGAGGGGCCGACCTTTTGGGCCTCGAGGGCGCTGGGCGACGTGTAGGTGACGCCAAAGTCGGGCTCGACGCAAAAGGGGCACGAGCGTGCCTCGGACGACGGCGGGTTGGTGGCGTTCGGGTCGGCCCGCTTCATCTGGACAAAGCACTCGGTGCAGATGGGCTGGTGGCAGCAGCGGGAGAAGTTGAGCGGCGAAGGGTAGTAGAGGAAGCAGATGGGGCACTCGCTGTTGAAGGGCTCGGACTCGTACGTGTCCTCGTCGTCGGAGCCCTTGCAGAAGGGCGCCAGGCGGCGATCGACGACAGCCTGCCTGACGACGTGCTGGTCGTAGTCCTGCGGGCCCGTGTAGACGCCCTGCGGCACCAGGCCGCCCTTGTCGACCTGCACCGAGTCGCTCAGGTGGGGCGGCAGCGGTGGCGGCGACGCGGGTGCAGCCGACGTCGAGCTCGATGCGGCGGCGAGGCCGGAAACTGACGACGAGGGGGGCGCCCCGTGGCCGTGGCTATGGCCGTGCAGCTGGCCCGACGACGAGCGTCCGTGGCTGGAGGGCGAGCCTTGCTCCTTTGTGACCTGCTGGCCCATGTCGAATAGAGCGTTGGTAAGGGTGGCAAGGGAGGTCGGTGCGGCCGTTGGAGACGGCTGTCTGTCGCGCGCGGGCAAGCCGGTCGACGCCTCGACGACGCCCGGTCAAAGCGTCTGCGTCGTTCCCGCTCGTTGCCGTTGCTGGGAGGGGGGTCGGATGTCGTCGTCGACCTGCGATGGCAATGGCAGGGGAATGCGGAGGCGGCGAGCGTTGTCCGGAGCACGAAGATGCGGCTGACGAAGGCGATCGGAAGCCGCGTGCGATGGCGAGGTCGAGGATGAGGCGAGCGAGGAAGAGTCGGGATCTCTGTCCTTGGTGCGAGTAGCTCCCGAAGCGATGGCTAAGATAAGTCTGGACGAGCCAAGCTGGGACTGGCCGAGCGGGCTACTGAGGTCGGGTGACGGGGGGCGCGGGCCGACCGCGCAAGACTCAGGGGCTTGGCGGCGAGGACAACGTCGATGTCGAGCCGATCTGCGACGCCCAGGTAGCAGGGCTTGAGCAATGAAGGGGTCGGCGCGTGTCGTTTCGTGGCAAGTCTGGCCGAGCTCGACGGCAAGATGCGTCGGATGCGGTCGCCGTAATCAGCGAGGATGATAGAAGGGGGGCAAGGTCAGAGCGCGGCCCGCAGGACTACTCTCGATGATGGCGGACGTTGATGATCGTCGGTCGTACGTCGTCTGTTGCACCGGGGTGAAAGACCGAACAAAGGGGGGTATGAGATCGAGGGGGTCCGGGCGCAGGCAGATAGGGGCGGCCTGAGTGGTTTGATGTGAGCCGGAAAAGACAGTGCGACGGCGGCAATGGCGGAGACGGCGGCGGCGATGATGATGGTGGTGGTGGTGGTGGTGCCGAGAGCAGAGAGCGGGCCTAGGAGAGGCGCGGGCCGCGAGCGAGGTGGAGCCGGCTTCCCTCAGCGACGGAAGGCGTGGTCCGGTGGGTCGGGCGGGCGATCTGTTTGGCGGCGAGGCGGCCAGGAGCGAAGGTGGGTGGGACGAGGAAGATCGAGAGGCCAGCAGCAGAGCAGCGGCAGCAGCAGCAGCAGGACCGCCGGACTGGCAAGCGTAACGTTGGCTGAGGAGGCGAGGGCAGGGCAACCCTGAAATCGGCAAACTTGGGCGGAGGCCGGGCTGGCTGTGCAAGCAAGCAAGCAAGCAGGCGGCAGGCTCGCCCGCACTGGGCGGTGCAGATCCGCTCGTCCGCTGGTTCGCTCGCCCGCACCCTAGCCAGGATGTCGGCCGCCGCTGGACGGCTGTGGAGGAGGCCAGGGTCAGGTCAGGTCAGGTCAGACGATTAGAGCCTGCTCTGCTCTGCTCTGCTCTGCTCTGCTCTGCCCCTCTTCTGGCGTGTGGAAGCAAGCAAGCCTGCTGGCCAGCTGAAAGCGCGGCAGCGGCAACCCGTTGCTCGCCAGAGAGAAAGGGCAAGGGCAGGGGGCCTGGCTTTTGACTCGACCCCGCCCCGCCGCCGCCCCCTGATTTTTCGTCATCGCGCGCCTGCCCACCAGCCCAAGGCAGGCCAGGCCAAGCCAGGCCGAGGCAGGCCAAGATCCGACGCCAGACAGCCAGACAGCCCGCCGGCCTGCGAGCCAGCCGGCCTGTCAGCAAGCCCGCCGCCATCGACGTCTGCGACACGACTTGGCAGGCGGCTGGTCGGGCCGATCCCGAACGCCGTCAGCCTTGACCGGAGCCTTGACCGGAGCCTTGACCGGACCCTCCTTCGGGATGCTCTGCGAAGCCCTCAGAGGCCCTGGTCCAATACTGCGACGCAGCCGACGTGCTACCGTAACGCGCCGTCGAAAACGGGCAGAAGAGGAAGCCGACAGCGTCGATGTCGTCGTACGTCTCCGTCGTCCGCCGCGCCATGTCACAGGCCAGGCCTGCCTGCTGGGCGGTGCAGTCGAGCTTCGCCTCGCCTCATCGCTCCTTCTATCGGTACAGCCCGGCCCGGGCAGTGAGGCGCAAGCAAGAGCGGGCGATGGCTTCTTTGGCTTGCTTCTGCCGCTAGAACCCGGCCGGCCCAGCCCAGCCCAGCCCAAGCCCGACCCTCGCTGGAGAAACAAGCAGGGCGACCGCCGCCTTCGAAATCTCCTCTCTCTCTGTCACCTCCGCCAGCCAGCCCGCGACCATCTTCGAGGGCAGCAATACGAGGTCTTGGACCCGATCCGATGCCGACAAAAGCAGCAGCAGCAGCAGCAGCAGCTAGCATTTCCGACCATGCGATGCACCATCGCAGGCCAGCCCAACGAGGTCTGTTGGGTGCCCAGCGGCCTGGCCAGGCCGCCTGCCTTGGCGAGAGAAGGTTGAGTGGATTTCTACTCTTTCTGCACGCCCCTGGACCCGATTTGTCGACATCGGGACCAAATTTCAGCCGATTGACAGCTTGCATCGGCTTCCATCCCACGAGAAAACAGGGGCCAGCCGCGCACCACAGAGAAGGCGAGGCTGGGGTGGCCCGCTCCGGCGAGGCCGCCGTTCGTGGCGCTGCGACCGACGAGGTGGTCAGGCTACCTACCCAGCTTTCAGCGTCCAGCGGGTTCGTCTGATCGCGATACACACATGCACACCCAACTCCAGCCAGCGGCCAGCTCTCGAGCAGGGAGCCAGAAGCATGCTTCAAATGGCGCTGCGACCTTCTTGTGTCGAGAAGGGGGCGCTTGCGGAGGCGTGGCCAGGCCAGGCCAGACAAGAAAGGGCGAGCGAGAGAGGCAGGCGACGGGGAGGCGGGGCGGGCAGGCGCGCGGGCCAAGAGGGGAGGCAGGTGAGGTCGGCCCATCTGGCTGGCTGGCTGGCGTTGCGCTGGCTGTGATTCGCCGTGCGTGCACTGCTGGGCTCTCTGCGTGCGAGTCGCCCATCCAACCCCTCGCCTGCCTGCCTGCCTGCCCGCCTGCTGGGCCCCTCTTTTTTTGACCGAGAGGGAGGGAGACGGGCAGGGCCGAAGCGCAGCAATACGGCAGCAGGCAGCAGAGCAACAGCGAGCCAGCGACAGCAGGCAACAAGCCAGCCAACCAACCAGCCAGCCAGCCAGCCAGCCAGGCCAAGGCAAGCGCCGCCGCCCAACTCTACGCCCGCCTCGCCTGCTGCTGGGGGGCTGCCTGCCTGCCTGCTGCCAGCCTGCCAGCCGGCCGGGCCAGCGCCCCCCCTCTAACCACGCAACCCTCGCCTGGCGTGGCCTCGCCTGGCCTCGCCGCGCACGACTGACTGCCTGTGCCTCTCAACCACGCCGACCTCTCTGGGTGCCTGCTTGCTTGCCCGCGCTCTGCCTCCGACATCTCTTCCGCCCCGCATCCTCTCCGCACCTTGCCTGCCTCGCTTTGCCACACGTCCTTCTACCAACCCATCGCCTACCGCTCTTCCTCGACGACGACGACGACGACAAAGCTTGCTGTGCGCCTGCCAGCTTCCCCTACCCACCTACTACCCCTCCTCGGCCCTCCACGCCGTACCATCCTCTGCACGAGCCTGGCTCCCTTGATACGGCAGGTCTCTGAACTCACGACGCCGGCGAGCCTTCTCGTTCGCATCTCGCTCACACCCCAGGCAGCAGCAGCAGCAGCAGCAGCAGCAGCAGCAGCAGCAGCAAATCGAAGCGTCTTCGATCTCCAGGCCTTTTCCGCACCTCGTTGCTCGTCGTCAGCTCTGGCCAGACTTTTCAGGTTGCCTAGCCCGATCCTATCGCAGGCAATCAGCACAATCCCGCCAGTGTAGCGCTGCTCCTCCTTCCTGCCTCATCGACTGCTCAGGCATCGCCGCTCCGACGTCCTTTCGCCCCGCTCCGACCGCCTCGACGCTCCCGACGGACCTAGCACCGCTCCACCTAGACTCCGAAAGTCTCGCCACCATCGTCTTTGGTCCTTGCCACCTGCCATCGCAGATCCCGCCACGCCCTTCCTCGCAGGTCGACGGAGCACAAAAACCCGATCGCTTCACCTCTCTCCGCACCGACATCTACGTGCCATAAATTCCCCTTCTTCCCCTTCGGATAAAAGGTAAGGACTCGCCAGGAAGCATGCTGGGCCGTCGCCAAGGAACATCATCGTCATGGATGGAAGGCGGCACAATCAGGACACCCGTCCACGAGATGCCGGGTGTCTCAGACCGCCGCCTGGCCCGAGGCACAGCTGCTGGGTGTCGACGAGATGGATCAGGTTCAAGGCTTGGGAGTCGCTCGTAGCACTGCATCCTCGAGCGCTCGGACGGGTGGTCGGGGCCTACCCGAACAACGCACAGGCAGGCCACCTCTATCAGCACACCACAGGCGATTCTGTGAACCTACGTCGGCCAACGCAGAGCAGCCGTGCGAACCGAACGACAGGGTCGGCGGTCTCTTGACCGTCATGGGGGCCCCGGGGCATCCCTTCGGCGCCGATCCGTGGCCATGCCTCTTCGGTTTGAGCCCTTACGTGCGACTTTGCCCGCCCCATGGTCCGGGTCCACACGGGAAATGTCGCACCTTGACAGCGCTGTCGCGGCAATCTCCTGCCCGCTCGAGCTATGGTGCTGTGGGCTCGGTCCCAGCTTCGAGCTCGGCCCGGCATCAGCGCCACGCCAGGGGCAACTCTCTGCTCTGTTGTCAGAGCGAGAGGGTCGCATCTGCCGACTCGACGACGCATGGCGGGATGGGCGGACAGGCAGGGGCTGGCGAAGGGTTCTCTGATCGTGGACCTTCCGCACCGTCACCTCATCTAGAATCATGGCTTCAGACGCTGACGGTATCCCGGCCCCTCGTGAATCTCCTTTTCGCAGTCCTCGACAGGCAGAATGCAGACCATCAAGTGCGTCGTCGTCGGAGACGGAGCCGTCGGAAAGGTATGCGTCGCGCCGAGCCCGGCCTGAGCGCTCTGTCGCCCGCCCGCCCTTTCGCCGCGTTTGGAGCTTCCCGCACAGCGCAGATCTGACCCATTCCCCTGTCCAACCTTGCTCGAACCGCCGGCCGGCAGACATGCCTCCTGATCTCGTATACCACCAACAAGTTCCCTTCCGAATATGTCCCGACGGTGAGTGTCATAACCTTGCCCTGGAACGGAGACGGTGTTGTCGTGGGGCCACAGCTTCATCCCTCGAACGCCTGCTGAACAGCTGCTGCGGCACTCCCTTGTCCGCGCCGACGTCACGCTCCGCTCCCGTGCCCGCGTGCGACGCTAGGTATTTGACAACTATGCCGTCACCGTCATGATTGGCGAGGACCCCTACACGCTCGGCCTGTTCGACACTGCCGGTGAGTGCGCTGGGCCAGTCTGCCCCTGATTTTCCGGCGGCGCGCGACCCGCTGACCTTCGACTTGACCTTTGCGCCACCGCAGGTCAGGAGGACTACGACCGGCTGCGACCGCTGTCGTACCCGCAGACGGACGTCTTCCTCGTCTGCTTCTCGGTGACGTCGCCAGCGTCGTTTGAGAACGTCAAGGAGAAGTGGTTCCCCGAGGTGCACCACCACTGCCCCGGAGTGCCCTGCTTGATTGTCGGCACGCAGGTGGATCTGCGGGACGACCATGCCGTCATTGAGAAGCTGGCACGGCAGAAGCAGAGGCCCGTCGCATTCGAGGCTGGCGAGCGGCTGGCGCGAGAGCTGGGCGCGGTCAAGTACGTCGAGTGCTCGGCCCTCACGCAGAAGGGGCTCAAGAATGTTTTTGACGAGGTGAGCGACGGCGGCGGCCCTGCCTTCTCCTCTGGGGAGGCAGAGAGAGTCGGTGCCGGTCTGCCTAGCGTGTGAGTGCGCTGACGCTCTCCTTGCCGTATCCCGCGCGCGATGATCCCGCTCGTCCTTTCTCGCGTGGCTGCAGGCGATCGTGGCGGCGCTGGAGCCTCCGGTCATCAGGAAAAAGGTGAGCCTCGACGCCCGTCGCGTCCGACGTGCTAGTGGCCCAGGGCTCGACCACAGACGTGTGCTGACGGCTGCCTCTCTCTCTCTCTCCTGCTGTGGCATCGTCGTTGGCTGTGCGGCTGTCGCATTCGCAGTCGAAGTGCGCGATCCTCTAGATCGACTCGGCGCTTTCGTGCGGTCGCCCCTGTGCAGAGCGCGTTGGTCGGGCGCGGTGGTCTCTCGTCGACCCCACGTTGCTGCTGGGAGGGCGCGCGGTCGCTGAACCGGCTTGCCGTGCCTCTTGCCTCTGCGATCATGTTACCCCGCTCTCCCCCTCCACCACCTGGATCGCGTCGAGGCCGAGGCCGTGGGACGCAGCAAGCCGCGGGGTGCCGACCTCGAGCAAGCGCTCCATTCTGCAGAGCCACGAGGCACGGCGGTCGAGACCCAGCGGATCATCGGCATCGTCGCTACCTGTTGCTGGTGGGCCAGGTGCCGCCGCCCCGGCCTGGCTCGCTGATTGCATCTCGGTGGGCGGGGCTGGCAACGGAGCCCGCTTTGCTCTTTTCGCTGGCTCGCGCGCCCGTCGTCTGGCCGACTCGGCTGCCGCGGTCTCTGGACGCTCGCCCTGCAGCGTTGCTTTTCACGATTCTCGCTCCGTCCCGTGCCCGCCACTTGCCGCCTTTTCCTCCCTCTGTTGCCCCTTTGCCATCTTTGACGCTACGCTTTCCTTTCCGCCACCTTTCCTTCTCGATGCCGGCCTTGCCGTCTGGCTCAGCTGGCCGCTCGCCCCCTTTTTCTCGCTCCCGCTTTTCCTCTTTTGCTTCCGTGGCAGGCTGTCTGTTGATTTCCCCCTCTGACGAATATACACACGCGCTCGACGACGACCAAGGCCGGTACGACGTGAATGGACGAGGGTGGCTCGAAAGGATGGGCAAACGAGGAGGGAGGGAACAGGGCCGACCGAGAGAAGGGGGGATGCGGGCGGGGCGGCGTGTGGAGGGAAGCTGCGGAGCGAAGATGGCCGATGCGAGTAGACCCCTCTCGGCGCACAGACGGCCGGCGGCGGTGCAGGAGAACTTGGCCAGCCTGGACGCCGAGGCGGGTCGGGTCAGCCAGCTTGGACGCACCCAGCCTCGCCCGCACCCACCATCACCACCACCATCACCATCACCATCACCATCGGCACCGTCAACGACAACCCACCCTGACGTGTCCTCCGCAACCAACGCGGCGCTCAGCTCAGTAGACATGCTGCCAGCCAAAACCTGCCTCTTGGCCCTGGCCTCGTACCTGGCCCTCGCAGCCAGCGTACACGCCGTCCCCTCGACGTACCAGCGCCCCTTTGCCATCAACGTCGCAGCGCCAGCAGACGACGCCCGCCTGGCCACCCTCATCGGCCATGACGACGTCGCCGTAGATTACCCCGTCGACGCGCAGCGCCTCTCGCGCCTCACGCCGCGCTTGATGCCCGGCTACTACAACCGCCTCGCCCGCAAACACCAGAGGCAGCTCGAGCATCAGACGCAACGCAACCACATGCTCCACCGCAGCAGCGTCGTCAAGCAGCCCTCCAACTTCCTCGCAGAGCTCTCCGCGAAGCTGCTCGGCGGCACCGCCGAAGCAGACGCCATCGACCGCGACCACAACATCTACCAGCCTGCCTACCTCACACAGCCTCTCGACCACTTTGGCAACACGACCCAGGCCACCTTTGAGCAGAAGTTCTACTACTCGCTCCGCCACTACCGCCCCGCCAGCCAGCGCCCCGACGGCGAGGCCGTGCCCGTCTTTATCCTCGACAGCGGCGAGGCAGCCGTCGAGGCCCGCCTCCCCTTCCTCGAGAGCGGCATCCTCGACATCCTCGCAAAGGCCACCGGCGGCATCGGCATCGTCCTCGAGCACCGCTACTACGGCACATCGACGCCCAACCGCACCGCCCTGGGCCCAGGAGAGACGTGGGGCACCGACGAGCTGCGCTGGCTCACCAACAAGCAGGCTCTCGAGGACAGCGCCCAGTTTATCCGCCGCCTCCGCATCGACGGCACCGAAAACGGCGAGAAGCGCAAGGTCATCTACTACGGCGGCAGCTACCCGGGCGTCCGATCGGCCCACATGCGGCTCCTCTACCCGGATCTCGTCCACGGCGCCATTGCAAGCTCGGCCGTGGTGGCCGCCATCGACGAGTTCCCAGAGTACTTTTACCCCATCGCACGCGGCGCCGATGCCCGGTGCAGCCAGGCGATCCAGGCGGCCGTTGCCGGCATCGACGAGATCCTCGCGCCCGACCCGCTCGCCGGGTCCAAGCAGGTCAAGCGCAACGAGACCGAGGCTCGCCAGCTGCTCGACCTGTTCGGACTCAAGGAGCTCACCGAGCCGGCCGACCTCGCCAACCTGCTTGCAGCGCCGCTCGGAGCATTCCAGAGGTGGGTTGCGAAGCTCAGCTGATAGGGGCGAGAGGCGGGAGATCCGCCTGCCACTCTGCTGATTGATTCGTCCATCCTGCTGTCCTACCCCTGCGCGCCTCGCTCGCCCCTCTGACAGCCTCAACTGGGACCCCAACGTCACGTCGACCGAGTTTGGCGATCTCTGCCACACGCTGACCCACTACGGCACAAAGGGCTACGGCACGATGTCCAAATCGGCCTCGATGGTCGCCTCGGGCCTCTCCGTGTCGCGCGAGGTGCACGCCTACGCCAAGTTCATCCGGTCGCACTATGTCCTGCCCTGCCTGCGCGGCGACCACGGTCACGGCGGCGGCGACGACGATGACGATGACGGCGGCAACCCGCTCATGCTGGCGTCTCGGCCGCACACCGGCGCCGAGGGCGAGCAGAGTCGGGCCGACGCCTGTTTCGGCAGCGGCGACCTGTCGTCGTTTGTCAATGCCACCAAGCTGACGGCGGGCAAGGCGTGGACCTACCAGTACTGCACGACGTGGGGCTACATCATGACGTCGCCTCCTGTCGCTGCGGCCTGGACCAAGGAGGGACGTCCGATTGCCTCGGGACCCAAGCTGATCAGCACGCTGGTCGACTACGACTTTGCACACGACATCTGCGTGCGCGGCTTCCCCAAGGGCGAGGTCAACGAGGTGCCACCACGGCCCCGCGTCGACGAGGTCAACGAGTTGGGCGGGTTTGATATACAGATGGACCGTCTGGCCTTCGTCGATGGTCAATGTGAGTCGCTCGCGTCCGAGCTCGCCATCGCCACCGCCTTCCCGCTTCGCTTGGCTTGGTCGCACGCCCTCTCGTCCTCTACCTCTTTTGAAACGGTGACTGACAAATCCCTCCCCATCCCAACTGTCTTCACCTCATCCTGCTGCTACAGTCGACCCGTGGCGTCCAGCCACGTTGCACAGCGAGGAGTTCAACTACGGCGGCGCGCGACCCGATACGGTCCTGCGTCCCTTCCAGCTCATCCCGCACTGCTGGCACCACTGCGACGAGAACGGCGTCAGGGACCCGGCCAAGACGGCCAAGCGCGTACAGAAAATCCACGATGCCCAGATCGGCTACGTGCGCGAGTGGCTCAAGATGGATTGAGACGGTGGGCCAGGATGGAATCGACGGCATGAAGAGACCGACGGTGGGTGGATGGTATTTCGAAGGGGGATCAATGACAACATTGCCGTGCATGGTCGGGTAGATCGCGTTCCGCTCCGTCTGCATCACTCCTGCATCTCCTCGCCCTCGTCATCGTCGTCATCATCATCATCGACGACGCCCACGACGCCATCACCGCGCGCCGGCTCGTTGCCGTCGATATCGACCTTGTACTGCCCCTGCAGCCTGCGCAACCGGTCGCCAAACGTCTTGCGCACGCCAACGTTGCTGAGCGCGTTCCAGATCTGCAGCTTGCCCGCGCTGCCCGCCGCGGCGATCGTCATGGGATCGTCGGGCGAGAAGGTGGCCGAAAACACCTTGCCCACGCCCAGGTCGCGCGACGTGACCAGGTTGATGCTCTTGCCACCCGCGGCCCCCGCTCCCGCACCCGCCGTCGTTGTGCTGCCGCCGCTGCTCTCAATGTTCCAGATCTTGACCGTCTTGTCGCTCCCGCCCGTCAGGATGCAGCCGGGAATGTGGGGCGAAATGTCGAGCGACGTGCATGCCGTATCGTGGGCCGAGAGGGTGAAGAGGGCGGGGGCATTTGCCTGTTCGGCCAGGCTCGACGTCGACGAGGGCAGCGCGCGCGCGTCAAACGCCTGCACCAGGCCGGACTCCATCGAGACCATGAACTCGTTTTCCGCCCAGCCGTTCCAGCGCACCGCCTCGACGTCGGCGCCGATCCGGCACGACACGGCCACGTCGGGCGTGCGGGTATCAAAGATGCGGATCGACTTGTCGTAGGAGCCCGTCAGCAGGACGGCCGGGTTGGCGCACGCGCTGGCGCCGGGCGCTCCCGCGTGCCACGCCACGCTCTGCACCTTGTCGGTGTGGGCGTCAAACGAGCGCAGCGCCACCGAGTCCTCTCCCGTGTTGGGCCGCGAGAGGTCCCACAGCTTGACAGTCGTGTCGGCCGAGGCCGAGGCGAGCAGATTGCGCGCCAGCGGGTTCCACGAGAGCGAGAGGACGGCGTCGACGTGGTACTCTGCGTTGGCGATGCGCGAGCGGGTGAGCTTCTTCTTCTTCTTGCCCGTGCCCAGCGGCAGGCCCAGGTCGGCCGTCTGGTCCTTGCGGCCCAGGATGGCGTCCGGATAGAGGCCCTCGACGGTATCCATCGACCAGATCTCAATCTCGGGGTCCATGGTGCCGACGGCGACGAAGCTGCCCAGCGTGCCCGCCGGTGCGGCGCCGTTCTGGTCGGCGTCAAAGGGGGCCGGGGTGTAGTCGAGCCACTCGAGGCAGAGCGGGAACGAGGGGAGCATGAGGTCGTGGTGGACGTAGAGGTTCGAGTCGCTGGCGGCGTAGACGTAGGCCTCGAGCTGCGAGACGTCGTCCTCGGTCTTGGCGGTGAGGACGAGGTTGTCGGAGGGGTAGACTTCGAGCTCCTGGCGGTCGTCGTCGTGGTCCTCTGCGTCTGCGCCGTCCTTTACGGTGATGTAGGGGTCCTCGTCGTTGGAACGGTAGAACTGGAGACCCTTGATGTTGCTGAAGGCGCCCATGGCGGTGCCGACGGGCGCGTCGTCGTCGTACTCGTCGAGATTGTACTTGGACAGGTCGTCTGGATCCTCTGGCTTCTTGTCGTCGTCGGCCGTGTCCATCTGCTCGTCGTCTTCGTTGTCGTCGTTGTCGTCGTCGCCATTCTCGTCATCGTCATCGTCCTGCCATTCCTCATCGGGGCCGTTGCCGGTGGCGTAGGGGTCCTTTCCGCGTGCGATGTCGTCCTGGGCCTTTTGCAGCTGGGCCTTTGCGTCCTCGAGGTTGACGTTGGCCATGCGGCTGACGCGCTCGAGCTCTGCGTCGTCGAGGTCGTAGCGCTTGGGGTGGCGCGCAGACCGCCCGCGTGCGATCCAAGCGGTTGCCGAGATCATGTTGCGAGGGAGTGGGGAGGGTCGACTGTCGGAGGGTGGTGGTGTGCGAGCGAAGGTGTGTGCGGGTGTGCGCGTGTGCGGGTGTGCGCGAGTGCGGGTGTGCCAGAGGCAGCAAGCAGGACTCTGGAAGCCAGGTCCGCGGTTGGCTGCCCCCCCGACCCTTTGAATTTTTTTCTGCAGAGGCAGGCTGAGCGTGCAGGCCCAGCTTCCGACATCCGAGAAGGCGGCTCAGAGTGGAGCAGCAGCAGCACCGAAGCGGCGACCCCGCTGGCTTACATAAGCCATTTTTCTTGGGCCGAGCGCGCTGGCCGCGAAGGAATCTTGAATCCAGAAACTTTTTTCCCTTTGGCCGCCGCGCGGGGGTTCAGGCAGGCCGGCCTTGCTGCTGCTGGGCTGGACTGGGCTGGCCTCTGGGGCTGGCGGCTGCTCGCTGCTCGCCATCTGCCACCACCCTCCCTCTCTCTCTCTATACCCAACACCTCCTCGGACCACCCCTGCAGCTGCCCATCCCTCGTCATGCTGCGCACCGTCAAGCCCAAGAACGCCCGCTCCAAGCGCGCACTCGAGAAGCGCGAGGCCCGCGAGTTCGAGGCCGCAAAGACGGCCGTCTTTGTCAAGGGCTCGCGCACCTCGGCCAAGGTCAACCTCGCCATGCAGGAGCTCTCGCTGCTCAAAAAGCCCGACGTCATCCCCTTTAACAAGAAGAACGAGGTCCAGCCCTTCGAAGACACTTCGTCCTTCGACTTCTGGTCGTCCAAGAACGACGCCAGCCTCTTTCTCGTCGGCAACAGCCAGAAAAAGCGCCCCGACAACCTCACCTGGATCCGCATGTTTGACGGAAAGGTCCTCGACATGATCGAGACCGGCGTCGTGGAAGTCAAGAGCATGCAGGACTTCAAGGTGAGTCGCCGATTCATTCCATTGCCTCCTCGCAGAGGGAATTGCTCCCCACATCGCCCCCTCGACAGCCTGCTGACCCGCCGTCCTTCCGTTTGACTCGCACAGGGCCCCAAGCCTGGTCTCGGCATGCGACCCCTCTTCCACTTCTCTGGCCCGCAGTTCCACACCCCCGACGACGCCAGCGTATCGACCCTGTGCGGCTCCGATGGCACCGACGCCGACCCGACCGGCGCCTATCAGCAGCTCAAGTCGATGCTCCTCGACTTCTACCGCGGAGAGGAGCTCAAGAACAACCAGATCGCCCTCTCGGGCCTCCAGCACCTCATCTCGGTCACCGCAGCTCCCATCTCGTCGGCGGTCAAGGGCGACGATGCGGCCAAGGGCGCCAACGGCGACGCGACGCTCGAGGCCCTCTACAAGGCCGCCGGCCTCACCAACCAGGGCACCTCGCTCGCCACCTCGACCCAGACGCTCACCTCGCCCGAGCACAACCTGGTCCACATCCGCATCTACACGATCCAGATGCTCGCGTCCGGGTCCAAGCTGCCGCGCATCGAGCTGTCCGAGTGCGGACCCTCGCTCGACCTGACGATGCGACGACGCCGCCCGGCGCCGCTCGACGTGATGACGGCCGCGCTGCGCAGGCCCAAGACGGCCGAGGAGCTCAACAAGCAGGGCAAGGGCAAGAAGAAGAACATCGAGACCGACGACATGGGCGACATGGTGGGCAGGATCCACGTCGGCCGCCAGGACCTGGGCGACTTGCAGACGAGAAAGATGAAGGGTCTCAAGCGCGGTGGCGACGACGACGACGAGGGCGCGCAGGGGTCAGGAGATGACGGCGAGTCGGGGCCCGGAGGCGAGAGTGACGACGATGACGACGAGCAGGTCGGGTACGAGGATGACGACGATGAGGAGGTGTATGGCGAGGAGGACGCGAGCGACGAGGAGCTCGAGATGGAGGACATGACGATGCCTGTCGATGACGACGAGGGGGACGAGGAGGAGGATGATGAGGACGAAAAGGAGGCCGCGCCGGCGCCGCCACCAGCAAGGAAAGCCAAGGCGGCGCCGGCTGCGTCCAACCGCAAGAAGCAACGTCAATGAAGGCTGGCCGCGGCCTCCGCACCCATGTATTCCCTCCCCCCCTGCGACTCGACCTCACGCCGCCGCGCTGAATGCTAGGTGCTGCTCTGATACTCCAGGCCGACTGACTGCGCACGGGTGGCTGCCCCCTCGCCGTGTACCTTGCTCTGACCAGCGTCGCGTTTGTGCACGCCAACGTTGCTGCCATCGCCCTGGAAAGGGGGGTGGACCAGCGTTAGCGCAAGGGCTGGCGAGCGCAGCGCAGCGCTCTGGCTCGGCGCGGACGGGGCAGGGCCAGACGAGAGGCGGACGGCCTGGCCTGCGCGCCGCTGCCCGCGCCCGATTTTCCAGGCGTGGAGAGCAGGCGCGCCCGACCCCCACTCCCCGCCCTTCGCTGCTCCTTGCCTCCTTGCCTCTTCTCCTCTTCCTCCTTTGCCCGCCCCTCCTCTCCAGAGCATCGACATCCATATCCAGTCCTTCACTCACCAGCCGACGCACTCGACCGCTGCACAGTCACTCGCCGTCGCTGGCCTTGCTGTCCTTCCGCGCCTCAGCCTAGCTGGCACCCGCTCACAGCGCATACAGCTGCCCACTCGCCCCGTTCCTCGCCACTTCCCCTTCGACGGCCGCCGTTGCCGACACCACTCACCATCATGTCCACCCAGCAGCCCTCTCACGCGACTGCTTCTACCCCCGCTCCCGCCTCCCAACGCACACTCACCCTGCCCGAGCAGCGCAGCGACGCCCTTCGTCGCTTTTGCCTGCAGCACCCCGCCACCTTGATGCCGCCCCGCATATCGACTGTGCTGTTGGAGATGCCCGGCCATGCGCAGCGAGCCTCGGTGCTGTGGTGGATCCTCAATCACATGTGCTACACTATGCTGCCTCACCTCGACAAACCCGGCTTTCCTCTTTGGTTCCTCGCGCTGGCTTATCGCTGCCACATCAGGTCGAGCCCGTCAGACGGTACGCCTGAGGCCGTCATTCGCCCTGCGCCTCTGCTCGACCCATCCGCCTTCGTGGGAGCCTGTGAAGACCTCCTCCGCGAGGTGCCGAACCCGGACCTGTTCGACACCATCGAGTTCCTCTCCAGGAAGTACTTTGAGCATGAGTCTGCGTGACTGTCCCATGGGCATACCGCTGGTTCCGCATCGCGCGGCAGACCGCTGACCTTCAGCATCACTGGCATACGAACACAGCCTTCGCCAACAGCATCCGGCTTCAGACGCAGGACGAGCGGTGGGTGCTTGCCCTTGGAATCCATTTCCGCCCTCCCGGTAATTTGGCACTGACGATCCATAGCGACGCCACTTCCATCCGAACACAGCGACTGCTTCCACCAAAGCGCGGCCGCCTTCACCAGGCCGTACCTTGACCGCGCACATGAGCGCTTCGACCGCGAGATCGCAAAGACCTATGCGCCCATGTTCGAGGCGAATCGGGCCTGCGGCCGTGCCGTGCCGGTGGTCCAGTCGAGCGGAGTGGGCAAGAGCCGCATGGTCCACGAGCTTCGACACCTCTGGCCGACGATCATCCTGACGCTGAGCGAGCAGGCCAACACCCCCAGCATCGGCTACCCCGTCGCCGAGGCGGGCACCGTCGACTTTTTCACCAACTCCTGCCGCAAGTTTGGCAGTCCCGAGCTGGCCTTCCTCGCCTTCTTTGTCGCGTGGTTCAAAAAGGTCGCCAGTGTGCTCCGAACGACCTGTGCGCCGACGTCGATGGGCGATATCTTCGCCCCCTGGGCGCCCATCGAGGACGACCTCGGAGTCAACAAAGAGATCCGCGAAGCCTTCTTCGCCGAGGTCTACACCTACGCCGAGACCCTGCGCCTCTTGGAGCCCGACTTCCAGAAGAAGGCATCGCGCGAGGTATCTGAGGACTTCTACCGCACCATCATCATGTCCCACCTCTTTCCGCTCATTAACCAGCTGGCACATGCTATCCAAGGCCTGGAGCCGGTCAAGGCTAAGCGGGCCAAGCTCGACCGCGCGGGCAAATCCAGGCCGACGGTCGTCTACGTGGGCATCGACGGGTACAGGCTTCTCGACAGCATGCACCCCCGATCGGACGCCTCCCGCCGCCTCTCCCGCGTCCTGAAGCTCATCTCCGAGTTCGTATACGGGGATGAGGACGAAGTCCAGTTCTGGTTCCTGCTGATCGGCCCTGACCTCCAAGCCGCCGAGGAAACCCGCCGCGTCTCGTGGGCCTGAGCCGGCTCCGCGGTCCACGTTCAAGACGAGCCCCAGCACTGGCGAATGCCACGAGGCTCGCATCATCCGCCTCGCCCAGCAACACCACCCAAGAGAGAGCAACACGTACATCATCGACGCGAAGCGACGCTCGAGAGCCGCCAGTGCAATCCGCCCTTGACCGGCCTGCATGGCCATCGATCAAGCAACGACGTCCAGCGGCTCGCACCACGCCACCGAGCAAAGCAGGCGACACCTGCATCTCAGACAAGCAGGAGCAAGCAGCAACACCAACACCAACTACGAGGCTATCGCGGCACACGACGCAAATAGCACAAGCCTCCCATCGATCCGATCGTCAACATCAAAAGGAAAAGCAAGCAGGCGCAGACTCATCCAGCGCCGCAAGGCGTCCCGCGTCCGTCAGGTCGATCCGTGTCCACACGTCCCCGTTTCTAAAAGCAGCAGCGGCCCAGCATACCGATCCCCCAACCTATTTCCTCGCGTCTTCCGGTTCCTCGACGATCAGCCTTGTTGCACACGTAGTGCACGTTGGAAAAAGCTTCGAAGGCCGACAGTTTCATCTGTCTGCCAGTATGGCTGTGATCGGTGACAGATCTGGGCTGATCTGACGTGAATGTGACCGTGATCTGGTGCGATGGACCCCTGACTGGGCATGCTTGCCCGAGCCTGCCGAGAACCGTGATGCAGGTCCCAACCGACTGGCCGATTGAGGTCAGGCCTGGCTGCCGCAGATCTGAAAGGCGTGTGTGCGCTCGAGCCCCCTTCTTGCTTCCGCCCTCCGTCTCCCCATTCATTGCTTGGCTGCTGGCCGCCAGAATCCGTTGTCCTTTTCCTCGCCATCTTCGCTCCGTCCTCGTCTGCGTCACCAGCACAACCCGAATAGCACACCCGCGCGTCCTGCACGACAAGCCGTCTGGGTCGCTTCTCGCCATCGACCTCGCGGTCCGATCTTGGAGACCGGCCATTCTGGCCTCCAACCACCACCATGGCCAGCCAGCCGCCTCCCGAGCTTCCAACAGCGTCGGCAGTGACGGCTTCTGCTACACAAGGTCTGCCTCCGCGTGATCCGCCGGAGCAGCGCGGTGAGGCCCTCCGTCGCTTCTGTGAGCAGCGGCCCGCCATCTGTCTTCCCAACGGACAGTTGCAGGACGCCTTGGCGATGCGCAGCACCAAACGTCGGGCCTTTCTCTTGAGGGTCCTTCTCGAAGGACTGTGTATCGATATGCTGCCCCAAATCGACGATGCCGACTTCCCCGTCTGGTTTCGAGCGATGGCTTATCGTTCCAGTGCCGACCGTGACGCCTCTGAGACTCAATGTCCCGGAGCGATGCACTGCGTCGCTCCGCTCGTCGCTCAGGCCCGTTTCGAGTCGATATGCGATCAGATGTTCGAACAGTCACACAGCCGCGACCTCTTCTCGGTCGTCGAGCACCTAGCAGAGCGGGCTTTCCAGCGTGAGTACGATCCGCATCCTAGTGCCGTCCATGCGTCGATGGGTCACTGATCGCAGTCGACCTCTTGTCTCGCTGGTTCGCAGCTCGACAAGATAGCAGCCAGGGACAGGAAAAAGATCGACGGTATGTGCTTGCTCCGCTCGCTCTGACGCACCATTGCCCCGGGACTGACAAGGACCGATGCCACATCGCTGTCGTACCGCAGGGAAGAGAATCAGGAGCGGCTCGCCTCGGCGTTCGCAGCCCCTTACCGCGGCAGCGCACACCACCGCTTCGACGATGCCATCGCAAACTACTATATCCCGAGATACAGGCCCGGATACACATACGGCCGTGTCGTGCCCATCGTCCAATCGAGCGGGACAGGCAAGAGCCGCATGGTCCACGAGCTTCGACACCTCTGGCCGACGCTCATCCTAACGCTGCGCAGCAAAGCAGACGAAGCCGAATCAGGCTACCCCGTCGCCGAGCACAGCACCGTTGACTTCTTCCAACAGTCATTTGCGGCATTCTCGAGCCCCGACCTCGCCTTCATCGCCTTCTTTGTCGCCTGGTTCACCGAAGTCGATGCCGTGCTCAAGAGCCCCTCGACACCTCCGCCGAGATCGATGGACAAGGTGCTTGGCGCATGGTCCTTGCACCGCGAGGCTGGCGATGCCAGGCCCGGCACACGCGAAGCCCTCTTTGCACAAGTCTGCAAGCAGGCAAACCTGCTGCGGGAGTCTGAGGCTGACTTCCAGCAACCCGTTCCCGTCATAGGCCGCGCCGATCATCTACGACGCATCATGATGCGGCTTCTCAAGCCCTCGATGGATCGCTTGGAGCAGACCATCGGAGCCTCGGCTCCCGTCCAGGAGAAGCGGTCCCAGCTAGATCGCGCAGGCTCCACGCGGCCTGTGGTCATGTACGTGGCCATCGACGATTTCGCCCTTCTCGACTCGGCCCACACCCCTCGCGGTCCCCTCCCGTCGTCCAGCCTTCGCAGCTGCTTAGCGTTGATGTCGGAGATGCACGGCAACGAGCACTTCCAGTTCTGGTTCCTGCTCCTCGACGCCGGCAGTGCGGTTTTCGAGGTCTTCCCGGCCCACGACGAGGGTCCGTCATCGCGAGCGAGGTGTCCGCACCATTTTCCCATTTGGGTCGATCTCGGCTTCGACGTACTGGTCGACGAGGCTCCTCCCGTCCTCGCTGCGATCCAGGCCCTCGAGATCGCCCGTCTGCGGTTCTACGGTCGACCTCTGTGGGCTGCGTGCAGAGACACGTCGGTCCTCGAAGTCGCTGTGACGAAGCTGGCTCCACCCCGGGACGAAGCCGGCCTCACCGCCATCCGGACAGCAGCCGCCGACCTCACCAGTCCGCGAACGGCTGCCGCGGTGCTCTCACAGCGCTGCGCCATTGACCTAGTCCCGCTGCGATGCGACAGCGCGGGCAACCACCTCGCTCGCGAACTCGTCAGCCGACACATGCGCGTCCTCGGCGACCTCAGGAGGGATGGCGTCTGCGTCACTGCGTCGGCAAGCGAGCCCATGCTCGCACTTGCGGCCGGGTACATCCTCCAGCGAGACCGCAACGCATGGAAGACGGTCCTCAGGACGCTCCTCGAACGGTTCCTCTCGCTCGGCCGCGAGCTCGACTTGCGAGGCAGTCACGGCGAGTTCCTTGGCAGACTGCTGCTCACCCTGGCCCGCGACGCCGCGCAGCCGATCCACCCCGACCTCCTTGCGCGAGAGATGACACATGTCGAGCCGATCCGCCTCGACGTCTTCCTCGCCTCGCTCGTCGCCGAACCCGTCTTGACGGGCAGCGTCGCCACTGAGCTCAGAGGCAAAGCCGAATCGGCCTGGCTCAATTTTACGCACATGACGGTGCTCGACGACGTCGTGGACGGCGTGAGCCAGGGCTACCTCTGGCTATGCTGGAAACGCGGAGTTGCCATCCAGTTCAGTCGGCGGCAGGGTGGCATCGTCGGCCTGCTGCCCGTGTTTTTGGGAGGGAGGATAGCACTCGAGTCGAGCGTCGAGGATGAGACTGACCTCTGGCGTCATATGAGTTATGTTGGATGGCAGGTCACACACCGACGGAGCGCCCAGACTCTCGCAAGGCATCTACACGGTCCGCCCATCATCGTCGCACCTCCGACCTCAGCTGACTGGGGTACGAGCGGGGGTACCAGCAGCTACGAGGTTCCGGGTGAAGCGGTGTCGGCGCACATGACGATCCTGATGGACCTCGGAAGACGTGGCAGCAACCTGTCCCCGTCTCCCGGAGCACCAGCGACCATCGTGTACAGCGGCTGCGAGCAACGATACGGTATCGCGCACTCGACAACGATCCTCCATCTCCGCGGCTGCGGCAGCTCGACGTACGCATGTCTAGATCGGCTCGGCGTCACCGACGAGTTTCAGGCCATCGCAGACCGCATCGCAGACGCGGAGCTGACGGTGGTTAGCACCGTCATGTTGCCGTTCGAGCAGACCATCCGGCCCGAGTCGTGGCCGCCTCCCTGTGTTGCGACGCGAGAACGGGGCGATGGCGAAGGCGAAGGCGAAGACGACAACACCCGTGATGCGGTCCTCGACCATCGACGCAGCGAGGATGACTGCGATCTGGTCGATGCACCCCGTCGTCGTCGACGGCGGTGCGAGGAGCCAGAGACGTAGTCGACTTCGCACTATCATCCTTCAATCGATCAATCTCGCTCCACAGCCGATTGGGCCGCGAGAAGCAGTCACATCCTCGCTCCTTTCCCTCTCGTGATCCTGGTGCATGTACATGTGTTTCTCTGAGTGGGACGGTCGTGACAAGCGACCAGACTAGCCGGTGCAAAGTGTCGACGTCTTGGGCGGGGAGGGCCAAGCGACGATCGGCTGCCGCCCAGTCTGTACAGCCGCCGCTCGTGCTTCCCGCCCCCAGCCGAGCGCGACCTCCGCACCTCCTTGCAACGCTCCCAACCTCTCAGAGTCCCGCCAGACTGCGATACTCCTCCTTGACCCTCCACGCCGCGCCCTGCTTTTTGCCCTCCTTTGCCGCGTAGAACGGCAAACGCTCGTTGAGGGCGTTCTTGGAAACCAGCCTGCCCAGCGGCTCAAAGAGCTCCTTGAGATCGTCGACGAGTCCCGGGCGCGTCTTGGTCGACCCTTCGATGGCGCGCAGGAGCTTGGGCACCTCGGATTCAGGAAAGCTCTGCTTGAGCGTCGGCGCAGTCGGGCTCGACGTGGCAGCAGCGGCAGCCTCGGCGCCGGCGCCATCAGGCTTGGCGACACCCCAGAGTGAGGCCAGCACGCCCCCCGCCAGCGGTGGCTTTGAGCTCGAGCCCGAAGAAGAGGGCTTGCTCGGGCTGCTCAGCAGTCCGCTCGACGTGCTGGGCAGCGTGGCCTCGGGAATCTTGTCCTCTTCGGAGGTAGTGTGGAAGGTGAATGGATCCAGTCCGAAGCAGGCGTCTGATGTCGGTGGCAAGGATGGACAGAGGGAGATGAAGCGGATGGAAAGGTGGCGAGGTCAGAGACCGAACGCCTTTTCTGGGCCGCGACTCAAGGCATTGGCGCACTCACCGTTAAGGAACTCGATCTGGTACCCCTGGAAGTGCTCGTACTCGGGCTGGCCCAGCACCGCCTCCCAGTGCGGGCCGGTGGCAAAGGGGACGAGCTTGCTGTCGAAGCGGCGGCCGAGAAGCTTGACCTTCTTCTTCTTCGGCTTGAGGATGTTGGCGCTCGATGCCGCCGTCGATGCCGGTGTGGAGCTGGCAAAGGGCGAGTCGCGCGGTCCGAGCAGGGGTTGCCTCGACGACGCCGGAAGGGGCCGACCCTGGGCGTCGACCTCGACAATGTCGCCGTCGTCGTCCAAGGCCATGGCGTCGTCCTCCTCCTCGACCTCGAGGTCATCGACGAGCCAGTCGTCCATCTCCGAGTCTTCGTCCGAGTCGACGGCGCTCTCCTCGCGATCATCGCCGTCCGCGACGTCGTCGCCGTCGACCAGCCCGGGCTCCTCCCACTCGGCGTCGCTGTCGTGGTTGTAGTCGAGCGCCACGGGATCTTGCGACAGCGGACAGCGCGGGCCGATAAGGTTCGTCGACTTGGTCCACGTGCCGTACCAGCCGGGGCGGCGATCCGAGATGAAGCTCAGCAGCTTGATGGGGACCTTTTTGCGGTCCTTGAGGTCCTCGAGCGCCTTTCGTGCCAGTTCCTCGGCGTTGCCTCCGAGCACGTCCGACTCAGTCACGATCCGCTTGATCTCGCGGACAGAGACCGGTGGGTGGACGCCCTTGGGCCGTGGCGCACGGTGGGCGCCTCGTCGTCCCATCTGCTTGAGGTCCGCCAGCATCTGGTCCTTTGTGAGCTCGCTGCGGTCTAGCTCGAGCTCCTGCTGCGGCTTGTGGAAGCGGTTGATCGGCGCGAGATCCTTGTACTGGCACGGCAAAAACGTGCGGTCAAAGTCGCTCTTGCCCGGCGATGCTACCGTGGTCAGCACGGGCCGCTTGGCAGTCTTGGCCTGCGCCTTTTGCATAAAGGAGGTGAGGAAGCTCGCCTGCTTCTGCTGAAGCTGTTTCGAAGGAAGGCGAGATGAATGGAGTCGACGAGCGCAGAAAGTCAGTCAAGCTGGCCCGTGGGAGACGTCGACCTTTGCACGGCGACTGGCTCACCTTATGCTCCTTTTCGATTTCGGCCGCCCTTGCCTCCCTCTTCCGCTTCGCCTCGGCGTCTCGTGCGTCCTTCTCTGCCTTGCGCGCCTGCTGGAGCTTGAGCTTTTCCGCCTTGGCCGCTTCCTTTTCCTCCTTCTCCCTCAGCTTCTCTGGCGACAGCTCGGCTTTGGGCGTCGCCTTTTCCTTTTTGCGCGGCGAAGACGAGTTGCTGCTGGCCGGCGTCGTAGGGCCAGACGACTCCTTGGACGTCTGGCGCTTGCGGGGCCGTGACGGCGTCTGCTGCTTCGACGTGCCTGCCTCGACGTCGCCCTCAGAGCCATCGTCGTCGATGACGATGGGCTCGATGGCCCGGCTGCTCGACGTCGCGGTCGCGGTTGCGGCTGCGCTCTCCTTGACTGCCGCACCGGCCGCCTTGGCTCGCCTCTTGAGCAGCGCCTGTCGCTCTGTCTCCGGCAGGCTGGCGAAGAGCGCAGCCGCCTGGTCCCGCACGGCCTCGCGCTCCTTTCTCCGTGCGACAATCTTTTCGAGGTTCTCCTTTGGCAAGAGCGAAGTGTCCCGAACCTCCCAGCGCCAGAGCTGCAGGCCGGCCGGGATGGTGATGTCGTCGGATGCGAGGCCCGATGAGGCCGAAGAGATGTGCGAAATGTCGAGGCCGTAGTTGCGTCGCTCAGCCACCTTTTCGATCGCGTTGACGATGAGCGGGAGCGTCAGCTTGGACCTCGGTGAGGTCGTTGTCGAGGATGCCGAGTTCTGACTCTCGTCGGAAAATAGGTCGGCCTCGGGCATCAGCGAGTTGCGGACCAGCTTGGCCAGCTCGTTGATTGTCTTGTCGCTGCAGGTCGGATTCGGTCAGAGAGCGGGAGGTCGCATCAGCAGGCTGTCGCTGTGGTCGCGGAAGCTATCGTCGCCGCCGTTGCAGGCCTCGTCGAGGACACTCACCTCTCCTGGACTAGCTTGGCGATGACGTGCAGCTGGTCCTGGGGCACCTCGTCTAGCTTGCCGGCGCCCGAGAGGAAGGTCTGGAAGTCGATGATTGCTGAGAGGGATGATGAGTGGGGCAACGGCGAGCGTGGCGGACGGGACATCGGAATCAGTGTCTGCACGAGGCTGAAAAGGGGGAAACAGCGGTCAGTGGTCGCTCGCTCACCCCGCATGACTGGCATGGTTAGGGACCAATTGAAAGGTTTCTGCTTGAAGTGAAGTTTGCCATTCTTGATGTCGACCAGCGGAGACTCTGACGGGGCAGGCGTTGGAGCACAGCAAGGGAGGAAGGAGACGACGGCGGTCAGTGAGGATGCGGCCCGGTTGCGATGCGCTGCTGAGTGGGCTGCTCACCAGTCTTTGCCCTCTTTGTCGGGGTGGGCTTTGAGTCGTTGGAGGGGGTTGTTTCTGGCTGCTGGTTTTCTGCATCGCTGAGAGGGGTCTGTAGGGACGGCTTGCGCTTGAGGGATGCGGGGGGGTTACCGTTGGAGGGCATGTCGAAGCGCTGCTTCTGGAGGTGCTGGTGGTAGGGACGGTGGTCGAGGTTGATGTCCGAGTCGGAGAGGACGACGTCGAGGTGCGAAGGGGTGGGCGAGGGTGGCGGCGCAAGCACGCTCATGGCTGAGCGCAGGCAAGAGGCGATGGATGAGAGGTGCGATCGAGGCAATGGCTAACGTTGGTCGTGGTCGTGACAGGTAGAGTGTTGAATTGGGAGTGAGGCGATTCGACGAGGCGGCACAGACAGGGTTGGGGGAAGGGCGATGAGGTGCTGCGGGGTGTGGGTTGGGGTTGGGGTCGGAGCAGAGAGGGGAGCTGCTTCAGATGAGTGGTGGGGGACCGAGGGGATGGTGGTGGCGGCAGAGGAGCAGCAGTCAGTGACAGCAGCAGCAGCGCGGAGGCCGAGAGCGATAGGCAGGCATAGCCCAGAGCTGGCTTGGCTTGGCCCAGCGCAGCGCGCCGACAAAGGGGAGCGAGCGCGGCGTGTCGGGAAATTGCAGGTCAGCCTGGGCAGGCAGGCAGGCTCTCTCTGTCTCTGGCTGCGCGTCTCCTGGCCAGGCAGCCTCGGTGTTGGAGTGGCCTGCTGTCTGCCCGCCAGCGCCGCTCGACTGTGTGTAGTCGACGCGACGCGCAGTTAAAGTGGACCCGCCAGCGCCAGCGGCACCTCTGACTCTTGAGGGCTCGCCCAGCCCGGCTTGTGGAGGAAGTTTGCAAAAGGGCCCGGCCAGGCAACACTCAAGCCCAACCCATGGCCCAGCCTGCCCAAGGCCAAGCCAGGCCAGAAGCACCACCAACCAGGCGCAGCAGGCGCAGCAAGCGCAGCACAGACCGACGGCCCACTGACCTCACAGCATCGCCCTGCCCACTCGACGCCACCACCACCGACACCATCCCTTCTTCTTCCCTTCTGTGCCACTCTCAGTGAGCCCGTCCGCCCGCTCGCCCGCCATGTTCCTCCAACCATCCTCCAGGGCCGCCGCCGGCCAGAGCGCACAGGACAAGAAAATCGCAGAGCAGCGAGCCGCCATGCGCCCATGGGTGGAAAAGTAGTGAGTGGCTCACCTCTCTCTTGCGCTGCTGCTCCACGTTGCTACTCAGCTTGGCTGACGCTTGCTCCCTGCCGCTCCTCTGCCCGCTCACCAGCCGACCAAAGACGATTGACGAGGTGGCGTCTCAGGAGCATACCGTCGCCGTGCTACAAAAAACCCTAATGTCGAGCAACGTGAGCATCTCGGCCGTCTTATCAAGTGCGCCCGCTCGCACGCTCATCGCCTCGTCCTGTCATCCTCTGCACTACCCCCTCGCCAGCTGCCTCATATGCTCTTCTACGGCCCGCCAGGGACGGGAAAGACGTCGACCATCCTCGCGCTCGCACGACAGCTGTTTGGGTGAGGACCCCACCGCCTGCTGTTGCGCCTAGATCGAGGCACAGGCTTGAAGCACTGCGAGCTAAGCCACAGCCCCTTCTCTGACCTCGCCATGCGCGTCCACCCTTCCGCAGACCGGAGCTGATCAAGACGAGGGTGCTCGAGCTCAACGCCTCCGACGAGCGCGGCATCTCGGTCGTCCGCGAAAAGATCAAAAACTTTGCCAAGCTCGCAGTCACCAACCCCAAAATGTGAGCGTGGCCGACGCACTAGCCGCCATGCTCCTACCTACCTGATCTGCCTGCTGACCACCCGGATGCCCCTGCCCGGCATGATTCCCCGTCACGCAGCGACTACCCGTGTCCGCCTTTCAAGATCATCATCCTCGACGAGGCCGACAGCATGACACAGGATGCCCAGAGCGCGCTGCGCCGCATCATGGAGCAGTACTCCAAAATCACCCGCTTCTGCCTGGTCTGCAACTACGTGACGAGGTGAGCATGCTGCGGTGCCCGTGGAGCGCTGGCACGGCACAGTGACTAGACGGATCGACTGATGAACGCTTCGTCGCCGTCGCCCCTGGCACGGCACCGCACCGCAGAATCATCGAGCCGCTGGCGTCACGGTGCAGCAAGTTCCGATTCCGATCGCTGGCCACCGAGAGCACAAAGACGAGGCTCGAGTCGATTGCCAAGGCCGAGGGCGTCGAGTTCGAGGAGGGCGTGCTGGATACGCTCATCACGACGTCGGACGGCGACCTGCGGCGCGCCATCACCTACCTGCAGTCGGCATCGCGCCTCCACAGCATCGAGGGCACAGAACGCACGGCCATTGCACCAGACTCGATTGTCGAGATCGCGGGCGTGGTGCCCCAGGCGGTCATCATGGGCCTCTGCACGGCGATGGGCATCGAGCCGGCCGAGACGGACGCCGACGGCGACGTCGAGATGACGAGCGTGCAGAAGAAGGGCGGGCGGGGATCGTCGTCGTCGTCGTTCCAGGTGATCCGAGACGCGGTGCGGTCGATTGCGCGCGAGGGCTTTTCGATTACGCAGCTGCTGATCCAGTTGCACGACGCCATCATCGGGCACGCCACGCTCAACGCGAGGATCAAGGCCAAGAGCGCGCTGCAGATGGCCGAGATGGACAAGAGCCTGATTGACGGCGCCGACGAGGAGCTGCAGCTGCTCAACCTCTGCCTCAAGATCCAGGCCGTGGTCGCCACGGACGGCAAGGCGTGAGCAGCAGCGCAAGGCGGGGTAGGTCGTCGTCCCCACGAGGCCAGATTGTACTTGTAGCCAACAGTAGCATGGTGGAGAGCGACGACGAAGAGAGCGGTGCGACTCCCAGACAGCTAGGCGAGTTTGTGTGCTCCAGCCAGAGTGTCGAAGCGCGACTGAGGGCAGTAGTTCGGGCCCCGGAGGTTTGAACGGCCAAATCCAGAGGAATTTTGGGCGTGGCCCGAGGCCCGGCGAGAGGGCGGGAGGCGAGGTGGAGTCAGAATCAGGAGCAAGCAGGCAAGCCGTCCCTGGGCACAGCTGCCCGGACCCCCACCTCGCCTTCTTGACTGCGACTCTTTGCTCGCTACTCTTTCTTCTCGTCCCGCAGCTGCCCAACCCCCTACGACACCATTCGCCTCGCTCTTGCTGGCCAGCGAACCGCACCGGCTTCGTCATGTCATCCTCCAACAACAACAACAACCATCACCACCACCACCACCACAAGGACCCAAATGCCAAGACGATAGTCATCAAGCTGGGCACCTCGTCGATCCTCTCAGAGACGACGCAGCACCCCAAGCTCTCGATCCTCTCCTCGCTCGTCGAGACCTGCCATGCGCTGCGCGTCAAGGGACACCGCGTCGTCATCGTATGCTCCGGCGCCATTGGAATGGGCAGGCTGCGCATGAAGGTCAACGAGCGGCCCAAGAGCCTCGGCGAGCGCCAGGCCCTCGCTGCCCTCGGCCAGCTCCGCCTGATTGCGCTATGGGACAGTCTGTTTGGCAATGTCGGCATCGACGTCGCGCAGGTCCTCCTCACTAGGAACGATATCGCCGACGTGAGTCTGCGCGGCTGGCCGGCGAGCTCCATGCCCGACCTTCCCCTTCTGACCACCTCCGCCTTCTCCCAACCCCCGCGCCGCCCCGCAGCGACCGAGATACCAAAACGCACGAACGACGCTGCACACGCTGCTATCGTCGTTCAACGCCATCCCCATTGTCAACGAGAACGACACCGTCAGCGTGTCGGAGCTGCGCTTCGGCGACAACGACACGCTCTCGGCCATCACGGCCGGCCTCGTCGACGCCGACTACCTCTTCCTTTGCACCGACGTCGACGGCCTCTATACGGGCAACCCGCGGTCCGACCCAAATGCACGCAGACTCGGCGTCGTCAAGGACGTCCTGAGTGCCAGAAAGGCTGGTGAGTCAGCTGAACTCCACGGTCCTCGCACCACCGTGGTGGGTCAGCAAGAGGATATCGATGATGGCTGACACCTGATCCGCCGTGAGCTCCCCTTTTCTCCTCCTGCTCGTCTGGCCTCCGCGCAGTCTCGGTCGCGACGCCCGGCTCGAGCTTCGGGACGGGGGGCATGCAGACGAAGCTCATCGCCGCCGAGCTGGCGACGGCCGCGGGGGTATCGACCGTGATCCTCAACGGCTCGCACCCGTCCAACATCCTCGACATCATCGAGACGGACCTGGCGTCGCAGGCGAGCGTCCCGGCGTCGCTGGCGTCGTCGACGTCGTCGCTGCTGCCGCCCGAAGAGGCCGAGCAGGTGGGCTACCCGCCGCTCGACGCGCCGCCCCACACCCTCTTCCTGCCCAAGGCCAACCCGCTGCCCTCGCGCAAGTGGAGCATCCTCCATGCCCTCCATCCCGCCGGCTCCCTCATCATCGACGAGGGCGCGTTCCGACGCATCGCCAAGGCCGATTCGGGCGGAAGGCTGCTGCCCGCTGGCGTCGTTGGCGTCGAGGGAAACTGGGAGAGGATGCAGGCCGTCCGCCTCGTTGTCCGACAGGCCGTCGAGGCCGAGACCCGCCCCGATGTGACGACGGATGCTGCGGGGTCAGCGACCACGACGACGACGATGACGATGACAGGAGAGGGTGCGAAGCAGCCCACCTGGAAACTTGTCGAGGTCGGGCGGGCACTGGCCAACTACACGTCGATAGAGAGCGAGAGGATCAAGGGCATCAAGAGGTGAGTCGATCCGTCCCGGTCTTCCTAGCATGCCCGGCCAAGGCCGTCACTGACCCCCCGACCGCTCCACCTCGCCCGATATTGACGCCACCAGCTCGCAGATCACGTCGGTGCTGGGCTACGCCGACAGCGACTACGTGACCGAACAGGTGGCGCTACATACCTTTGCCCTCGAATAGCCCCCAGGTCACCTCGATCTGTGAAGGAACCCAACATAGAGCATCATGCCAGTCCATCTTGTCCGTTGTCGAGAGTAGAAAAGAGCGCCGAAAGTCGGATGGAAATGGAGGCACGTCGCGAGGTGCACCTTTGCACATTCGGGCGGTCGACGAGCACGGATGGTGGAGCACACGGTGAAGAGAGAGAGGCATGGAAGGCGATGGTTGGACATTGGGTTACTATTTGTATTGCTACAGTGGCTTGGGGTGATCACAAGAAGACAACGAGCGAGCACCTGCCGGTCCGAGTAGGGCAGGGCGGGCAACAGAGTGGTATGTGTGTGTGGAAGAGACGGAGAACGGAGATGGCATAGAGGGGGACAGCGAAGAATGGAGCGCGTGGTGCGGCGGGGTGAGGGGGAGTCGGGGGCTGGGATGCTTGCCCGAGGTGGCCTCGACGGCCACGGCCGCTGCTGCAGGAGCATCACGACGCCATCATCGCTACTCTTGATCCCCGGCCGACGACAACGACGACGTCGCCGCTATTTAGGCGGTGGTGTTGTTGTTGTTGAGGCCGACGGCGTTCTTGGCCTTGTCGAGGAGCGACTCGTCCGACTTGTCCGAGCCCGAGAGCTTGTCACCGGCCTGCTGGGAGGTCGACTTGGTCGAGTCGGGCTGCAGGGTGGCGGCGGCGTTGTCGAGCTTCTCCTTAGCAACCTCGCCAGTCGACTTCTGCGAGTCGGGCTTGATGGCCGACGAAGCCTGGAGAGGAAGAGGGGAGAGGGAGAGGTAAGGGTCAGTCGGAAGGTTCGTCGATCCTCGTTGCACAAAGGCAAGCGGATGGATGATGGCGGCAAGCATCGAGGCAGCGATGGGCGGATGCTCACCTTGTCAGCGAATCCCTGGCGACCGGTGTCAGACATGTTTGCGAGAGTGTTTGGTTGGTTGGTTGTGTGTGAGAGAGAGAGTAGTTGTGAGATGCGTTTGTGCGGTGGTGAGATGGAGAGAGAGGGAAGCTGGGACGGGCCAGGGGGCCAGGTTATATACCTTCGACCAGGCCTTCGGGGGGGAGGGGGCGAGGGGGAGAGAGGAGGGCTCAAGGAGCAGGCGCATTGGCCTGGCCTGGCCTGGCCTGGCCTGGCCAGGTCGAGAGGCAGGGGGCGGGAGGCCACGGCAGCGGAGTGACGAGGGGTGGGCTTGCTTGGCAGGCAGGTTGGCTTCCACGTCGACGACGTAGGCTTGCTTGCCGCTGCGGCCAGCCGGCGAGGCCAGGCGAGCTTGGCGTGGCGGTGCAACCAACACCACCTAGGGCAGCTTTCAGCGGGCAGCCAGGCCAGGCCAGGCCAGTCCAGTTTCGGGGCCAGCCGACAGACGACCAGACGAGGGCCGGGGCCACCCACGTCAAGCAAGCAAGCAGCGCAGGCAGGGTCTGGCTCGGTGTTGGGCTAGGTAGGCCGGGCTTGGCCAGGCTGGGTTGGGGAGCAAGCGGGCGGGCAGGCTATGGTACAGGCAGGCAGGGTGCAAGGGGCGGCCAGGCTCGAGGGGAGCCGCCGCCGCATCCACCGGCCGCGGCCTGTCCGCCACTCAGCAGAGCCTGACCCCGCACCGGAATGACGTCGTCGTTGGGGACGGGGAAGGCGGTCAGGCAGGGTCCCGCGCTTGGGCCAGGCGAGGCGGGGCGAGGCGAGGCAGGGGCCGGATGCGCTGCTGTCGAAAACGGCGCAAGCCTTTGTCACGCTCCGCAGGCCGATTGCCTCCCCGGCTGGACTTTGCTGCTGGCTTGCTTTGCGCTCTCGCTGCTGGATGCGATACCGCCGCGCCGCAACCAAAGTGGCTGGCGATCATCATCGCCGTCGTCGTTGTCCTCGGTCCGCGTCTTCTGTCGCCTTCGCCGTCGTCCTTGACGCCACCTTCGCCACCGTGCGTGCTTTCGTGCGGGCGTGCGTGCTGCGCAGAGCAGCGTGTGGCGTATCCGCGCAGCATGCATCCTCGCTCCCTCTCGCTCGTCATCCGCATCCACACGCACGGACGGATGGACTTCTTCGAGCTCATCGTGCAGGCCGCGTCGTTGTCAACAAGCAAGGAGCCTTACGTGCGCATGCCAGCATGGATGCATCATCCTGCCTGCTCGGGGATGGACCATCCGAGCGAAAGTCGATCTGGCACTTGGGGCGGGCTTGCTTCGGAGCCAGCAAGCGGGCAGGCAAACACCGACGAGAGACAGGCTCGGGCATGGAAGCGGTCCTCGCCGTCGGAGCGGACCCGAGACGAGCTGGCCGTGCGTTGACCGCGCTTCCACGACCGAGACAAGCATCGAGATGTTGGGGCAAGCAAGCTAAGCGGGCGAGGCTGTGCTATGTGCATCTCAGCGGGTCCTCCGGCCATGACGTTTTGGTGGAAGCGGGTCGGCGGCCAGGCCGGCCAGGCCAGGCAGGGTCCGCTCCGTCCGTGCCTGCGGGCATCGGCAGTCAACGACGTGCGTCGGAACCCGGAACACCCGAGCGACGGCCACGGTACCCGCCGGTCCAAAAATACAGCGGCTGCTGCTGCAGTCGCTCAAGCAGGCGCTGCCGCTGTTGCCGGTGGCCGGCCCCGCCGCCTCGGCCCATCTGAGCCTACTGCTGCTGCCAACGCAATTTGCGGTGGTTGAAGAGACCTTCTTTGCTTCACTTCAACCATCTTCTCTCTTCCGCCAAGATTGTCGAGTCGTCGTACAGAAGCATCGGCCGCTGTTCGAGTACAGTTGCTCCCCTCTCGCTCTCTGCGTTTCAAGTGCTGAAGCCATGACCTGACGGTGGACAAGCTGAACGGCTTGTTGCCCCATCGAAAGGAGGCAGGGACGATATCGCGGTCCACAAAGCTGTGCAGCGAGCACACGAGGCTCTGACCTGCGAGTACATGTTCCAAACCCGATGCAGAGTGGAGGATCGTCGTCTTCTTGGTGATGCCTGCAAAGTCGAGATGAGGGAAACGGGCGGGGGGGGGGGGGGGGGCAAGGTCGATGCAACCTTTGGACTGAACTGCTCCTCCTCCTCCTCGGGGAGCGACAAGGTCCCGTCGAGCAAGAGCGAAGGACTGCAGCAACGGCGGGTCAAATCCGTACGGTGCAGCGTCGCAGCTGCATCGCCAGCACCTGATCCCGCTCCAACACTCTCGTGTCCTTCTCTTCCTCCGACCGCCCCAGCTGAATTCAGACTATCGTGCTCCCCATCACGGTCGCGTTGGCCGAGCTTCGGCAGTCCAGACTGTTGTGTGTGTTCGTGCGATTCCGACAAAGGAGCGGAGCGCGTCGGGCGACATGATAGTGTACAAGGGTCGGGGCACATCGACAGTCGGAGGGAGGCATCAGAGGCTGTGATGAGGACAAGGAAGACAAAAGGGAGACCGAGCGTTAGCTAAGGTCCAGCCTGCGGGAGACTGTCGCCACCACCATCCACTCACGCAGTGCCGCGTTCGACTGTGGCACAGACGAGGAGAAGCCCCGAGATGCAGGTGGTGAGCGACGATCGCGCTGGTCAGCAAAGCACATCCGCTGGACCCACGTTGGCCCCTGAGACCATGGCGCACACTCACAGTTCTCGCGGATCTCCTTTGTGTACTCGTCGTAGTACCTCTTGAGCTTCTTGTTAAAGTGCTGGTTCTTCTTGTTGATGTAATCGACCTCGCCGTCGGTGTCGTCCTTGCGGATGCGCGACCTGCGCTTGATCTGCTCCTGTTCGAGGTTGAGGTGGCCCACAACGCGGTCGATGGCCTCGTCGGTCGGCTTGTGGTCGCCGTAGTAGACGGTCGAGGCGTCGCGGTAGAGGTCCTCGCGCCGGACCACCTGGCCCGATGTGCCCGAGCCGGAACGCACGGTGAGCGCCGAAGAGGAGCTGGAAGCGGGGCCGCCGGCCGACTGCGACTCGAGGGCGGCTCGCTGCGCTTCGTAGCTCGAGAGGTCGGGCTTCATCGATCGAATCTGGCGCTGGTAGGAGCGCTCCGCCATGTCCTTGAAGTCTGCGGGCGTGAGTTGCGGTTCGACGAGGCACAAACGTCAGACGCTGTTCCGTCTCTGAAGCAACAGCGCGCGCCCCCGCGAGGCGTCGAACTCACCCATCAACCCCTTGTCCTTTCTCTGCTCCTTGTCGGCCAGCTTGGCCTCCCACCGCTCGTTGTCCTCGATGCTGTAGCCAAAGTTGCGGTGGCGTTCGACGTCCTCGCCAGATTCTTTGAGATCCCTCTCCTCGAGCAACTTCTCTGCCTCCGCCATCTTGCGCGACTGGGCCATCCCCTTTCTGCCCGCCTGTGATCTGGCCTTGGCCTGCTCCGAGAGGATATCTTTGCGGTTGGCCTTGCTCGAGTCGGCCATCTTTTTGCGGAGCGAGGAGAACTTGGCCATGCGCTCGTCCATGCTCATTTTCGACGCTGATGGTGATGCTGCTAATGGTTCCGCGAGGGATGCTGGTGCGGGCGGTGATTGTTCCTCTTCCTCGTCTGGTGGCGCTGTGGTGGTCTCTGCCGGTGGATCGGCTGGTGCGGATGGGTCTTGCTCTTGCTCTTCGACTAGCGGCTGGTGTCTCGAGGCTCTCCCCTTTGCCTTTGACTTGCTGCTGCTAGGCTGTTGTTCGACTTCTTGCTCTGCTGGAGCCTGTGCTGGGTTCGCCTCGGTGTCGGCGGCCATGGTCGGCGGATCTTGTGTCTGCGGCGGCTGGGCTGCCTTTGCGGATGCTCTTGTTTTCCTGGGTGGCATGATGGATTTGTTGCTCTGTACGGGCTACGGAGATGCCTGGGTCTGTGAGGAAGCGTGAGTTGAGCAGCAATGACCGGGGCTGATGGTGGTGGTGGTGGTGGTGGTGGTGAAGGCGAGTGGGCGTGATCGAATGGCTGCTGTTTGGGTGCGGGTGAGAGAGCTGCTCCACTTTGCGCCCCGGTGTCGCCTCTCTGTCCGCGGTCGGCCGAGTTCCGGGATTCTGAGCTGCGCTCTGGGCACCACCCAACCGGCGAAGGCTCTCAGCCCTGACCCTCTCATGCCACCGAGGCGACACCACCTCCTGCTCCTTCCTCTCGCTACCCTCCCCGTTCCTCACCTCACCTCACCTCACCTCACAGGTGACATCCACGGCCTCTCTTGCTTCATACTGCCAGAGAGCTTCGCCATCGGCCATTTCCCGTCTCGATCGGTTTGGGTCCCGTCGTAACGACCTCAGTGTCCCGACTGGGTTCCGCGTCGGGCATCCCGAAAGCCATGTCCCAGGCTGCTCAGCCAGCAGCAGCGTCCGACAGCCCAGCAAACGCCACAAAGTCGACCAAGTCCGCAGCTTCTCCCGCCGCCGCCTCTCCTGCGCCTTCTGCCGCCTCCTCGTCCCGCTCGCGCTCACGCAGAGCCAAGACCGACACAAAGGCGCCCGCGAAAACATCTGCACACTCCGCTACCGCGCCAGATGCAGCATCGAGCACCTCAGTAGCAGCGACAGCGCAGAACAGCTCCACCTCAGCAGCGGCCGCCGCCACCACCGCCGATCCCAACACCTTGGTCAAACCCACCAGCACTCGCCGTTCGCGATCCAAAAAGGACAAGGAAAAGAGCGCATCGGCCAAGCAGCAAAAGACAAAGGCAAAGACCAAGGTCGTCATCCGCCGCCTGCCTCCCAACGTACCCGAACACATCTTCTGGAACAGCGTAGCCACCTGGGTCCGCGACGCCGCCCAGGCAAAGGCGCTCAGCGATGCAGCGCGACAGAACCACGATGCCGCCTCCAGCCAGCCCTCGGCCGCGCCGACGGTCCTCGAGCCCACTGTCGACTACAAGCTCTTCATCCCGGGCAAGCTGAAAGCCGAGTGAGTCGGCCGTCATGAGCGGACCTCGACCTGGTTTTCGATTCCGCCGTATGCTGACGACTTCTGCGTTCGCGTCAACTCACAGTCCCAACAAGGAGAATGTCTGCTCGCGAGCCTATGTCCGCTTCCTAGACCCTGCCATGCTGGTCGAGTTCCACAGGAACTTTGACGGACACATCTTCCGCGACAGCAAGGGCAACGAGAGCATTGCCGTCGTCGAGTTTGCCCCGTACCAGAAGACGCCCACCGAACGACGACGGAAGCCGGATGCCAGGCAGGGCACCATCGAGGCGGGTGAGTCGCACATCCTGCCAGCATGCACGCGGACCCGCGCAAAGGCTGATCGAGTCCTCTGCGTCGTGCGCACGCCTTCCATCGGTCTAGATGAGGAGTACAAAAATTTTATCTTCAGTCTCGAGGCCAAGCAGGCCGAACGGACTGAAAACAAGACCGATGCCGAGCTGATGGGTAGGTGATGCCGGAGACGCCATCCGGTCAGCCTGCTGCAGCTCTTGCTAACGCCTACCCTTCGCCGCTTGCGCCCTGCTCTCCTCGCAGCTCACCTCGCGCAGAGCACCGAAAAAGTGAAGGACCCATCGGCGACGAAAAAGTCGACGCCGCTGCTGGACCATCTTCGCACACTCAAGGCCGCACGCGCCGAGTCCTCTGCGCTCGCCGCTGCAAAGTCCTACAAGAACCCGTACGCCTACCAGTACCCCGACGAAAAGTCGCATCCGTCGTCGTCGTCGAAGAGCGCGTCCTCGAAAAAGTCGAGCAGATCCAGCAAGGCCGCGGCCGGAGAGGCGGGAGAAGCTCCGGCGAAGCGATCGTCGAAGAAGGGAGAGGCTGTCAAGGAAGCCAGGACGGCCGAGTCGGCTTCTACGCCCGCCTCATCCGCCTCTGCGCCTGCCGCCGGTGCGGGCAAGCGCGCGGCCAAGGCAGCGACGAGCGGGCGTGCCTTTGGAGCGGCGCTTTCGGGAGCACTCGGATCGGCCGCCCCGTCGTCGGCCAGATCCAACAAGGCGACGGGCGGGAAAGGCAAGGAAAAGGCGGAAGAGGGAGGGGGCGTCGAAAGCGGCAAAGCGACCAGTGCCAAGTCGGCGCCTCCTACCCGAGCCAACGTCGAGCCTGCGGCAGAGACAAGTGGGAAGGCCAGTCGCGCCACTGGTGAATCGACAAAGGGGCAGGGACGAAACCGCGGTCGCAACGCAGCTGCCAAGGCTGATGCGGGCGAGGCGACGGCGGAAAGCGCCGGCAGCACCGCTCCATCGGCGCCTGCGACGCCAACGACGGCACCCTCCGCGGACAAGAAAGCTGCATCGGCGTCGTCGTCGTCGAGGCGCGACAAGAAATCGGGCTGGTCAAGCGGTCCCGCCTCGGGCAAGGGCGAGGAGGCGGCAGGAGGCGGCGGCAAGATGACGATCCTGAAGCGGGATGCACAGACTGCTTCTGTACCCACCAGCGCGGCCGCTACGGTCGAATCGTCGGGCGCAACCGGCGGCGAAGCGAGGGAAAAGGACAAGGAGAGGAAGAAGGAGAGCAGTGACAAGGACAAGGACAAGGAAAAGGGGAAGAGGAGGAGGACGAGGCCCGTCTCGAAAGGCGGCGAGGCTGCCGGTCCGGAAAAGGCGGCGACCTCGGCTCAGCCCGGCCAGGCCATCTGGGACTGAGCGACCGAGGTGCTGTAGCGCCAGATCTCGACGACGGCGCGCGGCGGGCACTTGCAATCAGGCCAGACAACATCGCCTTCTACTTCAGACCTGTTCTAACTTCTGTCCTGCCCGGAGCGATACAACAACAGCCGCCCCATCGTCGTTCTACGGACGAGGTGGACACGCCGGAGACACGGCGCGAAGAGATGGGGATAAGACGACGGGCTAGGCCAGCTTCTTGCCCTCGACGCTGTAGGCCTGGCCCCTCCTGCCGTTCGACACGGGAGCCTGCCTCTGCGCATGCTGCTCCTGTCCCTGCGACGCGAGCGGGTTGATGACACCGTACCTGCCCCTCTTGCCCGATGAAAACCCGGGACCGTCGTAAAAAATGGTCCCGTCCGGTCGGTTGAGCGTGGGCCAGGCGACGTAGTCCAACCCCCTCGCCACCATGTACTGGAAGCTGGCCGCCGCCACGAGAGACCACAGCAGCAGAAAGGCGCTGCCGTGTCGCGCCACCTCGTTGGTCGACGTCCCCGCCACCGTCGCCACCGTCGCTGCCGACGAGCGCGGCAGGATGAGGCTGGCAAAGATCATCGTCAGGGCAAACAAAAAGACCCACGGCATCGATCGGACGAGGAGCGCGCGCTTGTCCGGATTCGGCAGGCCGTGCGCCGGCTGCCAGGCGCCCGTGAAGAGGTCGTAGGCGTCCTGGCGCGCGCCGTCGTAGAAGTTGTTTTTGATGTAGCGCGTGATCGAGTTGAGGCCGTCCTGCAGCGCGCCCTCCTTGGAGCGCTTGCCCGTCCGCGTAAAGTCGGTCTTCAGCGCGCCCGTGCCGCTGTAGGCCTTGGAGACGACGTCGGCGTGGTCGGCCCAGACGTTGCGGTACATGTGCATGAAGGTCTCGTGGGTCTCGACCTTTTCGTCCTTGGACAGCACGCCGACGGCGCGCAGCTGGTCGTTGAGCACCCACCGCGCCAGCGTGCCCTGGACGACGTTGGTGCGGTCGAGGCAGTCCATGCAGTTGGTGCGCACCACCGACTTCTGCTGGCGGACCACCGGCTGGCCCTGCCGTGTTGTATCGTTGAGGAAGTAGTCGTCGCTCTCGAGGCCCTTTGCGTGGAGCCGGTCAATGAGGTCCATGACGCGCTCAAACTTCATCCCCTTGCACTCGTGGTGGAAATCGTAGTAGGTGTAGTGCACCTGCGGGTTGTTGAGCCCGTCGACGGCTCGCTCGTAGGCCTCCTTGACCGGCTTCTCGTATCCCTTCTGATTGACCAGGTTGACGAGGTAGACGTCGCCGTAGCGCGCCACCTGGTCTTCGAAGTGGCGCCGCGTAGCCTCGGCCTAGACGCGGAGCAAGGGGAGCAAACGGCGTTGCGAACGCATCAGCGCAAGGCTCAAAGAGAGGCGGACGAGCGGGGCCTTGCCGGCCATCGCGCACTCACCGTCTCGGGCATATCCATGATCTGCAGGTCCGGCTTGTACCGCAGGTTGTTGATCTCGGCCCAAAAGACCGGCACGCTTCCTCGAGTCTGGATGTAGCTCATCCGAACCTTGCCCTCGACTTTGCCGCCGGCGCCGCCCTCGCTGGGCGGGTCAACAATGACAAACTGCTCGGTCTCGTTGAAGTTGGAGACGTTGCCCTCCTTGTCGATGCCGCGGGAAAAGTAGCGGGTGCCGACGCGGTGGCGGGACCTGCGGGCGATGAGGCCGAGGACAAAGTTGCGGTTGTTGATGGTGGCCGACTTGACCTCGAGGAAGCCAAAGATGCAGGGCAGGATGAAGCGGGAGAGGTCCTGCGACGGGTTGGCAGAGGTGTGCTCGATGAGACGGGTCTGGAGGTACCGGTTCCAGAAGAAGCGGTCGTCGGCGCGCTTCCAGAGGGGCTGGGATGCGTCGGCGACGACATTCTGCCTCTGCAGGCTGCTAGTGAGGTCGTAGCGGTAGCTAAAGTAGAAGGGAGCGCTGTAGAGGTGCGACTTGAGCAAGCCCAGGAGCGTCTTCTCGACGGGGTGGCGGAGGAGCGAGGGGTTCGCCTCCCGGTTCACAGGGAGGACGCGGAAGTCGGTGGCCATGAAGATGTCTGCTCCGAGGACTTCAGCCACCTTTTTGCGGCTGGTGATGACGATGAGGAACTCGGTGGTGTGGAGCTTGATGAGACCGAGGATGCCGTGGACATCCATGGTCTTTGTGGCGTTGGCCTTTGCGCCGGGCACGCCGACCTGGATGTCGCCCTGGTCTCGGTCGACGGTGAAGGAGTCGGAGGGCGACTCGGTCGAGACGAACGTGTAGGCATCCTGGCTGATGTAGAGGCGGAGGGCCTCCCAGAGGAGGGGCTTGGCGGCCATTGCGATGGATGCTGCGGCGTCGAGGTGAGGTTGAATGTTGGGTGGCTGCAGGGTGATCTGCGTCTAGGATGGGAGCGATGACCTGTGCGCGGTATCGAGGAGATTGAGCGTGGAGGAGATGGACGTCGCTGCGAGGGTTTGGGTATCGAAGGGTGACGGAAGGAGGTGGGCAAGGTGAGGGAGGAGGGGAAGGACAGGGGAGTAGGCGAGGTAGGTCTTCGTCACACGTTGGGACTTCGGCTATCGGAGGCCAGGCCAGTCGGAAGGCCAAAGCGTGAAAGGCACGCAGGCTGCCTGTTGTGGGCCGCAACCCGCACGGTGCACCCGTGGGCCAGGTTCGGGGTTCAGAAACCAGACAGGCCAGGCCAGGCCAGGCCAGGCCAGGCCTACAGTGCCAAAGGCAGAGAGCAGCGGCTCCGTAGCCTGGCTTCCCAACTTGGCCTTGCTCCTCCACCTTCCTCTTCCCCTAACCCTCAACCACCAACCCGCAGGGCCCGACGACATGGCAGCTCCCCAGCACCTCCAGGCGCGCGTCGCCACCCTGCACTTGCAGCAGAGGGTGAGCACAGATGGCGACGCAGGAGGTTGGCCCCTTCCCATCGAGCGCACACCGGACCCTCGCTGACGTCCAGACTCCGGACCCCTCCGCTCCCCACAGGTACAGACCTTGACCGTACTCGAGAGCGAGCTGGCGTCTCTCAAGCCTGGCGCAGTGAGTCAACAGTCGGTCGCTGGGCGCACACCCAGCACAGTCTCACACAATATCTGCGCCTGACACCTCGCACCTCCTTCCGACGCCTCTGCGCAGCGCATCTTCCACACGGCAACCGCCTCAGCCGACCAACTGAGCATCGCGCACTCCCATGGTCAGCTGGCGCTCTTCCCCGGCCTGAGCAAGGAAGGCGCGCTCAACGACGTGAAGCGTGAGCATCTCGCGGGTCCCTTGAGCCTGGGCTGCCAAGCATTCCGGAAGCTGACGTGCCCCCCTGCGCTGTCTCGACGTACCCTCGACACCGCAGGTCAGAAGCAGCTCGCCAATGCAGACCTCAACCAGGCGCTCGAGCAGATCAACGCGGACCGGGCAATCGCAAAGTGACGAGACGGTGAGATGACCGCAACGTCTTCCCCTCGCTCATCGCAGTACAAGCCCAAGGGATATCGATCAAGCACTGGGACGGGCGACAGCAAAGGTTCGCACCATCGTGCGGTCCCTGCTGTTGATGGGAAAGGCAACTAGCATTAGCGCACGATCTCGACATATCCGCGCTCCGAAGCCACTCTCGCACAAATCTGGGCAGCCCACGATCGCCGCCACTTGAAGACCTCGCTCATCCTCGTCGACCACAGCAAGCCGCCCTAGACAGGGGCCGGTACAGGACATCTTCCGGCTCTCGCACCGCATCGTGCACGAAGCAGCCGCTCCTACGAGGCATCAAGTGCTCGCCATGTCACCATGGCGTTGCCGCTGGCCAAAGCGCCATGCCCGCATGCCAGAAGCCTGGCGGCGAGTGCGCCTTCCGGCTCGATCGCCCGGCCTAGTAACCCGCAATGAAGTGAGCCCTATGTCGCACAATCGCTCTCCAAGGCAGCTGAGCTGAATTTGCCGCCGTCGCAGCAAGGAAGCGACCAGGATCGTCGCCCCCGCCAGAGCGTTCAAGGGCCGGGTGGGAGCGGGAACCCTTTTTGGCTGAAGGCGGCCAGGGTCCACCTCGGATTTGAATTGTATTCGGTCGTTATCGACCAGGTTGGGGCTGACTACAAGAGTCGATTTCGACCTTGAATCGATTTGGATTTTGCCGTGCGCTGTGCGTGGAGGGTGGGCGAGGCGAAGTCGAGAAAAAGTTGGGGTGGAGCTTTCCGAAGAGCCAGGCATCATGGGGAGATCCAGCGGCGGCGGTGGAACTTTTGGCTGCTGCCCTGCGCGTGGCCTGGCTCGCCGAGAAGATTTCTCCGCGGCGCGCTGCGCCGAGCCAGACTAGCCCTGGCCCTGGCCCTGGCCCTCGCTGCACCCTTGCCTGCCTGCTGGCCCACGCTGATGACCGTACCCATTCGACGGCGACGAGAGGCGTGCGCGTTGCTGCTCCCGGCCCACTCTCTGTCCACCACCATCACTCGTCGAGCCACCGTTCTCCTCTCCCCCGCCGCTACCCTTTGCCAAGGTCCATCCCACCCCGCCGAATCGCAAAGATGGCATCTCGACACGTCCTCGCCACGCTCGGCCGCAACCTGGCCTCGACCTCTTCGGCCGTCCCCAACACCAGCTTCGCCCGCCGATGCATGAGCACGAGCGTCGTGCGCCATGCCATCTCCAACTTCACCATGCCCGCCATGTCGCCCACGATGACGTCGGGCGGCGTGGCGACGTGGAAGGTCAAGGAGGGCGAGTCGTTTAGCGCCGGCGATGTGCTCCTCGAGATCGAGACCGACAAGGCCACCATGGACGTCGAAGCGCAGGACGACGGCATCATGGCCAAGATTGTCGTCCAGGAGGGTGCGAAGGACGTCCAGGTCGGCAAGGTCATTGCCGTCCTCGCGGAGGAGGGAGACGATATCTCCAACGTCGAGGTGCCAAAGGAGGACGAGCAGGCTTCGCAGCCGCAGCAGCAGCAGCAGCAGGAGAAGGACGCCGAGACGAGTTCAGGACCCACGTCTTCGCAGCAGTTCGGACAGGAGGCAAAGAGCAGCCCGCATCCGTCGACGCAGACTGGCGCATCCACCGGCGGCGCCGCGCCCGGATCCTCGTCCTCAACGTCGCACCACCAGTCCAAGGGCCCCATGTTCCCCTCGGTGCAGCGGCTAATCGCCGAAAACAACATCCAGGACGCCGAGTCCAAGATCAAGGGCACCGGCATCCGCGGCATGATCACCAAGGGCGACGTCCTCGCCTTCCTCGGCAGGGCAAAGAGCCCCACGGGCACCTTCAAGGAGGCAAAGGGCGGCATCGCCGTGCTCGGGCCCAGCCAGGCCTTCCCCAAGAAGGCATCCGGCGCCAACGCGGCCTCGTCGGGTGATGCCAAGAAGGTTAGCGAGGTAAGTCTCGTCCAGTTGTCCCTGGTCGCCCTCCGGCTAGACCGCAGCGATAGGTTAGAGCGCAAGCAGCTAAAGACGAGCAACCGCAACCGCAATTGCGACCTCTCTCTCCCCTCTCCGACTCCTTCCCCGCCTCCACCTTCTTTCCCCTTTGCGCTCCGACCTCCCTGCAGCCTCTGACCGGCACCGAGCTGCGTTCGCTCATCATTGGCGGCCTCGCAGCATCGGCAGCGGCCCGCAAGACCCGGCCTGCTCCCACGCCAGCCCCGGCACCGGAGCCTGCGCCCGTGGCACCCAAGAAGGTCGTCACCCGCAAGGACGGCATCCGATCCGACGACCCGCTCTGGTCGCTCTTCTGACGAGAGCCCAGCTCGATGCTGATCCCCCTTGACCCACGCGCCGAGGTCACCGCTGCCTCTAGAGACGAATGCATCTTTTCTTCCATGACACGAGAGTGGGACGGCGCCGGGGTTTTACATCGCATCGCAGCGGCGGCAGTTGGCGCGGCGGGACAGTCACAGAGAGTCGAAGATTGAGCAACAAAACGGAGATGTCTAGGGACGGGCGCTGGATGGAAACACGTATCGAGGCGGCGAGGCGGCGCGGCTCAGAGCTTGGAGCGGGGCAGGTCCGAGTCAAAGTCGGTCGTCTGCATGTCGTTGATGTCGACGTTCCACTTGGCCGAGTTGAGGGGCTCGCGGATGGCAAAGTCGAAGAGCGCCTCGTAGACGTTGCCGTCGGAGCGGCCGAGGCTCGAGTTGAGCAGGTAGTCGGGCACGGCAAACGAGTCGACGAGGGCGATGGCGTTGGGACGCAGCTCGGCCATGATCTCCTGCACCTTGCTGCCGAGCAGGTGGAACTGGGCGCCGTCGATGTAGCCCGAGGCGAGGAAGTCGGCGCCCTCCTGCTCCATGGTGTGGCAGGCGAAGAGGAGGAAGATCTTCTGCACAATCTGGCGCAGCGCCGGCTTGCTGTTGAGCTTCTCGTCCTTGTAGATGGCCATGCCAAAGTTGCGGACGATGAGGTACTGCGAGTGGGCGCGCGAGCACTTGTACAGCTCGACGAGCAGCGAGTTCCACGAGCGCTTGGCGTCGTCGCGCAGGTGAAGCGCCTGCTCGGTCAGGTAGGCGGCGCGATGCCCAAAGGCCTTCATGAAGAAGAGCGGGTCGTAGAGGTCGCCGCTGAACTTGACCGACGCCTTCTCGCCCCTGTTGTCGAGGTAGCGCATCATGTAGTCCTTTGTCAGGTTGTCGTCGACGCGGCTGGGGTCCTTCTTGAGCTCGCGCATCGTCTTGAACAGGTAGCGCGTGCACTGCTGCGAGAGCATGTACGAGTCGCCCTCCCACGTCGCCTGCGGCAGGTAGTCGGCGAAGAAGTCGGGCAGGCCGGAGCTCTTGCTGTAGCCGTGGCCGCCGCACGCCTTGCGGCACACCTCGATGGCGTCCGAGGCGTAGAGCGTGGTGAGCGACTTGAGGCCGGAGCTCGAGGCGTGGGTGTCGGCGAGGAGCGAGAGGTCGCCAGACTCGATGTTGGCCTGGTTGCGCGTGTACAGGTCAAACATGAACTGCGAGGTATAGTGGAACGCAAAGGCCTGGGCCAGGATGGGGAAGAGGCGGATCTGGACCATGGTGTAGTCGAGCACCTGGGTCTCGAGCGGGCGTCCCCCCTCGTCGAACTTGGGCGCGTCCTTGTCGGCAAACTGCCTGCGGATGGCGCAGTAGCGGATGGCGACGGTGACGGCGCGCATCAGCACGCTCGAGGCGTCGCGGACGATGTTGGCGCGGACCCAGGTGAGGGTGCCGTAGGCCAGCTTCGAGTTCGGCGGCGGCAGGTACTTGCCAGTCTCGGGCTCGACCTTGGAGAAGCGGGCGAGCAGGTTGAAGTGGGGCACGCGGACGTGGTCAAAGAGGAGGAAGCCGTTGTCGGTGGTGTTGTAGCCGGCCTTGGGGCCGATGTCGCCGATGGTGCGGCCGGGCAGCGGCTCTCGCGTCTTGACGTCGCGGATCTGGACGACGAGCGGGTGCGGTCCGTAGCTCTTGCCGTGGATGATGAGCTGTGCCATGACGACGGCGTGGTCGGCGGTGCGGCCGAGACCGCCAATCCACCACTTGCTCGAGGTGAGCGTTGGGCTGTTAACCTCCCACTCCTGGGTCTCGGGGACCCAGGTGGCGGTGGTCTCGATGCCCTGGACGTTGGATCCGTGGCCGAGCTCGGTCTGGGCGTAGCAGCCGATGATCTCGTAGTTCTTTGCGGGCTCCCAGAAGGCCTTTCGCTGCTCGTCGTCGCCCTGGTTGTAGAGGGTGGTGAGGAACATGCTCTTGTGCAGTCCAAACGGACCGGGGAGGTCGGCGAGCTTTTCGGCGACCTGGACCTCGGTCTGTCCCCAGTTGTGCTCGTGGGTGAGCTGGGCGAGGCGCTTGTCCTTGAGCATAGCCCTGCGGAACTTGTCGGTGCGGCTGAGGTAGAAGTCGGACGACTTGTCAAAGACGGGGTCGTTTTCGAGGATCTCGAGCAGGCGAGCCTGCATGTCGAGCCAGTCCTTGCCGTGGATGTACTCGGCCATCTCCCTGCTGTCGAAGCTGGCCTTTTGCCTCTCGATCTTGAGGAGCTGGCTGCCGGACACGCCGGCGGGCTTGAGGCCCTCGGGGATCTTGACAAAAGCGGGCGGAGCCATGGTGGGCGTGTGGAAGCGACGGGAGCAAAGGGGAGGGGGGGATCGATGGATGGGTGGCGTCGATGGAGTCGTCTAGCTAGCGATGCCGCAGCGTGGGGTGTCAGATGCGGGGGCGGGCAAGGCTATGTGGCGAAGGGTAGCGGCAGGGTTGCGAGGATGGTTGGGAGGAGGAGGGTGGCGAACGAGGGGAGGCACGAGGTTTGCTTTATGGTGAGACGACTTTGGCGGTGCCCCGCATCGACCGGCTGAACGGGTGTCGAAACGGTCTCTCCCATCGTAGCCGGTGGGCCGAGCCTCTGCCTCTGCCTCTGCCTGCCTCTGTGTGGGTGTGGCCGCGTTTCGATCCATGCAGCCCTGCCCGCCTGCCTGCCAGCCGGCCTTTCTTCCAGACTCTGGCCCCGCGAGGCCGACCTGGCTGAGCTGGCTGGGCTTTGGCTTTGCCTTGCTTGGCCTTTTGGCCGGGCCACTTTGCCGGTCGTCGCCGGAATGCAAAAAGGCCGCAGACTGAGGCAGGCAGGCCAGGGTGCTGGCGCGCGGGTCGCTCGCTGGCTGGCTGGCGGGCCGCCAATTACGTGAGGCTGGGCCTGCACCGGCTTTCACTCGATCCGGCGTCGCAGCCCCAGCCTCACCGGAGTGCGGAATCAGGCTGCCCACTCGGCCGTAGCCCGATATTTTAAATCAACTAAAAAAAAAACGCCCGATGCCGATCTGATGGCACTGACCCTGTCGAAGATGATAACCGCGAGGGTTCTCATCGATTTGGCTTCAACCGCCAACCTCGACCGACGTCGGGCGCTGGCCAATCAACCTCACAACGCTGCCCCACGCCGACGCTCGACAACCTCGAAGAGAATCTCTTCGCCCGACCCTCGGACGACAGTCGTCGACGCGGCTCTTCTCCCAACGTAACATCATATCACCTCCCGCCCTCACCCCTCCCAATAACTAGCGCCTGCACCGCCCCATGCTGCTCAAAGGTGCCGTTTCGCACCGCTAGACATTCGGGCACGACTCTTGGCGGATAGCTTCGGCGGCCATCACCATGACCGCAGCGCCTTCGCCGCCCTTGCCGACCCGTGCGAGCCTTCTCGAACTCATTCAGGCGGCCCAACAACATCTGGCCAGCAGCAGACCGCCCTCCCCGCGTAGCCCGGACAAGGCCAAGGTCATCGACCCGTCCTATCAGCATCTCCATCAACTGCTCACTCCGCCTATCCTACCGCCCATTATCGACAATGGCAAAGGACTCTCTCAAGGTTCTCGCCACCCGCTGCACCTCTCCGATGAACTCGGCAGCACCTTCGCCGAGCAGCAACACGTCTGGGCCGACTGGGTGTGCTGTGACATGGACCATGCCACCGCCTCCTCCTGCGATGACTGCCAGACGCTGACCTGCGCTTCCTCGCTCGCCAATGGCTCCACGTGCGACTCCAAAGGCTGCCCGTCGGCCTCGCACGTCTCCACGGCCATGGCCTGCTGCGATTCGACCGACTGCGACACCTCATCGGCAGAGGTCTGCGACGGCATCCACTCCTCTGCCACTGCCTGCTTCGACTCGACTTGCACAGGATCGCCCGTTTGCGCCCTGCCGGTCGCCACATGCTGCGATCTCCCCGACTGCAGCGATGGCAAGAGCCAGGCTTGCTCCACCGCCGCCGTGGAATGCTGCGACGAGCCCCACTGCCCCGAGCTCAAGGATGGCTCGCCTGCACCGCACGCCGTCGACTGCCCCGACTGCAACCTTCCATTCGGCGCCCAAGGTCGAGGCCCCGGAACGATGTACGGCAGCTTCCAGGAGCTACTCGACTGCTGCTGCTGTCGCTCCTCCTTGACCGAGTCGGAAGATCGTCCCCAAGATGCATCAGCGCGCCAGAGGCTGGTCGAGGATGTAGCTGCTCACGGCACTTCCGCGCACGACCTCTGCACGACCCACGAGCCTTGCGTCCCGCCGCCAAGCACAGCGTATCTGTCAGGTGGCCCGTCTCATCACCATCAGCAAGCCGACGCTTCATCCTGCCAGCCTCGTCAGCTGTCCCAGCCGCCCACCCCCTCCTACGTTTCCCTCAGCGGCTCCCAACGGACCTCTGTCGGCCATACCCCAGCTTACTCTCCATCGGTGACCGACTCCACCATCGACACTCCCACATATGGCGCGAACCGTCAACACACGCACCAAAAGACGCCCTCCGCTGGCCCTGCAGGACAGCATGATGGGCTTCAGCTTCAAAATTTTCGCTCTTCGTCCCTCTCATCGGCATCGCACGATGACTGGCATAACGGATTCGCCGCGATCCAGCCTGCCGCCGGCTCCGGCTCGAGCGTGAGCAGCGCATGTCACTTTACGCAGCCGCACGGCCACGCCTTCAATGGCGGGTGCTTGCCGCCCACATGGACCTCCGGCGGTCCCAACTCTCAGGAAGCCTCCGACTTCCATGCTCGTTGGTATCCGGAGCCCGACTCTCAAAATTTGGCCCCCATCGCACTCGACGACCAAGCGAAGGCCGCTCCTGCTCGCAGTGCCCCGCCGCAGGAAGACGCCAGACTCCAGCGCTGCCAATGGGCCGGGTGCAAGGATCGCTTCTGGACGGTCGAGGAGCTAGTCGCACACGTCAACCACGCGCACCTCGCTAAGAAGCAGGTCGACCCCGCCCCATCGGCGTCTGCGACGTCGGCCCCTATCAGATCTGCCCACGGCTGGCCCGACTTTTCTATCGCTGCACACGGCGGGCACGGTGTCGACAGCGCTTTGGCTATGCCTCCGTCCTCGGCGGCTGCCGCTATGCCCTGTATGTGGAGCGACTGTCGTTCGACGTCGGGTCCAGAACAGGACGTGCAGCTCGACGATGTCATCGCCATGCTGAAGGAGGCCGGAATGGACTGGCCAAGCGACACGGACGCCATCAACGACAAGGCCACGGCCGCCATGCTGCAGCACCTATGGACGGCGCATCTCGGCCATGCGACGCAAGGCAGCCAGCCTGGCCTTCTCGAGAATGCGGCACCGATGGCTGCTGTACGATCCGGCAAGCGGAGAAGACAAGGTCCGGCAGAGCTCGACCTGGCGCGACCGGCGACACTGGGCCGTGCTGACAAGAGGGCACGCTCTTCGGCCCCTCCTGACGAGGGTGAGGACCGGTGCTGCGACAATGTGAGGATCGGTGCCGACGGCAAGAGCGGTCACGTCTGCGGCTGGGAGGGCTGCTCCGAGGTCTTTGCGGACCACCAGGGCCTCACGGAGCACATCACAAACGTGCACGTCGGCTCGGGCAAAGCGGTCTACGAGTGCCGCTGGGTGGGCTGCGAGCGGTTCCACAAGGGACGGCAGTTTTCGCAGAAGCAGAAGGTCCTGCGCCACATCCAGACGCACACCGGCGACCGGCCGTTCAAGTGCGAGCTGTGCGGGCGGCGGTTCAGCGAGGCCAACACGCTGGCGCAGCACGTGCGGACGCACACGCAGGAGAAGCCGTTTGTGTGCGACCATCCCGGTTGCGGCAAGGCGTTTAGCGTGTCGGGATCGCTGACGATCCACAAGCGGACGCACTCTGGGGCCAAGCCGTTTGTCTGCAAGCATCCTGGCTGCGACAAGGCCTTCGCCGAGTCGAGCAACCTGACCAAGCACATGCGCCTGCACAGCGGCGAGAAGCCGTTCAAGTGCGACGAGTGCGGCAAGAGGTTCAGCCGGCCCGACCAGGCGTCGCGACACCAGAAGACGCATCAGAGGAAGAGGGATCGGTTGAGGGCCAAGATGAGCGGTGGCGAGGCCCAGGGCTCGGTCGCGGAGGAGGCCGAGGAGGACGATGCCGGCGACGAGTAACGAGGCGCGACGCGGCGCTGACGGCGCGAGCCTTGTGCCGTCGAGGTCATTGGAATGGCGAGCTGTTTTCGAAGCTGCCTCTAGCCCTTCCCTATACCCTAGCGTAACCTCGCGGAATCGCAGGCGTGCAAGCGATCACCTTTGCTGCGATGTGCATGTAAGGAGGCCGTTTGGAGGGCTGAGCCGAACGCGGGAGGTGGCGAGGCCCGACTTGGGTCAACTTCGGAACCGAGTCGCGGCTGACCAACAGCCGTCAGGGCGGGCGGGGTCCAAACCTCCACACACGCCCTTGCTCGCTCACACGTCTTTCGTCCTTCTGCCTGCCCCCGTCGTGGCCCGACTGTCGCCGCGCTGCTCAGCACCAACCATCCCATTCTCCAACGCCACCACCAGCTACCGCCGACCTCCGCCCGCCACAATGCTGCGCCGCCTCGCACCAAGTCTAGCTCGGCCGCTGGTCGTCTCCCGCTGCGTGCCCGCGCTGCCACGCGCGCTGTCCACGACGCCCTACTTTGCAAGGCCCTCGCAGGATCCCGGTGGGAAGCCCAACGACGGCAGCCACCGCACCGTGTACGACGACTTCCACAACATCCTCGACTCGTCGCTGAGACCCTCGCTCAGCATACACAGCACGTCGGACGAGACGTTCACGCTGCAGGACGGTCTCGTCCTCTCGACGCCCATCGTCCTGCTCAACAACCAGGTCTTCATGTGGAATGCTCCGCCCCTAGATCCCATGCGCGCCACTCCTGGTGGTCTAGGGTGGGATCAGTGGTCCGAGGAGGACGTATGGAGGGTGTTTAAGATGGTCGATGATCGTCCCGGTGAGTGGCGGTCCCTGTCCTCGCTCCCGACCTGGCACCGTGGCGGCTCTAACCGACTTCTTCCGCTGCCCTCCGGACTCGCACCTGCAGAGATCCTCCTCTTTGGCACGGGCAAGACGGTCCTGCCGCCTCCGGCCTCGGTCCGCAAGCTGATCAACGACCTCGGCATCCAGCTCGACGTTCAGAACACGGTAAGCAACCCCCGTCCCCACTGATCTCGTCTTCCCCTCGCTCATCCTCCCCCCTATGCACCTCTCCCCCCGCCCGACGAGCAGAGAAACGCATGTTCGACGTTTAACCTGCTCGCCGAAGAGGGTCGCAAGGTGGCGGCCGCTCTCCTTCCGCCAAAACGGACTCCGATCGAGAAGGTCACGCCGCAGCAGCTCCAGATGGAAGAGTCGGATTACCTCCATTGAGACCGGACCCTACACGCTTTGGCCTGCTGGGCAATGAGATCTGCTGCCTTCCGCGCCGGCGAGCATCGCCTGTCCGCTGTCCGAGTTGCCCGTCCACCCGCGCGAGAAGGTGTGAATCGATGGCCTAGAGATTGCCCGACCCACCAGATCGTCTTGAGATCCCCGGCCATGCCTCGGATCCGGGCCGTCATACGCGAGACTGAAACGAGCGCCATGCTGCACGCACGCCCACTCTCGATCCGACCTTCGGCAAGCGTTGAGAAGAAAGCTGAGCGAGGCAGGCAGGCTGGTCCGCAGCCAACCAGGGTCTCTAGACTCGCGGTGTGAGACGTTGCAGGAACGACGAGGGACCCATCTGCTGCCCATGCAAGGAGGCCAACGGGTCGCAAGTTTATACGTACGTACGGTGTGGGTGCGGCCCGAGAGGTCCCAACTTAACACGGTCGTCGCGAGGCATGTGAGAAGCGAGCGTTGTTAGCCCCCGAGCCTCCTCCGTCTCTCGGTAACGCTGCTGCTACTCACGGTACCGGTACTTCAAGGTTTCATGCTTCCGACGTGATGCCGCACTTGGATCCCGCACTGACCCCCCCCCCCCCCCCCTGGAGCGGCTGAGGGTGAGCCGCAGTCAAGCGCGTTCCGGTCCAGCGCCCAGGGGAACCGTGGGGAGGCACCCCGACTCGACGGAGTGGCGTCGAGGTCAAAGCACGAGCCCGGTGATCACGCCAAGGCACCTGCGCCCTCGAAATCGCTGGCAGACGTCGCCCGGACCTTCGTCGTCGCGATTCCTGTGGTCAATGCGGTGGCGTTCACGCTGAGCCGACGCAGACATACCGCGCCATGTTCCGAACGGGCGATGAACATGTACCTGGACACTGTGCGATCCCAGCCAGGCTTCGGTACCGCGAGACAAAAGCTCTACGGCCGTCAGACGAGTGCCCCTTCTTCTCTTCCCGAATCGAATACACGCTCCTGACAGCTTGTACCGTACCACCTCTCTCTGTTCTTCTTCGGTGGAACGTCACCATGGGCTCGACCCATGCTCACTGCCCTGAGCTAGGGCCCGTTCGCGCTGCAAGGCTTCCATCGAGGTCAGAGCGCTGCATTATGCAGGCCAGATCGCAATGCGGCTCTGTACGTTCAATAGCGTCTGTGGCGTCAAGGTGGGCTGCCTCGCTGTACTTGACAAATGCTGCCGTACGGATGCAACGAGTCTGTACAAACGTGGCCCGGCCGAGGTCGACCACCATTCGCAATGTTTTGTCTGTAGGGAAATGGCTCGTGCGTGGCTGACCACCTCTGCCGCAGTCACCCGTTGGACTGGCCCGTCCGGGCCGGACGGCACCCACGGCGCCTGCCTGGATGACCGTCGGTGCTGCGGCGCCGTGTGTCAGCCTCAGACGACAGCGGAGCACCGGACAAGCCTCTCCGCGGCACGCCCCCGGGCCTTGGTAGCGTCCGTTCATGCTTGAATGGTCACACATGAGGGGCACGGGCACAAAAGGATGGCATGAACAAGGGCCCGTTCAGGCAGGTCTTCATTTTCCTCTCGCCTCTCCGCATGTCGAACCTGGCCCGCACCACGGGCAGGCGCGCGTGCGCGCGCGTTGGCTTGCTTTGGTTGCCGCGAGTGTGGGCATGCTGATCTGGTTTCTCAAAGCAGACGGGCAAACAGACAGCCAAACAGAGGTGCCGTGATACCGATCTTCCTGCTCGACGCCTACTGTACAGAGCAGCACCAGGGACACATGCGTGCGCTGGCTTTCACATCATCCGCCTCTGGGATGGCCATCGTTCAACGCTACATACAGGAAGCAGTGATAACAGGCAGGAGGCCTTGGCAATAAAAGAAATGTCTGGTCTAGGCGGATGCTGCCGTATGCTGCTAGATCGGCCGTACGATGGCGGAAGAGGCCTTGCGTGCTCAACGCTGCGGCTCACTTTGGCGCCGCGCGGACTTGCCGCGAGAGTCGCACTCGCGTCCATTACCTACTTATGAACTGACTGCGCGCAAGTCGGCGTACAGCAGGTGCTGCGCAGCCCGGCATCGCGCAGCCCGGCTTCCCTTGGTCGGTCGAGCGCGGAGACTTGGTGACCGCGTCCTGGCTCCAGCTGGCCTTTGGGAGGGCCGTCCAAGTACGTACTACCGATAACCGTCCGGCTTCGAACAGGACGACGCCACAAAATACTGTAAATCCCCCGACGAAAGGCAGCTTCGTACGTACTCGGTCGGCGTGACAGCCTGGCCGGTCGAGTGACTTGCAGTTCCGAAGAGACAAAGAACTCGGATGAAGGCTGAGAGCCGGAGCGGACGCCACTCTTTCAGTTCGGCTGCTCCAGGCACGGTACGGTGCTTCTTTGCACGTTGATCTGGCCCGTGCAAAAGTCCGCGGCGACTAGACTCAGCCACCCACGCGGAAGGAGTCGGTAGTGTGGGAGCGCGAACGAGGAGGCCAGGATGCTTCTCCACCATCGACACAGGCCTCCAGTAGCGTGTAGCCAAGACCGCTCCGCGAGAGGTTCACGAAAAAGCTCCGCCGGCCAGACCGTTTCGCTGCCGGCTCGTCCGATGGAGAATCGCTACCCCCCTTTCTACCAGCTTGACACAACATGCTGAGAGTTGGCCGCGCCAGCTGAACAATCCTGAATGAGGGCTTCTCCGACCCAGAGAGACCCGTCAGTCAGAGCGCGTCTGCACCGTGGTCGATGCTGCAATGGAAAAGCCGATAGACGGGCGGACAGTAGCGCCTGCAAGGGCGGGGAACGGCGCGCGGCGCGTCAGGGTAAGCGCGTCGGCTCGGCCGCCAGTCCAGATCTTGCCTCGGTCGCCAGAAACCAACTAGGTGCCTCATCAGCCGCTCGTCCCAGGCTTAGGCGTTTACGATCCATGTGCCACTTTGTGGCGCTCCTGCTGTGACGAATACTAGTGCTGTATGTGCTTGCCTTCTTCTGTCGCTCCTCGTCAAGCTACTGACTGTGAGCGGGCAATATGGCGAGTTCTAGATCATCTTGAAGCCATGCCGTTCTCTCGCAAAGGGCACGGTAGTGCGGGAAGAAATAGGTCAGGCTTGTTAATGCCTACCTGGACGCCTTCTCTGCCGCAGCCAGCATGACGGGAGCTGGACGGTGATCCGAAGATTTTTTCTTGAGGCAAGGGAAGGGTTCATGCCAAGGGAAGGCAACCGACTCTTCTACCGAGCAATGGCGTAGATCACTCAACAAGTACCCGCTCCGCTGGGCGGCCGGTTGTATGGAAGGTCAAGGTGCGAGGAGCGAGGTGCGAAGTGCGAGGAGCGAGGAGCGAGGAGCAAGCGGGCCTCCCCTTCCCACACCCCTATCCTTCCCGAAGATCGAGACAACCAGCCTACCTCCCCGCGCCGGCCCGAACGGGCTGTGAGAAGGCGACGGTGGAGCGCGGAACATGCCGCCCTCTCACATGCACCCGCCATCGCCGAGCTGGTTGCCTGCCTGCTGCTCGCTCAGGGCCAAACGCGGTGCAGCAGGTACGGTAATTGAACCGCCAGACGGGCGGTCGGCGGCGGCAGTCGGTGTCTGGGCGTCAAACGAAAAAAAGAGGACGCAGGCCGTTGCTGCCACCATGCGGCATGCTCCGGTCGTGAACAGAGATCCCGACAAGACGGGGCTGGAATCGGAGCCCGAATGGAGCGAGCAGCTGGGCCATGCTCCGAACGTCCATAGCCTCGGCGCACGCTTCCGTGGCTCCAAAGGTTGTGCAACTCGGAATCGACCGCTGCGTTCGAGAGAAAGATACCCGAAGCCGTCGACAGCGTCGAGGCAAGAAGGTGGACTACCGGCGGTCAAGGATCGATGAAGGTTCCAAGCATGTAGGACGGCAGAGTACAGTACTGTAGGGCCCGGCGAGATCCAGCTAGCCGGTGGCGTCGTCCGACGCGCGGCGCTCGAGTCGACCAGATCGCTGGTCGCGGAGTGAGGTGCAAGATGCCATGATTCCGCCTCGAGAGGGCAAGGCAACGACGGAGAGGTAGTGCAGCGACAACCAGATCCACATCGGGCAGGTCCATGAAAGCAAGCAGAACGTCGCGACAGGACGTCCTTCGCTCATGCTCTGGGCCAACATTCGTCGCGGAAGGAGGCTTGCTCCAACCCCTGAAGCATTAAGATTGCGATCGGGGCTGGCTGGCGGTCGGTTGCATGCTGCCAGGCCTCCATCGTCGTCGCCGGTCGAGTCGAGTAGGTGCCCCTTCATAGGCAACGAACGGCCACGGCTCGACCGTCGGTCGCGGGGCGGCACAAGGAGCTAGTACGGGGCGAAGGGGCCAAGCGTGAGAAAGGGTTGCCCTGCATGGCAACGGCGCTGGCTCCGAGGTCGAGCCTGAAGCATATGAAACGAAGTCAGCGTGTCGAGTGCAACACGCCAGCGTACTCGGTACCCATTTGGCCAAGGCGACGAGGACCTTCGATGGTCTGGCAGGCCAGGAGCTGCAGGAGAGTGGAAGACTAGGCTAGGGTCGGTGGTGGTGGTGATGGGTGCGTCGATCTGGGAGCTGCGCGTCAGGCTTGGCTTGGTCTGCGGCCCAGCAGCAAGGGCTTAGGTCGGCTTTTGTGCGAGCCGAAGCAGCCAGCATCGCTGGGCAACCGCCGCATTTTTCTGCTCCTCTCTGACCTGCGTGCACCTGCTGCTGGCATGGCTGCTTCCTTGCTTGCTTGCTTGCTTGCTTGCTTGCTTGCTTGCTTGCTCGCTCGACGGCTGGCGTGCGGCCTGGCCGGTGTCCAGACCCTCGTCCAGCGTGCTGCTTGCGTGCAGACAGACCGGCAGCCGGGCAGACAGACGAACGGCCTTCGGAAACGCAGCAACGCCGGCCCCCCTCTCTGGAGAGTGGGCCGCATCGCCTGCCTACTCCTTTTGAGTTAATGCGCAGATGCAGGCCTCAGCTGCATGCCCGCGCTCTCACCCTCAACACATGCATGCAGCTGCTGGCTGCCGTGCTTGGAGGCGAGACCAGCAGGCTAGGTCTTCGCTCGAAGGTCGGCGGACGAAGCGAGCCGGCCTGCCTGCCTCTGGGCGTAAGGGCCCGGAGGGCGGGGCGATCTGTCCGACATGGGAAAGGAGCCAGCGTGCAACACTACACTTCTTGCCTGGCGGCGGCGTAGAGGCTAGGCGGGGCTAGGCTAGCAGGGCAGCACACGCGGACGGACGGGGCTGCTCGTCGATGTACCCAAACCTTGTCGAGAGCCGGCTGGGCACCCGCCCGGCCTAGCCTGCCTGCCTCTCTCCGTCGAGCGGCGGCGAGTCGAAAATGAACTTTGCCCTCTGCCAGGCGAGGCGAGGCAGGCCATGGCGAGACCGGGGATGGTGCGCGTGCCGTGGCCACCAGATCGAGGACAGAGAGCCAGCCCCGGGCCAGCCCATTTCCTCTTCCCGTCGCCGGCTTCGCTCCCAGGGCCTCCTCTCGGCCACGCCTCGAGCCGTCGAGACCACGCCAGTCCCTTCAAAAGGGCCAACATTGTCGGTCAGAGCTTCCCTCTCGATCCCTTTGTCCCCTGTTCCTCGTTGCTCCACCTCCCTCTCCCCGCAATCCGCCCTCGTCGTCGCCGTCGTCGTCTTCGGTGCGCCCACACTAGCTACCGCCTAGCGCCACACAGACTTTGCCCCCTTTCGGCCCAATCGTCTCCCCTTGTCCCCCCTCGACGAGTCCGACTGAGCTCGTCCCTGGAACTAGACCGAGGTCCGAGCACGTCCTGTTAGCCCGCTGCCAACCGCCACCTAATCTGCTTCGTCTCCAAGATGGCCGCCGGAACTTTTGACCTCACGTGAGCTTCTCGGCCATCGCTTTTGGACGACAGGCGCACGCAGACTTGGAGCCGGCGCGCTGACCGATGCAGCTCTGCTCCCACCCCTCTCCCTCGCCTCCAATCCGCGTCGCGCGCACAGCCTCGGGTGCCTTTTCATTGGTGTTTCGCTCAATGTCTGGCTGTTTGGCTTCTCCCTGGTCCAGGCTTACATCTAGTGAGTGCGACGACCCGCCTCAGCGCGCGTGCGCGACGCGAATGCAGCGCCTCGACTTCGCAGGCTGACCTGGCCTCTCCCGCTCGCTCGTATCGACTTGCCACGCCGCAGCTATGTCCACTTCCCCAACGACAAGCGGTTCATGAGGTGGTTTGTCTTCTTCCTGGTGCTGGCCGACGCCCTCAACGCCTGCTTCGACCTCGCCTTCCTCTACCAGTACCTCGTCAGCTACTTTGGCGACCTCAACTACGCCTCGTACGCCAACACCGCCTTCACCGCCGACCCGGTGATGACGGGCATCATCGCCTTTGCGACGCAGCTCTTCTTCGCCTGGAGGGTGTACAAGCTGATGCACAACGTCTACATGCCCACCATCATCGCCGTCGGCGCGCTCATCTCGTTCCTCGGCGGTGTCGGCACGACGATTGCCGTCGCCATGTACCCCAAGTTTGCCGACTTCCAAAAGTTCCAGGTGATCGTCATCATCTGGCTCGTCGGCGCCGCCGTCACCGACGTCATCATCACCCTCTCGCTCGTCTGGACGCTCAACAAGGCGCGCACCGGCTTCGCCGCCACCGACGACATCATCACCAAGCTCATCCGCACCACCCTCCAGACGGGCATGCTCACCACCTTCTTTGCCACGGTCGACATCATCCTCTTCCTGGCCTCGAGCACCAGCTTGCACCTCGTCTTTAACCTGCCGCTGGCCAAGCTCTACGTCAACACCCTCCTCTCGACGCTCAACGCGCGCGTCAAGATGACGCCCGCCAACGCCCACTACACGCTCGAGGGCTCGCACAGCGACCGCGCCACCGGCGCCGAGCGCACCAAGCGCTCCGGCGTCTTCAACAAGGGCGCCACCTCGCGACCCGCCGCCTTCAAGAGCCACATCTCGTCCAACAACGACATCGAGGAGAACATGCGCGACTTTGCCGCCCAGGGCAACGACGCCGGCATCCACATCCGCACCGTCGAGGAGACGTTCGAGGAGCGCCACGAGCTCGAACAGACCCGCCCCTACATCCACAGCACGCACAGCGAGTCGTTCCGCACCGTCGAAAAGCCCCGCATCAGCGAGCAGGACTCGATGTGAGCCGGGCGGCCCCGCAAACGCCGCCTTCGCCGTCCAGCCGCAAAAGCAGCAAGGGGCCCGCTCGACCTCGGTCGCCGCCGCTGCCCCCCTGGCCGTCCTCGTCTCCTGGCTTTATAGCATGCTCCACGCTCTTTGCATATCGTCCCAGCCCACCATACCCCGGTCTTTGTCCCCTCTGTCACTCTCGCTCCGAGCTCCATCTTCCCGCGCCCACACTTCCTTCCCAGCCGTCTCTCCCGCGTCCCCCTTCGACGCTCCTCCTTGCTCACTTGCATATCGCGCCAGAGCACCTCCGCCTCGTCTTTCTATCGATCGCGCCACGGTCTCCGTCGTCGGTGGCCGAACATCTCCACTACAGCCACCTTCCCTCCCTCATCTCCCTCTTTTGTACTACTAGAACCCCGACGCGCAAAGAAGAGTTTTGTATCGCTCGACTCTACCCTGGTGCATGCCGCGTGTCCCGGTCTTGGCCCTGGCGAGATCATCCGTCTATCGTGGGGGTCGCTATGCTCCGATCTTGATGTCGAGGCTGCAGAAGAAGGCCAAGAGAGCGAGCAGGGGATTGATCGGCGTCGAGGTGGAGGAGAGCCCGGTGGGGGCCGGCTGGAGCGGATTTTCTTTTTCGCGGGCTGGCTGGCCTCGGGCTGGCCTGAATTGGGGGCTGACCAAGGCCGGTCGGTGCGTCGGTCGCTGGCTCGCTCGCCCGGTCTGTCACGCCGCTCGGGCGTGTTGGATCTGGAGCCACACCGTCATGGCGAATCCCACGTACATTGCCTCCCTCCATCTACCTACCTACCTTACACATACCTCTCCCCGCCCGGCCTTTGGTGCGCCACCCTTGGCGCCGGCCGGTACTCTTATATTTGCATCTGTCGAAACAGGTTCGGCTCATCCGAAAGTCACCAGGACACACCAGCGCTCTCACCCGCCCCGGTCTTCGCATTCGACTCGCCGGCAGAGGTCACCTCTTTCAGTCCCAAGGCTGGCTTACGAAGATTCCGACAGCCACTGCATCGACTCCTCTCAGCCCTCGTCAGAGAGGGGCGCCGATCCGTGCGCCAGCGTCTTGATCCTCGAATGGACATCCATCACCATGACCGGGCGGATGCGCAGCCCGGCCCAAGTTCGATGAGACGCTGCGATCTGCCAGCAGCACACTCCGGCTCGCATCCATCATCGTCGGCTTCACGCCCGAGCAGCCAGGCCGGGCCCTCTCGCTCGTCCCTCGGGTCACGCCATGCACACACTACGCCGATGCTGCGGGACCCGCCGAATCCGCCACACACAGCCGCCCTCGGCGGGCCTTCCGACGCTTTCGCCTCGGCCTTCGAGCTTGGTCGGGGAGCCTCTTACCTCAGTCTCGGAAACAGTCCGTCTACTGCCTCTTTATTGGGCGCCTGCTTGCTACCAAGGTCAACGGAACGCCTCTTGACCTCCGCATCGCTCTTCCCGTCAAGCGCTTCGGGGCAAGAAACCTCACAAACACCTTCCGCGTCCTTACCGCCAACCCCACTGTCGAAGCCATTCCAGTCTGCGCAACGCTGGTATCAGCGGAGATCGTTCACAAAGGAGGAAGTCGATGAGTTTCTGTACGGTGAGAATCGCCGGCTCTTCCGACAGCGCGGCCTTCACGAGGCACGCACCATCCTGACGGGACTGGCCGGCCGATCGGGCTTTGCGGAAGCGGCTGCGGCTTACTGACCGTGCTGCGCACCTCGCCCCCTGCTCTGTCGGCGTCGATTGTCTGTACAGACTACCGCACAGTGGTCACGGCCGGGACTGCCTCTCTGGTGTCGACCGCCGCCTCCTTTCCCGTGAGTCGCGGACCGCTACATCAAGACGCTGTCCGCGCGACAGCCTGGCTGATCTCGACCTCCGCTGCATGTTTCGTCTGCGCACCCCGCCCTGACCGCTGCAGTTCGACAGCGTCAAGAGCCGTCTTCAGGTGCGAGACTACCCAAGCATCTGGGCGTGCGCCAAGTCGGTGGTGCGGGAAGAGGGCGTGCGCGGCTTCTTCCGCGGCGTCACGATACCGCTCATCACCATCTCGTTCGTCAGGACGTCTTCTTTCAGCATCTACTTCAACACCAAAAACTACCTGCATCACAGGGGATACCTCAACAACCGCAACAGCCTTGTCGACACGGCGTTGGGCGGCATGGCGGGCGGTGCGACCAGCGGCGTCATCATCAGGTGAGGATGGGATCCGGCGCGGCGATGGAGGAGAGGCGAGGCGCAAGGACAAGAAGCTGACCGTCGCCGCCTACTTCCCTGTCTTGCCAATGCCAGCTGCGGCTCGGCGCCATTTGAGCTGGTCAAGGTGCAACGGCAGCTCGAATACCTCATCGCCGTCCAAAAGGGGCTGGTGGCCAGCGCCGGACCCAACGGCGGTCGCACCTTTGTCCCGCAGTCTGGCTTCGCAGCCGCCTCCAACATCTTCAAGAACCACGGCGGGCCAAAGGGCTTCTACATGGGGTTCCCGCTACATATGATGAGGGATACGCTCGGAACAGGTATGTCGACGCTGCGAAGCTCTGCGGCAGGCCAATGATCTGCGGCGGCTGACGATCGGGCATCCCGCCTCCTTCCCTCGATCGTCCTGCGACAGCGCTCTACTTTGGCTTCTACGACACGATACGGAAGCTCGTGTCTCGCCACTCGACGGGCGACTCGCGCACAGGGCCGCAGCTGTTTGGGCTACCGGGCCCCGTCGTCTCGTTCCTCTCGGGTTCCGCAGCGGGCATCGCGTCGTGGCTGATTGTGTACCCCGTCGACCTGATCAAGACCAAGGTGCAGCGCGATGCTCTGGCGGGCAACAAACGCCAGTTTACCGGGTGGCAGGTCTTTCTCCACATGATCCGCGAGAAGTCGGCGGCGGAACGGGCAAGCACTCCCGGTGGCGGCAGAGACACGCTGCTGCTTCGGTACCTCCGCCTCTACCGCGGCCTCGGCGTCAGCGTGCTGAGGAGCTTCATCTCGTGAGTCCCCGTCCTGCTTGCTTTGCCATCCCCTCGCCTCAGAATCAGTATCAGACCTGGCGGAAGGCTTTCATGACTAACGGGCTCGTTCCTTTCTTGGGTCCTTTCGCGGTCTACAGGCACGGCCTGACATGGATGCTCATCGAGACCATCTCGCAGCGCATCTCGGAACGGACAGGCCGGCCCATCAACTATACGCCCGATGCCAAGTCGGAGGAGGCGTGACCCATCCTCGTGGCTCTGCACGGCCCCGAGCAGCGCCCGCCTGTCGGATCCCGCTTGGCAGCCACCCTCTGCACCCTGCTGCCCGTCATCACCCGCTCTGTACGGCCGCCCGCATCCCTGCACTTTCGCCCATTGCCCTGGATCGTGCCTCATTATCATCAATAGAAGCCCAGCATGCTCTTCGCTCTACATGATGTTGCGCTTCGTCATCTACCCTTCCGCCGACGTTGGACGTTGTGGGAAGGTGCGGTCTCGTGGATGACGAGAGGGACTCCGGGCTCAGCGCGAGCTCATGTTCCGAGATCCGAGCCTTTGCAAAAAAAATCAGCTGGCGGGCGTCAACCTCCACCTTTTCACCGTCTTTTCCTCTGGCTTTCTTCTCGCCTTTCGCCACCCGGCAACCGTAGACATCCTTTGCCACTCTCCTGGTCACGATCCACAGACGGCCGACGTCTGCGCAGCCGATATGAGGCCGAACACACAAGCCTGGTGGCAGAATGCAGCTAGCTGCTCGACATCGGGCCGGCTGCAGGTCGCCGGACCTGGCCTGCACGCTTGTCGTAGGCGCGGTCGACCCGCAAAGGGCCGTTGCTACTCGTCCACTGCGTACCGTCATGGCACGCTACGGGCTGGAGGACCCAGCAAGGGAGACAAGGGTGAGCGCATGGGATCTGATTGCCGCGGCGATCGCCAACAAGACGACCTGGCGCTAACGATCCACCCACCCCCGCCTTGTTCCTCTGCCAGTGGTGGTCGCAATGTCCGGTGGCGTCGACTCGTCGGTGACCGCCCTGCTCATGGCACAGCAAGACTACGACCTCCGGGCCGTCTTTATGCGGAACTGGTCCACGATGGACGAGTTCGGCAGCTTCGTAGCGGGCAGCGGAGGCGCAGCGGGATGCGAATGGCAGCAAGACTGGAACGACGTGCAGAAGGTCTGCCGACACCTCGGAGGGATACCGGTCGAGATGGTGAGTTGCCTCGCCGCGCGGAGAAGAGGGCCGAGCGCTATCATTGCGGCTGGTACTGACACTGCTCTCGCTGCTAATCCTACCCAGATCGACCTCTCGCGAGAGTACTGGATCCATGTCTTCGAGCCGGCGCTCGGCGACTGGGGGAGCGGCACCACGCCAAACCCGGACGTTGACTGCAACCGGTGAGTCGACGGGCCCGCCTTTGAGCAGAGCAACGCCGTACGCCGCGCTGACAATCGCGAACGCTCCCGCCTGCAGTGAGATCAAGTTTGGCGCATTGATGGACCGGGTCATTGGGCCGTCTTCTTCCAGCCAACTTTCTGCGCCTCAAAAGACCTGGCTAGCGACGGGCCATTACGCTCAGGTGGCGTGGTCGCCTCCCGAGGCGGACGCCGATCACAGCACTCGGCCGATGCTGCTACGGGCAAAGGATCGGACCAAGGACCAGTCCTACTACCTCTCATCTGTGCGTGAGGACCGACTCGCGCACGCCCACTTCCCTCTGGCCCCCTACCTCAAGTCCGAGGTGCGGCAGCTGGCCATCAGGCACGAGCTACCGACCGCAGCGAGAAAGGAGAGCATGGGGATCTGTTTCGTTGGAAACAGGAGCAGAGGTGGCGCCGGCTTCAGCACCTTTCTCAGTGAGTGCGCAAAGTCCTCGACGCTGACGCGAGGCGGAGAACGACTCAAGGCTGATCGCGTCATCCTCTGGTGCGATTACAGACGACTACATCACCTCTTCCCCGGGCGACATTGTGGACGGGGATGGCAACAAGGTCGGACGGCACGGCGGCCTCCACACCTTTACGCTCGGGCAAGGCGCGAGGATCTCGGGCGCGCTGCAAAAGTACTTTGTGGCGAAGAAGGACACGGCGAAGAACCAGATTGTCGTTGTCCAGGGCAAGTGAGTAGCATGCTGGTCGTCGTGATGCCGTGCACCCAGAGAGCTCATCCTTGCGTCCAATGTCATCCTCCTCTGCCCTGCCGCGCAGGGACAATCCGATGCTGCTCTGCCACTCGCTCAACGTTCCAAGCATGCACTGGATCTGGGACGAGCCCCCAGAAGAGGTGGACAGACCAGAGGGAGCCAAGTTGCTCGCCCAGGTGCGCCACCGGCAGATCGAAGTCGAGTGCACGGTCAAGCGAGCGTGAGTCGAAGCAACGACGGCGTCTTGTCTTGTCGATTCAGCACACACGGACTGACCTGAGATGCGACGCTTCTGACGCGGCCATTGACAACCGGCGCTAGCCCCGGAAGCCAAGGCTATGCGGTGACTTTCAGGGATCCGGTCTTGGCGGTGGCACCAGGCCAGACGCTGGGTCTTTGGAAGGATGACTGGTGTCTGGGCAGCGGCACGATCGGAGACGTCAAGACGGTGTACGAGGTCGAACAAGCGCAAGCCAAGGATGCCTAGCAGGTTTCTGTGTCCACCACTGTTCGCCACCGAGCGATACGAACTGAGCATGCCATTCTCATGCCATCGGGGGGAACCGCAGCAACCGATGCGCAAAAGGGCGCCGTAGACTCGCTCGGCAGGTGAGGCGAGCCCCATTGTTCGGCGTTGCCCATTTTCGCGACTCGACGACCGAGCAATGACTCAGCACACCTCATGCCCCTCGCCGCAACAAACAGGCAGGCCTTCACAGGCGATCACCTCCATCGCCCGGTTGCACAGGTTGTGTCCGAGCCATCTCTCCCGAACAATAGGAGACGCCGGCTTTGACGTCGACGAGACGCCATCGCTCTGCTTCGGCCAATGAATGGTGAACGTGCGCAGCGCGGGAAGCTTTGTGTTTCGGTTTGGATCTCAGGCGAGTGCACGACGAGCGAGGTCACGGTTCCCGGGGTCGGTACTTGCTGCGGTACAGCAGGGCTGACATGAATGGCGTCCCGCAACTTTCCCCACGCCGTCTTGACGATTCTAGACTTCGAGACGGGCTCTCGCTGGGATAAACGAGCAAATGTCGGCCTCGACGTCAGGCCTGCTTCGCCACCCTGCCCAACAAGAGGCCGTCAGGGCCGACTCGACCTTCGGCGATTTGAGCTGGTCGAGGCGTAGATCCGTGCTCGCCAAATTCACGTTCACGACGCCCACACCGCCAGGTTGGCTCGTGCCACTGCCTCGTTCCAGCTCTGGCTCGGAGCATGCGATATCGTCACTTGACTGCTGCCTGACGAGGAGAGGCCAAAGGTAGGTGGAGCCGCGTGGCGTCGAATGCTCCCCAGCGAGGAGCTTGACGTCGCGATAGTCAACGTTCGCTCGCTCGCGAGCTCTGCTGCAGGCGACCATGTGGATGGGCTCACTACTGTCCGCAGCTCTGTTCCTACATGGCTGCGTTCATGATTTCATCCCGGGACGGAGAAGACCGACGGTGAGAGAGGCGAATGAGGATTTGGCTGCGACGGGCACGGTGGTGAGGTTGCTGAACCGATTGGACGCGGGCGGACCTGCCCGCTCGTCAGGCAAGTGACCAGGAAACGTGTGGGTGGGCCGATACCGTGCCGCGGCGGCATCCCGCTCGACCTTCGGGATGGCATGAGTGCCGTCGGCGCAGTCGTAGACTTTGGGCGCCACGGTGGGCCGACTTTCGCCGCCCCGTCCCGTGGGTCCGCCCGGCTTGGACCGCGGTCGGGCTCAAAGCAGCCACCCAAAGCCGAGGGTCACGCTCACGCATCGCATGTTTGGGCCTCGAGGTGCGAGCTAAGGAGGATCGATCCAGGTTCCTGGCGGTGTGGTCAGCTGCGGCGACGGTGGCCCTCGTATGGACCCTGGGGCCCGAAGCCTCGAGGGCCGCAACGCCTGCCTGTTTTGCCATGCCATGCCAAGAAGAAGCAGGATGCGGGCCAGAGGGTTGAGTTGTGGTGTCGTGTGGCTTGAGGGCGGGGTGATGGGAGCTTGAGGATGAGCACGTTCACCTCTTGCATCGGTCGGCGGAGGGCGCACGGGGGCGTGTGGAACAAGTGGGAAGCTCGTACGAGACAGGGGATGGCGTAGAGAGGACGACACGCGACGACGCCAAAAAGGCCTGCGGTGCCGGCAGGCGTGGCTCGGGCCAAGGTTGACGAGCCCAAAAGTCCGGGGCACCGCCAGGCCAAGCCGAAAATGGAAGCAGGTCCCCCTTTCCCGCCCTTTTCTCGATGCGAGGCGCGAAGGAACGTGGACAGGACGTGCAGCTGCCAAGACTTTGCCCTGGTCGACACGTTTTGCCAATGGGGCCCTCTGATTGGCTGAACGGCCAGGACGTGCCACTCTGCCGCCGCTTTGGAAATCAGATCCTGCGCATCGAAAGGCGGAAGCCGGCTTCGCCTGCTGTTTCCGGGTCGCCACGTTGTTCATGCAAGGGAGGGCCCCTCCCCCCATCACGTCGCACCGCGCTGCACCCGTACCTGCCTCACTCCACCGCCGCGATCTTCCGCACAGGGCGTGAGCGTATCGCTGTTGGCTGCATCGTCGATAGTGGCGATGTAATGGTGGTGTGAAGATGATCATATCGATCGGAGAGCATGGCCTGTCTGTCTTGGATGATGCTTTGTTGCGATGGGAACAGACGGTGGGGACCAAGACGTGGGCAGAGTTACCGTTCGAGGTTGAGCAGAGAGCTGCGGGATCTCGATCCGAGCCCCCCACCATCGTCGTCGTCGTCGTCGATGGCACGGCTATTTGAAAAACGTCGGGCGGGGGTTGCGGCGCTCGCAGAGAAGAAACCGCGCTTGGTCGATCTGAAGCTCGCCGACGGATGTTTGCTGGCTCTCTTTCACAGCGCGTCCCAGGAGCAACCCACGGCAGACGATCTCGTTTCTGGCCAACTCCGACCCAATCTGAGCTCTACTGTACGACTTTCATCAAGGCTGGTGCCTACCACTTCCGAGGCTGCCTGTGACCATCGTCGGTGGCCGCGACCACGGCTTTCAAACGGAAAGGGTCACGATTGATTGCTTCGGGCGGCGCCCTACACTAGCGAGGACCAGAAGGGAAGGTGGTGGTCGACTCACCTCGCGAGGACAGTCAAGTGCGGATCGTGACCCGGATGGAGCGCCCCACCTTGACACCCAGGCACGAGACGAGACTGGTGGCAAGAGAGTCTAGTCCTTGTACGGCCGCTTGATGCCGCCCGCCGCCACCGCCGCCGCCGCCGCCGCCTCGTCCAGACCTCGGTCGGCGGACCGCGGTGCGGTGCGGCTTGGGCGGGCCCGAAGGTCGAGTACGTCGGTTTGGAAATTCGCCCCCGTGTTTGCTCCGCTCCGCCGATTCGAGGTCAACCCAAACTCTCGCCCGCCCGCCCGCCCTCCTGCCCGCCTGTTTCTTCTTGCCACCGCAAAGAGTCGACTCTCTGTCTGGCTGGGTGCACAAAGGCCGATCCGCGTGGCCTGTGGTTCTGGCCTCTGATTCGAGCCAAACTGGAACAAAGCGGTCCAGCTGGCCCCAGAGGGCAGCTCGGTCGCCGTCGCTCTGTCCGGCCTGTTTGCCTGCCTGCCTGCCTGCCTGCCCGCCTGCCCGCCAGCCTGCCTGCCAGCTTGCTGTCTCGAAGGGCCCCGTCCATTTCTGCACAGTCGCCCGCTCGCTTGCCCGTGCTCTGCTTCAGATGTGGCGGCGACTGCACCATGCTGTCCTGTCGGCTCTCCTGCTGGCGACCTGCCCGAAAGCGAAAACGTGGACCATCCAGCAGCTTCTCAATGGTCCGGCCAGAAGCAAGGCCATTCGCACCGGTCGTCGCCGGCCTCAGCGCGGGCGTTGCCATGGGCAGCAGACAACTGTCGCCCGTCCTCGCTGCCTGCACACAGCAGGGGGCGAGCGAGCGTAGGGGGGCCGCGTTGCCATCGTATATGAAGCGACCTGGTCTCGCTCCCCATCCTCGACTCGTCTTTCCTCGTCAACGCAACCACCCGCTTCTCTCCTCCTACCCTCCTACGGCCTGCACCGGTCGTCTTCGTCTGTCACCACCACCACCACCGACACCCCCTTCACCACCCCCGCAGCGATCGTCCATCATGGCTTTCGGTGCTGACATGGACGGCTGGGCCGGCAACGGCGACCTGGCCCTGGTCGAGAGGAAGAAGGCCCGCACCTTCCTCGGCGTCTCGTGGGGCGAGGCCAAGCTGCTCACCATCGCCGGTGTCGGCTTCCTGATGGACGCCTGGGATCTGTTCATCATCAACATGATCTACGCCATCATCCTCGTCGCCTACTACCCCAAGGGCACCAAGAACATCCACTGGGGCCTCGACGGCGGTGTCCTCAAGGCCTCCGCCAACATCGGCAACATCGTCGGACAGCTCTTCTTTGGCTTCTGCGGCGACTTCTTCGGCCGCTCCGCCGTCTACGGCAAGGAGCTCATCATCGTCATCTTCGCCGTCATCCTCCAGATCGCCGCACCCGACTCGATCGGCGGCCAGGGCATCACCATCTGGCTCGCCGTCTTCCGCTTCATCATGGGTATCGGTATCGGCGGTGATTACCCGATGTCGGCTTCGGTCGTCTCGGACCGCGCGCACATCGGCAACCGTGGCTTCCTGCTCTCGTGGATCTTCTCGAACCAGGGATGGGGCAACGTCGTCGGCTCGCTCTTCAGCGTCATCGTCATCGCCGGCTACCGCAGCCACGTCGACGCCGGCGATGTCCACAAGCTCTCGGGCGCCTGGCGCATCCTCCAGGGCCTCACCCTGATCCCGGCCTTCATCACCCTCTACTTCCGCCTCACCCTCGTCGAGTCGACGCGCTTCACCCAGGCGCGCAAGCTCCAGGACGACCCCGAGCTCCTCGCCCGCGTCGCCCAGAAGGCCGACACCTCGGACGAGGACATCAAGGAGAAGCACGTCGACGGCGTCGAGACCCCGCAGAACGAGGCCATCGGCCTCGGCTTCAAGTCGGTCGGCAGGCCCAAGAACGAGTTCATCGAGTACTTCTCCGAGTGGAGGCACCTCAAGACGCTCATCGGCTGCGCTGCGTCGTGGTTCCTGGTCGACATCACCTTCTACGGCATCAACCTCAACCAGTCCAACATCCTCTCCAACATCGGCTTCACCACCGGCTCCACCTGGGGCAAGCTGATGAAGACCGCCACCGGTAACCTCGGTAAGTGGGGCGGCAACGCTTTCATTTCCCCCGCACACCTCCACATCCGACCCCAGATTGGATTTAATTTTCCGCGACGCGTCTGCTCGCCACTCGCCACTCCGCCAACCCGACCGATATCTGACCCTCTACCTTCTCCTCTTCGCTTCTTTCGTCTTGGCCTTGCAATCCCTTCAACACCCGGAATCCGGCAGTGATTACCATGGCAGGGTTCTTCCCAGGCTATTTCTTCACCATGGCCACGATCGAGAAGGTCGGACGCAAGCCGATCCAGCTCGTCGGGTTCCTGGCGAACGCGCTTTTCCTTGGAATTCTCGGCGGCACCTTCGACACTCTCAAGCACAAGACCGGCCCCTTCTTCGTCGTCTTCGTCTTCCTCCAGCTGTCGTTCAATTGGGGCCCGAACTCGACGACCTTCATCGTGCCTGCAGAGGTGTTCCCGACGAGGGTTAGGGCCACTGCGCACGGCTTCTGTGCCGCTTCCGGCAAGCTCGGCGCGATTCTGTCGTCGCTGTTCTTCTCCTACCTGGCCAGCCATACCAAGGTCGGCACGACAGGCGTTTTCTGGATCTTCTTCGGCGTTTCCATCCTCGGCGCCGTCGTCACCTTCCTCTTCGTCCCCGAGACCAAGGGACTCGACGCCGACGAGATCGACCGCCAGGAGCTCGCCGCCAAGGCTGGCAACCTCTAAGCGACTGCCGCGCGGCCTTCGCATCCCCCCTCCCGCATATACCACTGTCGCCTTCCCTCGTCTTGTCCTGTCCCTTGATCCCCGCAAAATGATCAGCCGTCGATCTTTACGCCTTTCGACGGGATAGCCCCATAACGCGGTGCTAGATAGTCTTCCTTCTCGTCTTGTCACGACGGATCTCAACGATCTCCTCTCTTCGGGCATAATGTTACTGCTTCTAAACACCCCGTCCGTACTCCTTTGTGTGCGTGTCCTTGATCGAGTCGCCCCCGGTCTGACAGCAGCGTTGTCTCCCCAGTTGGGCCCGATTTCGCTGCTGGTGCTCGGCGGACCCCGTCAAAGAGTCCCCTAACCCTCCTGCGATCTGTCGTCCGCCGAGCACCAGCAGCGAAATCGAGCCCAACTGGGGAGACAACGCTGCTGTCAGACCGGGGGCGACTCGATCAAGGACACGCGCGCAGACGAAGAGGTTTGTGAACGTCGGGCGATGTTGCTCGTCAGGTCTTCTTGTTGGAGGAGGAGGACCAAGGGGTCCGATGAGTCGCCAGCTCTAGCGACCGACCTGACTGCCCTAACAAGATCGCGCTTCTCCCAGCCTTGACCCGGACGAGTCAAAGTGTAGCAACCGAGGCTAGGAGATGGTAGCACCGAGGTGACCTTGGCGGTGCCTTGGCGGCATTCTAGGCCCACCTTAGCTGGCGAGGCCGCCGCCAAGATGCCACCAAGGCCACCTCGTACGGCCTGACCTCTTGGCGCCAGTACGCACCAGGTAGAGCCAGAGATCCCGCCAAAACATCGTCGGTACCTCCAATGACCTCTCGGGACGATTTCGGCGGCACACCCGGAGAGCACGCTTGGCTGAACGGCAGTGCGGCTGAGGTTGCCGAAAGACACCCCACCTTGACCGGGCAGGGTCAGCTGCAGGATATGAACTCACATCGACCTCCGGCACCTCTCCCTTTGCCCCCGACCATCTCCTCTTCCGCTACCTGCCTTTCGCCTCTTGCTTCTTGGTACGTATCCTTGCCAATCATGGACCGTCATCCTTCTAGCCGCAGCTTGCTGACCATCTTCTTCCCCGCCACAGTCCTTCGAGCGCAGTCACTAGGATCCGCGGTGCCCAATACAATGCAGCGGGGCTGACGCTGCAGCTTATCTAGCGTTGAGACCGACCAGGCCGCCTCCCAACATGGTTACTTGCTATTCAAGCTGCCTCGTCGCCCAAACCTTTCCACGCGATTCAGTGCTGGTCCCCGTCCATCTACAGCCCTCTCGCAGAGCACCGTTCGGCCTAGACCTCACTCGAAAACGGTCGCTGATCCGGCGCCTTGGTCCACACGTTTGGCTTGACCAGAATCCGGCTCCATCTGTGGCGGCTATCAGATGCCCTCCTACTCTGTCACCGCCGGCGAGGCGAATGACGAGGTGTCTTTTTTATCGCACGCCCAAAGTCTTTGGCGTCGATCGGGGACCTGTTTTGGATCATGACGCCTCGACCTTTGGCATCGTCACAACACACGCAGCCGGCTCTGCTGTGCGTCGCGGGCGTTTTCTGTGACGCTGTTGCTGCTAGGCTGTTGGATCTGGGGCGTCGGAGGCTGGTTGCTGAGGAGGTCTCAAAGCTCTTTGTTGTACAGCTCGATGAATGACGCCTCGACTCTGGGCCCTGCGGTTGTCCGCTCGAGCGTGTGAAGTATGCGGTAGAGGGCGTGCGGGATGATGCCAGCCTCGGAGCTGTACGTGCCCATCTGCGACGTGAGGTCGCCTTCCATGGTATGCCTGCAGGTTGGCCGAGCATTTACGGTGCGGCGCAAAGGGAAAGTGGTCGTTATCGGTTAGTCGTGTGGACCAGGAAGCATGCTTGGCGGCTGCGACGGGAGCGCCGACCGCCTCGCTCTTGATGGCGGTCTGCAACTGATTGAGCGACGTCGGGGCGCGGGTTTGCTGAAGCAGTAGGCATCGGGTTGGGTTGTTGATGTCGAGGGGAGGGCACGCTGGTAGCCGAAGCTGGGTTGACAGGCGTCCTGCAGGATGCGCGCGAGGCGAGGCGGAGCGGAAGGCTTTGACTCTGCCGATTGCCGAACTCCGATTTTCGCTTCCTGGGCAAAGTCGGAACCGCGAGCACCAACGATGGCGAGCGAGCTCGAAAAGACGCCATCATCACGACCTTCGGCGGCTCTGACGCCATCCCGGCCGTGCATCGCGAGCGCCGGCGGCCGACACCTGCACCCTCGCTCGTACGGCCGAGTGTCCCGCTCTCGAGGATCATCCTTTTCCGTTGCGCGTAGGCCTGCCTCACTGTACTGTGTTGTTGCTTTGTCGTTTGCTCACCATCACGCCTTCCGCGTTCAGGCTTCGGCCTCCCACGCCCCACGCCCCGCGTCCCACGCCTTCGTCTCGACCTAGGTTTGACCTTACGGACCAGCGAGCGCCGCCGACTGCTCCACCGAGCACGGCATGGCTCCCAGCCTTTTCGCCATCAGCCCCGACACCCACGTACGTCAACGCAAGACTACTCTTGCCCGTGCAACCAACGTCACGCTTGCAATTCGCCATCGTCCACCCGCCGTTGGTGGCAGAAGTCCATGTCCAAGGTCGCGCTTGGACTTATGGAGCCCGCCGAAGGCGTACGAGGCCACCTCTGGAGCCCGATGGTCAAAGAGGCGCGTCTATAATGTCATGCCACCGTCGACGTGCTTCGATCCCCACATCCCTCGGCCTTCGACCGGCGTTATGGTGCCGGCCGCCGTCTCGTTGAGCCAGCTCATCATCGCGAGCAGAGGCCAGCCGGCATGCACACAGCCCCTCCGCAAGGCATGTGGGCAGAGCGCCGACGGCGCTGTCGTCCTCTAGGTCTCCTCCGAAGCCCCGGACTCAGGGGCATGCTGGCGGCCGCGCTGTGCCGGCTGGTCGGCGCTGTCCGGTGGCACAGCTTGCCTGAGCCTGGTCTGACGTGTATGCTCCCGGCTGCAGGCGCATGCCTTCCGGAGGCAGACCGTCGAAAGGTATAAGATTGCTCTCCCTTCGCCCTCCGTCTCTGCCTCACCAAACCCGCTCTCCAACAAGTTCTTCGCGGCCATCGATACCACGTCAGCCTTCACCGCCCTCGTCGACGTTTGCATTCCAATCCCCCCCCTCCCGCAAGCCACACCGTCACCATGGCCCCGATCGCCGTCGACCAGCGAGCGCCCTCGCCCCTTCGTGTCAAGAGCACCGCGAATCCCAAGGCGCTCTCCAACGCCAACGCCAACTACGAGTCGGAGCACTTCTCTGCAGGCGAGTTGGTCAGCGAGGACGACTACCCGTACAACGAATTCAAGCCCTCGTTTCCCGACGTCCAGTGGGAGCCTTACCAGCCCATCGAGCCCCCGACCGACCGTGGCCTGTTCGCCGACAAGGAGAAGAAGGCTCTGTTTGGGGCGGCCACCTCTGTCAAGGACCTCACCAAGACGATCGGCACCGAGATCGAGGGCATCAAGCTTGGCAGCCTGACGGACAAGCAAAAGGACGAGCTGGCCCTGCTCGTCGCTGAGCGCGGCGTCGTCTTCTTCCGCGACCAGCACGACTGGACCATCGAGCAGCAGCTCGACCTCGGAAGGTACTGGGGCCCCGTCCACAAGCACGCCACCACCGGCGTCCCCGCCCGCGGCGACCTCGACGAGGTCCACGTCGTCTACTCGCACCCGGACCAGAAGCTCACGCCGGAAGCCAAAATCTACCGTGGTCCGAGTCAGCACAACAGGTGAGTCGATCTCTCCCTCAGTGGGGTCCGCAGATGGTGTCGCAGCGTGCCGCCGTCGTCCATCGACTGACTCGTCGTCCGCCGCACTCGCCTTCCTTGACTCGCCCCAACAGGACGGAGCTTTGGCACTCGGACGTCACCTACGAGCTCAACCCGCCCAGCTACACGAGCTTCAAGCTGCTCGTGAGCCCAGAAGCGGGTGGCGACACGCTGTGGCAGAGCGGCTACGCGGCCTACGACCGCCTGTCGTACCCGATGCGCGAGTACCTCGAGAACCTGTCGGCGGTGCACTCGGCCGTCGATCAGGCCGAGGGTGCCCGGAGGTGGGGCAACGCGGTGCGCCGTGAGCCCATCGAGACCGAGCATCCGCTGGTCCGCGTGCACCCGGTGACGGGCTTCAAGTCGCTCTTCTTCAACCCGGGCTTTGTGCGCTACATCGTCGGCATCCCCAAGGCCGAGTCCGACTACCTCGTCTCGTTCCTCAGCCAGCACGTCGCCACCGCCACTGACTTTTCGGTGCGCTTCAAGTGGAACGCGGGCGATGTGGCCATCTGGGACAACCGCACCAACAACCACACGGCCGTCATCGAGGACATTGGCGTCTCGCGCCGCCACGCCGTCCGCGTCGCCGTCCGCGGTGAGATCCCGAGGGACAGCGCCGAAGGCAAGAGCCGCGAGGAGGAATTCTTCCGCCAGCGCGGCTACAAGGTCGACCGCAACGTCCAAAAGGGCCAGCGCCGCCAGGCCGGCTACAAAGACTAGGCGCAAGGCCGCCGCCCCTCGCGCCGGTCCCCATCGCTCCCCCTGTTCTCGCACCTCATGTCCCCAGCCCACACCCCGCTTCCCACAGCATGTTCCTCGTTCGCATATGTTCCTCGTCTGTACTTGTACATGTCCCCTTTCCCGTCAAAAGCCAATCGATTCCTGTCCACGCTCAATGAGTCGGTCGGTGGCGGTCCGGTCGGAAGGGCGACTCGTCTGGCCCGCCCGCGTGTTGAGGTGGACCCAGGCAGCGAGGGTACCGCCACCTCGGGCCCGAGGCTGGGTCCCCCTTCCCGGCCCGGCCCGGCCCGCGCGTCGCCCGCTCATCTTTCTGCGGCCCCCGATCCCGCACGCCCCTCTCCGCTGGCTGCACCCCCGATCTGCACCCCGGCCCTTCCCTGTCTCTTTCCAGGGAAGAGTCATACTCAAACGCGGGCTGATCCTGCCCGGGACGAGTGAGTGGTCACGATGCGTTATTCCAGAGTCAGAAAGCAGGATCGATCGAGGCTGCTGAGCTATTGAATTGCTCGACGTTGCCGGCGACGCCTCGTCGGACCTCGCCGCCCCCGTATTTCACCGGCGTCGGCCGCTTTCGGGGCGAGGCAGGCTGGACCCTTTCAGGGCAGCTTTGCGGGGGCCGTGGGCCGTGACTCGGTCGTTGCGCGGCGGTTCATACACATATAGAACTGGACGCGCAAGGCTCTCGGCTGTGGTCCGTCGACTACCCTGCCCTGCCTCGAGGTTTGACCGCAAAGCGCCTCTCTCGACATGAGCACCACCTCGACCATCGTGCTAGAACCTCCGCTGACGGCGGCCACAAAGGGCGGCCTCGCGACACCGGGGACGGCCACCTATCCACCCACACCCTCGCCGGCACCTTCGATCGCGCCCTCTGCTCAGCCTCTGACCGACATCGAGCACATCCCGGTCCACGATGATCCTCGGCGGTGGAGCGCGGCATGGAAGTGGACGACGCTCGCCATCCTCTCCTGGGCCGCCGCCATGCCGGCCATGGCAGCCAACATCTGGTTCCCCGCCCTCAGCCAGATCCAGGACGACCTCAAGACGAGCGAGGCGCTCATCTCGGCCACTGTGTCGCTCTACATTCTCGTGCAGGGCAGCATGCCGCTGCTGTGGTCGCCCATCTCGGACCTCTACGGGCGCAAGGTCTGCTTCCTCAGCGGCATGACAATGTACACGATCGCCTCGGCCATCGCGGCCGCCACGCCCACCATGGCCGGGCTCATGGCGGCTAGGCTGATCCAGGCCGCCGGGTCGAGCACCGTGCTCTCGATTGCCGCAGGGAGCCTCGCCGAGATCTTTGACCCGCAGGAACGCGGCAGCAAGCTCGGCATCTACTACGCCGCACCGATCCTGGGACCGGCCATTGCGCCCATCATCGGCGGTCTGCTGACGGAAGCTTCGAGCTGGAGGACCTCGTTCTGGTTCGTCGCCGGGTGCGGAGCATCAAACGTCGTCTCGTTCGTCTTCTACAAGGACACCTACCGGCGCGAGCGTAGCGCCGTGTGGCAGGTGGCTCTCGCGCGTCAAGCGACCGAGTCCTTGCCAGCGGCTGGCCGTCTCGACCACACGTATCAGCCGCCGCGGTCGCGGAAGGTAAGTGAGCGGCGGTTTGGAGAGCCCGGGACGAACGCTGACGCAGTTGACCCCTCCGCCGACTGCCCATCTGGATCCAGGTCCGTCCGCGCTTCGCCGAGCTCTCGCCGCTCGCCTCTGCCGGGCGCGTGCTGTCGAAGCCACACAACCTCATCATCCTCACGCTGAGCGGCCTCGTGTTTGCGTCCAACTACACGCTCAACTTTGCCGCCACGCGCACCTTTTCCGCTGCGCCCTACAACCTGTCGCCCATCCAGGTTGGTGCCATCCTGCTGACCATGGGCATGGGCGGCGTGGTGGGCTCGTTGGTGGGAGGGTGGTACTCGGATCGCTGTGTGCGGTCGACGTTCAGCGAGGAGACTGGCATCGATCCCGAGCAGCGGCTGCGGTCCATACGCGTGCCTCTAGCCATCTGCCCCATCTCGATGGTGGCCTTTGCCTGGGTCACGAGCCAGCAGTTGCACATCAGCATCAGCTGCGTCGCCCTCTTTGTCGTCGGTCTGGCCCAGAATTGGGCCTACAGCGCTAGCCTGTCGTACATCCTCGACACGAATCGTGAGTCAGGCCTGGGCACGGTGCCGAATGAGATGGGCGCCGACTGACAAATGAATCACATCTTCGCCACCCTTTCTCGGCACCGCAGCGGGGCGAACGACGGGCACGGTGGCGTGCAACTCGCTCTTCCGCGGCCTGATGGCGTGTATCGGCTCCGCAGTCACTAGCCCTCTGCAACAGTCGATCGGCATCGGCGCCATGTTCACCGGCTGGGCCGTCCTGGTCACGGTCGCCACGGCGTTTGCCATGATGCTCATGAAGCGCGGGAAGCAGTGGCGCGACAAGGAATGGAAGAAGCCCGCCAGGCGGTCGTAGAGCAGCGGCAGCGCATCCTGAGCCGCCGCACCAGAGAAGCTCGCTGGTCCTTTCGTCCGCTCGCTCTGTCCCCGCGTCTAGTGTAAACTACCCCACAAGGGCAAGCGGTCGTCCACGACGACAGATCATATCAGTTCATCTGTACCTGTACCCCGCACGGGAAGCGATGGCCGCGCATCGCATGATGGCAATCATGCTATTGAGAAGCGGCCTGCGTCGCCCCACGCGGGATCGAGGACACGTGTCCTGCGAGACTCAGTGTGGGGTCGTGTCCGGACTCCTTGTGGCCTCGCCGGTGCTCGATGGTGGACAGAGCCAGCGGCAAAACCGGCGAGAACGACGGCCGCAGCGGCGATGGTGGTCGAGCCTCGCCGGACGATGGCGGCCATCAATGCGTCCGCCATAAGGGCGAGCAGCGGGGCCGCGACTTGCCGGTTCCGGGTCCCGGGCGGCCGCCAGGACCGGCAAACGCGTCGAAGCCGAACCCCGTGGCCATCTGCGGGGCTCCCCTTCGAACGGCATCGCTTTGCGAACTCGAAGCCCGCCGCCGACGCTACCGGTACCGCACCCGGCACGCCCTCGACGTTCCCCACATCTGTCAAGAGCCGTTGCTGTCGAGGCCGGGGTCATGGTGCAGCCCTTACCCCGCATTCTAGAGGATCCCGTTTGTTGGAAGCATCGATCCGGGGTCAAGGGTCCCCTCGTTGTCTGCTCCCGCCCTGATCCGATCGAGATGGTGTCAGTCGGCTCCACCTGGCTGCCACTCTCTCTCCCGCCCTCTTCGGCATTCCCCCGACTTCCTCCGCGGCCTGCTCGTCAACCAACCGCAACTCCGCGCTTCTTCCTTGCTTGCCGCCCGCTCGGAGTCCGCCCGCCCCTTTGTGTTCCCCCACGGCGATGCGATGCGATTCGTCGAGCAGCAGGGCAGGCAGGCGTGCTGGAGCCGACAACGTGGGAGACGAGAAAGGCTGCAAGGACGGGTCGCACTCCGACCGCTTGGAACGCTGGCGCCTCGGTGCCTGCGTGGCTTGCTGGGCTCGCCCCGCCTCGAGAATCCTTGGCATTGGCGGAGTGGTAAACTGGATCGCTGGAAGCGAAAGACGGAGCGGGCGACGACGAGCGCCGAGGCGGCTGACGGCGACAACGTGGTTTAGCCGCCAGTCTTCCTGCTGGCCGCCCCTCCCCCTCGACACGAGGCGCTCCGGCAATAGAACGGGCCGTAGCCGCTTCGACGACCAGATCGCATCTGCCAACGACGTCCTCCCCGACCAGGCTATTCGCGGCAATGGCCCCCGCTTGACCATGGCTTCGGGCCGATGCGAGACGCCCAGCTCAGGGCTTGCAGAGTAGTGTGTCCCTGGACCGGCGCCGGTTCACGACTCGGTCTTGTCGAGCAGCAGAGAGTCGAGGGCGTGCGATCGAGCTCCGACCAAGGCCCACGTCGAAGGAACTGGGCAGGTCTCGTCGCAGGCACCGGGACAAGGGGTGGCGAGATAGCCGGCTGACTCGGCCTGGCAGACGTAGCGCACGGTGGCGGCGAGCGAAAGATGCTCAACCGTGGCGTCTTCTTGCTCAGTCGATCCTGGTTCCGTCGGCCTTGTCCGCCCCTCTCAGTCTGCCAGCCCCTCGAGGAGTCGGGGAGGGGGCACGCATGAGGCACTACTCTCAGACAGACGAGCCACCAGGCAGGCAGACACGACGGAAGAACCGGGAAAAGTACGAGCTAGTCTGACCCTCTGTCGAAACTGCAGCAGCATGCGACAGACAGACGAGCAGAAGCAGGCGGACTGCAGCCGACCCACACCGACGCAGCGAGGCTCAAGCCCTAGCCTGCCTCTCTGTTTCGGCCTCGCCGCGAGCATGAGAAGAACGTAACGTACGCAATGAAGCCTCCAAGCTCCCCGCGTTTGCTCGAGTGCACGTCTCCCTCACGCGGCCAGCAGACGAGGCCAGGCACGGTCGGAAGGCTGAACCGAATCAGGGCGGATTGAGCATGAGCTTACACCTCGCCCAATCACCTGCCTGCACTCACCGCCGACAGCCGCTGGCCAAATGACTCGAGCCGGATTCATATAACATCGCCCGCGTCCATCGTTGTCCTCATCCTCCTCCTCCTCTAAGCCTCCATCCTAGTCCCTTCCCCGGCCTCCTCCCCACTTCTTTCCTTCCCTCCCTCGACGACCACTTCGCCTTTATCGACTCCGGCCATCCGTGTCCGTGCCTCTCTCGCGCGTCCGACCCTCGCCATCCACGCATCGGCCTTCGCTCCGCCATGGCAGACCACGACCGATCCTCGAGCCCCGCCTCGGGCTCTCCTAGAGACTCCAAAGCTTTCAACGATGTCGTCACCCCGCCACACCTCGAGTCGCCGGAGCGCACTGCCCACATCGCCGCCGTCGAGAAGCGCCTCAAGCGCAAGATGGACCTCCAGCTCGTCCCTCTCTGCTTGATGATCTACCTGCTCAGCTTCTTGGACCGCACCAACATCGGCCAGGCGAGGCTCAATGGCCTCGAGAAGGACCTCAACATGAGCAAAGACGGCAAAGACTACCGCATCGCTCTGACTGGTGAGTGGCGCAAAAGGTGCAGAGAAGAAAAAACCCGCCACCCGCACACGCGACGCGCCTGCCTGGTTGCTGCGCCGCGGCAATGACCATGCGCTGATCGTATCCCCCTCCGTGGCCATCGCACATCCTCACTCGGATCCTCGTCCTATCGCCCTCGCTCAGTCCTGTACGTGCCATACATCCTCTTCGAGATCCCCTCGAACCTCGTCCTCAAGAAGATCGGACCCTCGATCTGGATCCCCTCGCTGCTGGTGGCGTGGGGCCTCGTCTCGACGCTCCAGGGCATCGTCCACGACAAGACCGGCCTCTACATCAACCGTGCCTTCCTCGGCTTCACAGAGGCAGGCGTGCTCCCCGCCCTCGCCCTCTACCTCACCTTCTTCTACAAGCCCCACGAGCTCAACCTCCGACAGGCCCTCTACTTTTCCGGCGCCTCCCTCTCCGGTACCTTCGGCGGACTCCTCGCCACCGCCATCTCGCAGATGGCAGGCGTTGGAGGCAGATCCGGCTGGTCCTGGATTTTCATTTTGGAAGGTATCTTCACCATCGTCTTCGGTTTGGCAGCGTTCTGGATGCTGCCGAACGATATCACGAAGCTGTGGTGGGTGACGCCTGAAGAGGCGGAGCTGGCGCGTACGCGTATGCTGCCCGCCCCGGAAAAGCCGGTGGAGGGCGGTCTCGAGGCTGCCGGCGACAAGGTGGCCGACCGGGACGTCCTCGGTGCCACTCGCGCCACGGCCGTGGTCGACCAGCAGGAGAAGCACGAGGTGACGGGCAGCTACGTCTTGTCCGAGGTCAAGCGGACGCTCCTCGACCCTCTCGTCCTCCTGTTTGCCGCGTCGGGGTACGCCTACGCCACGCTGCTCTACTCGGCCGCCTTCTTCTCGCCCACCATCATCAAGGCCATGGACAAGTACACCGTCATCCAGTCCCAGCTGCTCTCGTGCCCGCCCACTGCGGCCGCCTTTATCGTTTCGGTCGCCGTGGCCTTTGCATCGGACAGGTACAAGTGGCGCTACCCCTTCGCCGTCGGCTGCATCATCCTTGCCATCATCGGCACCAGCGTCGCCTACACCGCCATCGACCCCAAGATCCGCTACGGAGGCCTCATCATCCTCACCTGCGGCACGTATAGGTGCGTACAAGCCGGGCGAGATGCCACCTTGACCGCATGCCGTTTCACCAAACTGACCCTCGTCCCGTCTTTCCATCGACGCTCCTCTGGCTCCTCGCCTCACAGTATTCCTCCTATCGGCATCAGCTGGATGCTCAACAACACGGCCAGCCACTACAAGCGGGCCACGTCGATCGCCCTCTACATTGTCTTTACCAACTGCGGCGGCATCACGTCGACGTGGCTCTTCAACAACAACGAGGCGCCGCGGTTCGAGCGCGGCTTCCTCGTCAACCTCTGCCTCTGCTGCGCCGCCATCGTCCTCGTCACTGTCGCCGAGCTGCTAATGGTCATGGAGACCAAGAAGCGCAAGGCCGGCAAGCGCGACCACCGCGTCACTGAGCTTCAGGCCAAGGGTTGGTCCGACGCCCACATCAAGGACTACCTCGGTGACCGACACCCGCAGTTCGAGTACACCCTCTGAGCGGCTCGCTGGCCCCTAGAACCCCCCTGTCACGCTGTCCTTTTGCTCCGCTTGCCTCGCTGTCCCATTCATCTTTTGGGCATCATGACCTTTCCGCTTCGCTCTCGATCCTCGTTCCCCTTGGGCCTGCTCGGTCGTCCCGAGCCATTTCTTTAGAGTGCTACGCTATACCTCACGTCAATCTGTAACGATGATATCACTGCCTAAGCGACAGACAAAACCCCAGGACTGTGGTGGGGAAGAAGACGGTCAGCAAGCTGCGGCCTAGCAGGATGACGGTCCATGATTGGCAAGGCTACGTACCAAGAAGCAAGAGGCGTGAGGCAGGTAGCGGAAGAGGAGATGGTCGGGGGCAAAGGGAGAGGTGCCGGAGGTCGATCTGGGTTCATATCCTGCAGCTGACCCTGCCCGGTCAAGGTGGGGTGTCATGCCTCTTGACTAGCGTATTGACCAGACATCCGCATCAGTCCTTGCTTTGAACACCAGGCAAAGACTCAAGCTTCTCGCAGGTCGGTCCTGAGGACTGTGGGATTTTCAAGAACACAGAGAGGCGGCCATGGCGTTGAGCCAAAAGGGCTGTGCCGGGCGGGATGAGCCAGATCCACTGTGCGACGCACAAGCGCAATGCCGTGTATCCGGCCTCTCGACACACTACTACATACAGCAACAGCGAGAGGCATGTCTCGCCCGTATCTGTGCACATCAAACTGGGATCTTGAGATGACGGCTCAAAAGAAGGCGAGGGAACCCGGCCGTCGAGTCCCGTCCTCGCCGTCTCTGCGCAGGCTCGCCGATCGCTCGTCACCTCCTGATGGTTCACGACCATCTACGATGCGTAGACGTTCCTCGATCGTTCAAGTGGATCAGGACGATAGCGAAGCCAGTGGAGAGGGCGTGGAGGGGGAGGAAGGAGGGCTCTCTGAATCTTGGTCGGCTCGATGATCTGCGGCCCCGATACGCTGGTGTTCTCGGCTGCTGTGGAGTGACCCCGAGGGGCGGAGCAGCAAGATGCGTATCGTTTTGGTGGAGGCCGAGGTCTGAGTGGGTGTGGACCGTCGCGGGATAGGGGACCGGAAGGCAGGGGAGATCGATGGGGAGTGACTGAGGCGCATCGCTCGCTGTCTCGCAGGAAGGAGGTTGGACAGCACAGGCTTGGCCGCCACCACGTACAAAGCCCATTACATTGCGCTGGAGCAAGAAAGGCCGGTGTCGTTCAGCTGGCACCGGCCACCGGCGCCGTCGTGCGACCCCCTGCGGCATGCCCCGCCGCCTCTGCTGTGCCTGACGACGCCGCGGGAGGTTCCGATCTGAGACCGACGATCCGCTCAACTGCCTTGTCAAAGGCGGGGCTGCGAATCTGCCGAACCTTGAGCGGGAGTGAGGCATCCTGCATCGCAAAGAGCGTCGCAGCCGTCCTTTCGGGCTCGGCACCTCCGTCTGGACCGGCGCCTTGCGCATCGGTTGGGCTGCTGAGGAGGGCGGATGGGTTGGGCGGAAGGCTGTGGAAGGGGTTGGAAATGTAGGACAGGTAGGCGGTGTGCAGCGCTCGAAAGATCTGTAGGCCAGTATGTGAGGGGTAAGTAGGTCAGCCCTGGCAGAGGCAGCGGCACCGCTCGACTACGCAGGCAGCCTGAACGTACGGTGAGGACGTCGATGTCGCGAACAAGGTGGTCTGTCAACGAGAGCATGACCATGAACCTGACTCTCGTGCTCGTCTGGAAGCCGTATCTGCACGGGTCAAAGCGAGCGCAGCACGGAACCGAGCGTTCAGCAGCCTTACGTCCGAACTTTGCTCGTCGAGGGCGTGGGTCGACTGGCGCAGCTGTCACTCACACCGCAAGGTCCTCGAGCGTGTAGAGGAGACCGAGGTACTGCTCGGCGTTCCGGCCGTGCGCGGTCCGCTCGTCCATGACGTCGGTGGCGGCATGCGCAAAGTAGTGGTACCTCAAATCCGCCCCGTTGGTCGCCTTGGATGCTGTAGAGGACGAGGCGGATGACGATGCGGGGGCGCGGCCATGCTGGAAGTGCCGGACGTAGACGGGCGTGTTGCGCGGACTCAGGACCGCAATAGCTTGCTGTCGGGGGGCCGGGCAGATGTGGCAGCGTCCAAATGAGTCTGGGATGCTGCGGCGAGGTCGTTCAGAGGAGTGCCACTCACGATCCGAGGTGATGCTGAGAACGACATGGTCGTATCGAGGAGGTTCGGGGAGAGGAGCAAGGAGAGGCGAGGTGGTGGCGGGAAAGATCGAAGCGATGGGTTGGCTGCGATCCGTGCGCACCGACCCTCTTTTTTGGCTCTCCACTTGCAGCCTCGGAAGGCGGACGGGCCTCTGCCCATCCCAGCTCCGCTTCACCTGGCGGCCAACGCGACATTTCGACCGTCGTCCCATCCTCTCTCGATCTACATGCGCACACCTCGACCAGCCATGAGGTTCCACCAATCTCGAGAAGCAAGAACGACCATGCTTCGGGTGGTTCCGCTACACAGCCTGCACAAACTCTCTGCCGGACTGGCACGCAGGAAGACGAAACGACGATCAATGATAACGGTAGTGTCCGATGAAGGGGCGGAGATTTCTATGGATCCAGATTGGCGGGGCCAGAATTGACTGGCCCCAGAAGGCGAAGGACAGGCTGGACGATGACTGCTAGATCTATCCTTCGCTGCAATAACGTTGAACCGAGCCAGGGACGAGAGCCTCAGGCGCTAGCGAAGGGGGCCTGGTGGCTGTTCGCGGACAGGTTCTCAGCCTAGGCGTCCTGGTGGTAGGTGAACTGTCCCTCGGCCGCCTTGCAGGCGTTGATGAAGGCCTTCTTGGCATCCTTGAGTTTCTGCTTGTCCTCGAGGCTCTTGCTCGGGTCGTGGATGCAAACGACAGAGCCGTCGCTGCTCGGGTTCCAGTCCTTGCAGAGGTCGAGATTGGCCTGGAAGTAGGGGTACACCTCGTCCTTGCGCGCGTCGTCGCAGGTGAAGAGGAGCTGGTTCTTGGGTCCGTACATGCGCACCTGGGTCATGTCGACGTAGGTGTAGGTCGTGTATGCGGCGTCGAGGTCGGCCTGGCAGACCTGCTTGAACGTCTCCGGGTCGCCCTTGTGCGACTCGGTGTCAAACAGGCAGGTGCTGTCGCCCTTGGTCGAGACGCTGTAGCCGGAGCACACTCCGTTCTTCGGGTCACTGACAAAGTCGAGCGTCTGCTTCGAGACGTCGTGGCAGGTCGCAATCTCGCGGCGAAGGGACTCGCCGTGGATCAGGTGCTTGCCAGGAGTGTTGTCTAAGAGGCGTTTAATAGGCGTCATTACGGATCAGTCAGCCACGGCCAGGGGAGGCGATGCGACGCGGGAGGGAAAGGGCACTCTGGTCCGTCTCGGCTTACCATCGATGAGGTGGATCGTGTATGAAGGGATCAGGTCGGCCGGAGCGGCAGCGGCGCCCGCCACGGCAACGACGGCGATGATGAGGGTCTGGGCGAGGCCGAGCATGGTGAGAGTCGCGGGGCCAGTCGTGGGGGTGTAGGGTTGAGAGTTACCGGGAACGGCAGCCTAGTCCAGACGGCCGCCTTTATGTACTTTTACACATGGCATATGCCTCGACACGGCGGTACGTACTGGTCGTTCGATTGCATCGATGAGGGCGGTGACCTCCTGCAGCGATACATACTGTAGGCGTTCTCTCGCCCCAGTCTGACGTACACATGAAAGGTATCGGTGCATGGGACCGGGACCATGAAACCAGCTTGGTCTCGTACCACTGGAATACTGCCATGACGAGGTGGGTGGCAATTTGTGTACATAAAGGTGGGCGAGAAATGAAGAGGTGGGGCGAGGAAGACGGACTCCCGATGACTAGTTTACATACATGAGCTCAAAGCTCTGAACCCCTCTCTGCTGGCGGATCATCGCGGCTTGGCCGGCGAGGACACACCGGGGGACCCGTGGCAACGGTGGGGCCATCCGCGACCGGCCCGGAGGCATTCGACCATGCCGACACCCGCGCCGTCATACGTAGAACGCTGCCGCACGGAGGGCCGCCTCCGTGAGGCCGGTCCAAGCTGCGGTCAGCAAGGGTACGGCAGCATCTGCTGTCTCGTTGTCGAGTGGGGCCAGCAGGCCGGCATGCCTGATCCCCTCGACGATTCGACGCGCCGAGGGCGCTACTCGACACCCCTCTCGACGCGCAGCTGAACCACGTAGAACTCGCTCGGCCGTGGCCAGTCCGTGAGCGATGTCCGCTCACATCCTTCGACGTGCCCACGACGTTTCTCTCGAGCGACTGAAGTCATGAGACCGTGACATCACATTGTTCATTCGACAACTGTCATTAGGAACGGGGCTCGTTAGGAAGAGCATAGAGAGGGGGAGGGAAGGCCAGAGCAGTGCGAAACTACTGTGGAAGCCTCATCGCGTCTCGGCGAAAGGCCGACCGCGAGGTCTGCCAGCGATTCTGCTCAGCGCGATGCTAAGACACCCCACGCCTTCAGGGCTGCGGAATGCCCTTCCTGCGACCACAGGGGCCGTCCTCGACGTGGGTGCCCCGGTTGACGCAGAACTCGCCCTCGGCCGCCTCGCAGCCGACGTAGAAGGCGTTCTGGAGGTGAACAAAGGTCTTGGCATCGTCGAGCTTGGCCTGGTCGGGAACGCAGACGAGCGAGTCCTTGGTGCCCTCGCGGGTCGTCTTGCAGGTGTGAGTGTCGAGCTGGTAGTAGGGGTAGACGGTGTCGAGCCGGGCCTCGTTGCAGGTAAAGATGAGCTGCGACGCGTTGCGCGGCTCCACCATGAAGATGTCGATCTTGGTCGTGTTGCTGATCTTGGAGTAGACGGCGGGCGCACCGTCGTGCCTGCACGCCTTCCTGAACCTGTGCACGGCGTGCGGGTTCGTCTCCGGGTCAAAGTTGCACGTCCTGTCCTCGGCGGTCCTGGTGCCGTAACCCTGGCAGACGCCGTGGCTCCTGTCCAAGATGTAGTCGAAAAAGGCGTCCGAGGGGTCGCTGCACCTCGCCACCTCGCGGTGCACGATCGTGCCGGCCTGAGGGTTCGGCGATGGCACGTTAGCTGATGGTCAAAGTCGAGGCGGGGCAGAGGCGAAGCGTCAATGCCGAGCGTGTGAGGAGAGCGAGTCAGCTACCGGAGAGAGGGGTTCGACCCGGCTTCTACAACTCAGACGCCATCGACGCTCACCGTTGACGAGGTGGACGACCTGCTTGTCGTCGCGGGGGCTGGGCGCCGCATCGACAGCCGCAAGCGCCATGGCGGCAACGACGAGGGTCTTTGTGATTCCGAGCATGGCGAGGGTTCTTGGACGGGCTGGTCGTATGTGTATCGTGAGTAGAAGGAAGACTGTTCGAGGTTGTTTTCGAGAGCAAAGATGGCAAAGTGCTTGGTACCAGGAGAGCACCATCAGTGGGTCACGACAGGCCTCTTATACAGCCAGGTCAGCGCCACGCTCGTGCGTGAAGCCACCTCTTCCCTAACACGTACCCCCTATCCGCCTCTCTGTCGAAGGTCTCGACCTGGCTTCTGCGAAGGGCCACTACCACCTGCTTCTGTGCGTGACTCTCCGGGGTCAGCCTCACAAGCCGGTGGGGTGCAGGTTTTAGTGTGTCGCACATGTCCCTGCGGTCATGGTCAGGCTAGGTGGATACAAGGTGGGGAGGACGCTCAGGACCTCCGGCGACTCAAAAGGGGCGATGGCGGCGCAGCGACGAGCAGCCCCACCCTCCGAGGTGCGCTCGGAAGACGCCCCACACCGAGGCCCCTCGACGAAGCTGTCATGTCGCCGGTGAGCCGGCTTCGTCCTACATCATCGCACCGTTGTCCGATCCGCCTTCGGCTGCGGCCCGACTCACGACGGACCCACAACCCGTCCCGGCTCTCTACTTCCGGCAGCCTAGGCTGTACTCGAGGAAGGCTCAAGCGAGGTTCGGTCATCCAAGGCAGTGTCTGGTGTTCGGGCAGGCGGGCGGGTCCGGTCCGGTCCGATCCGATCCGATGATACATACTACTGCATGCAAGCTCCGCATTCTACCAGCAGGACAGAGGTCTAAGGGGCCCGATGGCTGACAGCCTACCCACTGCGAGCTTTGCGGCCCGCTTCAGCCCAGCTTTTTGAGCGCACCCCCGAGCTTCTTGGCGAGGTTCTTGTACTTGTCATGGTCACCGTGGCCACCTCCAGAGACGCCGTGGGTCGCCGCCTCGGGAACGGGCACCGGGTTGGGCTGGTGATGCTGGTGGTGGCGGAAGTGCTCCTGGTCGTCTTCCTGCTCCGCGCAGAGGCGCAGCCGCTTGCCGCAGTTGGGTCGGCCGGGGAGGTAGGGGATGCCATCCGGCGTCCACTCGAGACGGTGGATGCACATTTTGCGAGGGCCGCCCTCGTGCTGCAGCGCGTGAAAGACGATGAACGTGTGCCCCTCGACGCCCTCGACGATGCACGCTCCGCCTGGGCCGTAGATCTTGCGCGCCTCGTCGGTGCAGAGCAGCGGTCCGGAAGCGGGCTGGTACGGACCGCAGATGCCGTTGCGGGAGATGGCGTACGAGGTCGCATAGCCTGCGGGCGCGGGCAGGGCAAAGGACAAGGCCGGCCGCTGGTCAGTGTCGCTCCAAAGCTCTGCTGCTGGAACTAACGGGCCAAGGTACTCACTCTTGTTCGAAAAGGTGCCGCTCGAGTAGAAGAGCACGTAGGTGCCGCTGGGCTGGTGATAGGTCAGGTAGGGCGCCTCGAGCAGCTTGCACTGGTAGTCCATTGTGGGTGCCAGCAGCGGGACCATGTCGTCCTCGAGCGTCAGGCCATCCTCTGACAGAACCTGGAGCCACAGCTGCGGCTGCAGCGTGTACATCTTGTCCAGATCGCTCTGTTGACCAGACAGGGTCAGGGGTGCCGGTAGAAAGCAGAGTTGTAAGCCTCTCGCCTTCTGTCAGCATGCTCCGTGTCGTCGCATTGCCGTGAGCTCACCTTGAAGACCAGGAACCGTCTGCCCGAGACGGGGTCGTCGAACGGCTGTGGATCGATGCAGCCACCGGTCGCGCCCTGAAGTCAATATGTACCCGACCGGCAGGGCTTGTGGTCAGCACAAACGCATCAAGGGGAGCCACGAGGGCGTCAACGCCTTTGATGAGACCCACTCGGCTGATGATGGGACCATTCGAGACCCAGCGGTAGGGTCCGAGCGGAGAGTGTTGCGAATAGGCAGCGCCGATGCACTGCTTGCGGAAGCGGGTGTCCTGGGCGGTGAGGTACATCAGGAAGCCGCCCCTGCCTTGCGGGGCGGGAACGACTTCGGGGGCCCACAGAAAGCCCTGCAGAAGCGCGGGCAATAACGGCATCGTCGTCAGCATGGTTGTACATCGAGTCGCGGGGCTGCCGGTGCCTATAAGCGGCGCAGGGACTCACCGGCGCGCCCGAGGTCCAAGGGGGCAGGGATTCGGGCAGGCAGTCTTTGTCGTGGTGGGTCCAGCAGCAAAAGTCGGTCGAATAGCTGCACTGGATGTTTTTGCCGTTGGCGTTGGTGCTGAAGGCGTACCAGGTGCCGGCCTGGCGGTCGTAGAAGATGCCCGGGTCGGGAAAGTCGTGGTCGACGACTGTCCGGGCGGGGTGGGGCGGCGGTGATGCAGCTAGGGCGATTAGCAGTAGTAGTGTGGGTCGTGGGTCGACGTCAGCGCAAAGGGCGGCCAATCACTCACCCGGGTTGGCGTAGCCTAGATGGGGATGCGGGGCCATGATGTCGTCGTGGCGGTGGTTGTCTTCGCTGTCGGGTGGCCGATGGAAGGGCGAGAGCGGGTGTGGCAGAAGTGACGTGGTGGTGGTCGAGGACGACGGTCCTTTGTCGATGTCGTGGCCACCGTCGCCGCTAACCCTCCGTCCTACCCTTTTCCAGCCGGCAAGACGCCGAAGGGAGGCGGAGGCGAGGTGGCCAGCCAGTAGTCCTACGTAGACTAGCCCAGAGAGCACAGCCTCTTGGCTGGCCTGCTCCTTGTCGCATCTCGCAGCTCGCTCCGGCCTGGCTCGGCTTGGCGTCACTCTGCCTGGCAGGCCAGCAAGAGGTGGAGGCCCTCACGTGCAGCGCGGCCTCGATCCGGGATTCGGGGTTGGCCGTTTGTCCTCGTCGCGCCAAGTCGGAAATTGGCCAAACGGCCCGGCACCGGCAGCCAAGCAGGCAAGCCAGCTTGCAGGTCCAACATCTCTGGCCCGCGCTCCGAGGCAGGCGCGTCAAAACCAACACCCACCGCGGGCTGGCTCGACAAAAACACACACACACACCCACACACCTCGGGCCTGGCTGGCTGGCTGGCTGGCTGGCTGGCGCGCGCGTTCATCCTGGCAACCCTTGTCCCGACGCTGGCCCACTCTCTCCCACATCTTCCCGTCCTCCACCTTCGTCCATCATCGCCTTCATCACGGACGCATCGCCACAGCCATCCACGCATCCGCCCAGCTCCATCCAGCTGATATCGCACCGCGCCGGGGCCGCCTTCCCCTCTGCGACCCCTGCGACCGCAGCGCTGCCCATCATGGCGCACGCCGCCAACCGACGATCCACCTTGGCCTCGGTCGATGCCAATCAAAACTACGGCCAGGGCTCTGCCATCCCCGTCCCCTCGTCGGCCATCAAGGCCGTAAAGACCTTTGGCGCTGCCGGAGGCTATCAGCCGCGCCAGTCGATGCTCCCGCAGCAGACGCACCAGCCTCGACACTCGATGTTGCCGCCCTCCCAGCAGTCGGCCCTCTCGCAGTCACAGCAGCTCACGACACCCCATCACCTCGGTCAGAGCGGAAGGAGGGGCGATGCTGGCATGTACGCCAGCAGGCAGAGCATCGCCTCGGCGGGCAGGCAGAGCATGGCACAGCCAACACCAAAGTAGGTCATCCATCCATCCTGGCCCTCGATCGCCGTGTCCACGATTCGACAAATGGCGTTGCATTGATGCTGAACCGCTTATCATCTCTGTTGTCGCCACTCCGCCCCCTTAGCCACCGCAAGTCGATCGGAGGCCGTCTGTCGATCGCGCCGGGAAACATGGCCAACACGGCCAGCTCGAGCGTGCGCGAGACTCGTCCGATCAAGGACAAGCACTACAAGAACCGCATGGGGGCGGCGGTCAAGGAACATCTTGAGCGAACCGGCTTCACCATGGCCGGGTGGGACCTCAACAAGGGCGTTCACGAGCCAACCCAGTCGGCCTTTACCGGCATGTTCAAGCACATCTACTCGACCTGCATCGACGAGGGCTTCAAGATGGGCAGCGACGGCAAAAAGTTCGAGGACGAGGTGCTGACGCTGATGAAGGAGATCAAGTACCCGGCCGCCGACGAGCTCAGCAAGACGAAACTGACGGCGGCGGGAAGCCAGAGCAACTGGCCCTACTGCCTCGCCATGCTCGAGTGGATGGTCAACCTGGGCACCTCGGCCGACCACATCGGGGCCGGGCCCGTCTCGCGCGTCGACGAGGACGAGGACCTCCAGTCGCTCTTCTTTCCTTACCTCTGGAAGTGCTACGACCGCTTCTGGGAGAACCAGGACACGTATCCGGAAGAGTTTGAGGAGCTCGAGTCGTGCTTTGAGCGCAAGAACGCCGCCATCGAGCAGGAGCTCAAGCAGCTGCAGGAGGAGCACGAGAAGCTGTCGGCCGAGCTGGCGCAGTACACGGGCAGCGCGACGCCGCTGGCGACCGAGCAGCGGGAGAACGAGATGCTCGTCGGCGACGTGACCAAGTTCAAGCGCTACCACGACGACGTGCTGGTGCCCAAGCTCGAGCGGACCAAGAAGGCCAACGAGCGGCTGCTCGACGAGATCAGGGAGACGGAGGTCGAGATCCAGACGCGGCGGCACGAGGGCCAGGAGCTGCAGCGGCAGGTTGACGCGCAAGAGATGTCGGCCGAGGAGTACGAGCGGATGGCGACGGAGCGCGACCGGCTCCACAAGCAGCTGCAGGACCTGGCGGATCTCAACAAGAAGTCCACCGAAGACTGGTACCGCCTGCAGCTCAGCTTCACCAACAAGCAGCACGCGGTCGAGAAGCGGATCCGCGATTTTAACCCGCTGGCTATCAAGATCAAGCTGTTCCCCCTCGAGCTCGCTTCGGGCAGGGTGCTGCACGAGCTCGAGCTCAGCCCGGGCAACCCATCGACGATGCTGCTGCCGGGCATCGACGTCAAGGGCATGCTGCGCCCGCGGGTCGAGGTGCTCCGCTCGCACGCTGCCAGCCAGTACCGCGACGCGTCCAACAAGCGCCTGCACCAGCAAGAGAAGCTCGAGGAGATCAACGAGCGCGTCAACACTTCCAAGCTCGAGCTGGTCGAGGAGGAGACCAAGCTGAGGACGCTGCGCGAGCAGGCAGACGAAGCGGCCAAGGTGAGTTGCGACAGCTCAGTGTTGTGCTGAAGCTGCGTTGACGGTATTCGTCTCTGACCCATCGCGTCGGTCCTCGCACCTTCGTAACTTTGCCACAGACGAGCGCCATGGTAACGGAGCAGAACGCCAACGACCAGCAAAGGACCGAGCTCAGCATCAACCAGGCCGACTCGTCGAGCCGCACCGTGCTCAACCAGGCCGAGTCCCGCCTCGGTGATCTTCGCCTCAAGTGAGTCGATGGGTTCCCCGCCCGATCTGTCGTGCCGTCCTGCCCAGATCGCCAGGCTGACCCCACTTGCTCGCCCTGCTCCTCCCTATTGCGCGAATCGCTCGCGCCCGGCAGAGCGGACCAGCTGGAAGAAGAGGTGGAGCGCAAGCGGTCCCGGATGGACGACGAGATGCTCACGTTTGTCGTGCTGCTGAGCAAGATGAAGGGCGACGTCGCCAACCAGCTGCGCGAGGTCCAGGCGCAGGTCACGCTCAAGAGTCGCGACGACTAGCTGCCAGGCGGCCGATCCACCTGAGCATGTCCCATCGCTCTTTCTCTCCCTTTTTCGATCTCACATACCCCGCCTTCCTGCTGCGCCCGTCGCGACGGTCGATGTTGTACCCGTTCTACCCTTCGCCTTCGTCTCTCCCTGTACTATCGTAACGCCTATCTCGCATCGTATGCTGCTTCCACCATCTTTCACGCCAAGATCGAGTCCCCAAGTCGCTTCAGCCGCGTTGAACCCTGGGGACGTCCAGCAAAAACAACGACACTTTCTCCATGGAGGCGGGGAAAAAGATTGCATTGACGGGGACTCGAACCCCGGTCGAGTCGAATCGGTTCTCATCTGGGAACAGATGATGAGTGGCAACGACTCATGATACCCCTACACTATCAATGCTTCCATGGAAAGGGGCGCAAAAACGTAGGATTATCAAAGCACAGCCAGCGATTGGCTTGACGCTGATGGGTCGCTGACAGCCTGCGCCAAATTTTTTGGAAGCCCCCGTCGCGGGTCAGGACCGGGTGGCTGGCGTTGGAGCTGGAATTTTTCCACCCGATCCGGGGCCTCTCCACTCCGCCGACCGCTCTCCACCATCTCGTTGATCACCCCGAGGACGTCTTAGCCACACGACACCCACACCTCACCTCACCCCTTGATTGACAGACTCCAGGATGGCACGGTCAAAGCGCGCCGACTCGGTCGAGTCATCGTCGTCGTCGTCATCGAGCAGCAGCAGCAGTAGCGCCAGTTCGTCCTCCGCTTCTGCGTCTAGCTCCGGATCCTCGTCTTCTGCATCGACAAAGAAGCGGTCGAGCAAGAACGAGAAGTATGTGTGAGTATCCATGTGCTGTCCTCTCGCGAACGAAGGGCGGGAGGGTGCGTGCTCAGGACTGCGTGCTCAGGACGAGGCTGACCAGGCAGTCGTCTCCATTCGTATCCCCTGGGGCTGGGAACAGGTTCAAGCCGCCGTACGGCTTCAAGCCGGTCGACTTTGGCAGCTCGGCGCTGAGCGAAGAGGCGCTCGCATCGCTGCCGTCGACGCACGAGCTCTGGGCGATCCGCGTCCCCTCGTCCATCCCACCATCCAAGCTCGACGGTCTCGTCATCAAGGTGCCACCACCACCGCCTTCCAAAAAGTCATCCACCACAGCGGCGACGGGCAGCACGACGGAACCGCTGGCGACGCTGACGCTCCCCGTCACGTCGACACACTCCAACACCTACCACCTCTTCCCGACGGTGCCGCCGTCTGCGACCAAGCCGGAAGAGTCGCAGCTCATCTCGATGGCAGCGACGGGATCCCTCAACCCATCCAACCCGTCGGCATCCAACACGTCGCTCCAGGGCAACGCCAAAAAGGCCACATCGGCCGGCGGTGCCGTCGAGCTCTCGTCCCTCTCGCTCCTCGTCCCCGCCGACGACGCCTCGCAGGGCGGCAGGATGAAGCTCGCCCGCGGCGCCCTCACGCGGCACCTGCACTTTTCCCTCGCCTCGCCCGCCGAGACGGGCATCGGCGCCACGCCCAGGGCAAAGACGGAGGTCAAGCAGACGACGGCCAACAACGAGGTCGGCGCCGTCTCGGTTGCCACGGATACGGGGTTGGAGAAGAAGGATGCGAGTCTGGGCCAGCGCGCCAACCGGCAGCAGCCCTGGGACAGGCTCAAGGGATGCTTGTGAGTCGCGCCTCTGATCGCCCAATCCTCCGGCTTCCGTTCTTCGGGAGATTTCGACTGTGCTGACCGCTGGTTCCTTTGTGCCCACTCGCACCCTCTGCGGGCGCGACAATAGCAAGCCAGCGGGCTCCTACACCTCGTCTTCCTCGGGCGCGACCAAGCGCGAGGCTCCGGGCGCCGACGATGCCACCGCGGCCATGGACGTCGACGATGCATCCCCGCGCAAGGAGAAGAAGCAAAAGAAGGACAAGAAGGAAAAGAAGGACAAGAAAAAGTAGCCTCCTCTCCGGCCAATTGTCCGTCTGTCGTTCCGCCATCCATCTCCCGGCTTCATTTGCTTCCTCGTCGAATCTCGACGATCTACGACCGCCACTCTACATCACCCCACGCCTTTGCCACATCCCTGCCTTCATCTCGCGGCCCCGACACGCGGCAGGCCGCGCTCGCTGCAGACGGGGTACGAAAGCGAGGTATCATTTCAAAGGCATCTGGGCGGGAAGGCGAGTGCAGAGACAGAGCAAGGAGATGCAGGATATACTCACACGAAGCCCCTCCCGCGGCGGCTCAGGACCGCGATGATCCGTAGATCCACCAACTCAGGTCGCCGCCGCCCTCTCCTCCGCCGCGGCTGAGCCACCAAGCCGTGATGGCGCCGAGGACGACGACCTCGACGGCTCCGCCGATCAGGTTGCCGCCGCCGAGCAGGATGATGGCCGTCCAGAGGTAGCCCACCGCCCTGTCGAGGAGGAAGCCGATCAGGGAGAGGATGTAGCGGTGCGGCGCCGATAGTGGCGGGTAGGGGTTGTGCGAGGAGAGCAGGGGCGGCGCGTTGCCCGCCTTGCCATTCGGCCTAGGGAGCTGCAGCAGAGTCGTCACGGGCTTGTGGTCCGAGTGCTGGCAGTGCGACGCCGAGACACGAGGAGGGGTCGGAACAACGACGTCAGCTTTCGAGTCGAGCCCTGTTTCCTGCGCCCGCACTAGCCACGGTACTCACCGTCATCTCCATGACGCTTCGGAAGAGCTCGACCTCGACTCCCTGCTTGTCGTAGGTCGCCGCCGCATCGCTCGAGGGTCCAGCCGCGGCCGCCGACGCCCAGAGCACGCGATCCGTCCAGCCGGGGATCCGCTTCGTGCTCAGCTCCTGTCCTGGCGCCGATGCCGCCGCCGCCGCCGCCGCTGCCGCCTTTCCGGCCTTCTTCTGCTTCTTGGACGGGGTGCCTTCGCCGTCTCGCACGACCTTGTACTTGTACGTGGGTGGCACGTTCATCTCTGCGATGCTGACCTCTGTCAGGGCATGGAAGGCTTTGGCAGACGAGGCGAGGCGCTGCTGCGTCAGCTGGTCGTGCGGCTGCAGCGATGCCCAATCCTTGGAATCGAGCAGCGACGCCAAGCGTTGCTTTGTGAGCGGTTGGGCCGACGAAGCGCCCGGGACCGACGTGGGCCCGAGGGCGATGCGGTGGTTGAGGTCGCCAAAGACGAAGAGGTGGGTGGAGTCGTAGAGGGTGTAGGAGCGGGTGTCGAGGGGCCGGGGTGTCCGGTCGATCTTGGCCTTGGACGAGGCCGGGTTGGCGGCGTGGTACTGCTGCTGGAGGGCGTCGAGGTTGGTGGGCGAGGTCTTGACGTTGGCGTCCTGGACTATGGGCAGCCTCGAGACCGAAGAAGGCTCAAAGACGAGACGCTGCACGATCTGCCTCCAGTCGGTGTTTCTGCGCTCGACGTTGTGGTCGTGGGCTGCGAGGTGGGCGGTGACAAAGGTGAGGACCTCGTCTTGGCCGGTGCCATCTGGGCTGGCGACGACGAGGCGGACGCCGACGGCGCCCTTGTTGCCCATCAACCCGCCGAGACCGGTGCCGACGGTGGCCTTTCGGATCTCCTTTACCCTGGAGGCCGCGCTGGCCTTTTTGGGAGCGGCTGCGAAGGGGGGGCGTTCGCGGGCGTAGACAAAGAGGGCGATGCCGACGAGGTCGACGCGGCAGAGGAGGGCGTAGGACTCGGGTCCGCCGCCGAGGTGGGCCTCGGCGTACATGCCATTTCCCGAGACGACGGCCTGGTGCGGGCGTAGGGTCTTGCGGATGTCGAGGTCGGTGTTGTAGAGGGCGAGGCCGGAGGTGGCTGCGAAGCCCGAGTGGAGAGGGACGAGCTCCTGGAAGCCGACTGCGTAAAAGTCGGGTGCCTCGCGCGGGAGGGATGGATGCGACGAGGGCGTGTTTGGGTTGGTGGAGCGGAAGTGGTGGGCGGGGAGGGGTGATGAGGGCTTGGTGGCGGGCGTGCTGGACGAGGCGAGGTTGTCGATGGCAGGCTGGTGTACGGCGGGGACTAGCCAGGGGGTGAGGTCTGGGCGGGTTGCGTCTGCGCCCTGGAGGTTGGCGTTGAACGAGGCAATCTGCACGCGAAGGCCGGTCATGTTGCAGGCGGCTAGGATGGGAGGGTGGGGTTGACTGCGGCAGCAGCGAGGATGGTGGGGATGCGGCGGGCGGGACGAGAGGCCGGCCGAGTGGCAGGCAGGGGTGCGCCGGTGGCCAGCACTGGCCTGGCCAGTGCTGGCCAGGCTGGGCGGCTGGGCGGCTGGGCGGCTGAGTGCTGAGTGCTGAGTGCTGAGTGGTGCGTGCGTCTGAGGTGGTCCCATCCGACCCCGCATCGCCTTGGGGGGGCCTGCAGGCTCGGCATGGGCAGCCGGTTCTGACCCTGGGGTGGGGCACGTGATGTGCCGCACGAAATTCGAGCAGCCACGCCTGGCCTGGCCTGGTCTGGCCTGGCCTGGCCTGCCTCGCGGTGTTGATTTGGATTGGGGGCCGATCCAACGAGGCGCGCGCCGGGTCGTGTTGGTTGGGGGGTCGAGGCCCGGCGGGGGCGCGGGGCGATCCTCTTGTCGCACACCACCAACCAACCATCCGCTCGTCGATACCGCTGGCCCCGCCGACAAGATACCCCTCTCTCTCTCTTCCCCTAATCGCGTCAATACTGTCACCGCCGCCGGCCTGGTCGCAACGCACCGCTCCTCTGCCCCATGTCAGACCCTACCCAACCCCCGCGCCGCTCGGCACGGCCACGCATGTCGCTCAACGGCACCGGCTCCGGCGGCCTCCAGCTCGGCGGATCATCCATGACCACAACCGCAAAGGAACGCACCGCCAACACAAAGGAGAACAACAAGGACGACACCATCCGCAGCGCACGCGAAAAGCTCGCAAAAAAGAAGCGCGCTGCAAGCGTGGGAGGCTCAGAGCTACAGACCCTCCTCAAGGAGACCCACAACCACCTAGCCACAAACGCAGCCACCAGCAGGAGAAACGCACCACGACCAAGAAAGAGCGCCATCCGTGCAGTCCCACAGGTGTTTGAGAGCCCAACCGGCCTCGTACCCAGCCCAAAGTCACGGCAGGGCCTCGCCCTCAAACCCCTCGTCGCATCCCCGCAGAATGACAGGCGCGAGCCACCCAACGCTACCGCCACCACCACCTCCGCCATCGGCCCCGCCATAAGCCAGCCTGCCACCATCGACCTACCAACCGCCGCGGCGACCCGCGATGCCACACAGACTATCGCCGCCTTTGGGCAGCGCGACCCCACCCTCACGCTCAACGACCCGGCCGGCGCACGCGGTTGCGCCACCCAGATCATCCGACCCAAGCGCAGAGTCACCTTCAGCAAGCGCCAGGAAAAGACCGAGTTCGCAAAGGATGAACCCACCCTCAACCTCGGATCCCTGCGCAGAGACGAGCCGGCCACGCCTTCCACCACCCAGGGCTCATCGAGCATGGGCCGCTCCTTTAACCACTCCAACTCGGACAGCGACTCGGACAGCGACCCAGACTCGGACGACAGCGACGACGCCTCGGCAATGATTATGGCCACCACCTCCGACATGATGCTCACCGCCTCGAGCTACGGCAATGCATCCTCGGACATGGACCTCAGCCTCGACGACCCGATCGACAGCCGAGGGCTCGATGGCGACGACGCCACCAAGAGCATGGAGATCACCGTCGCCCATGGTCAGATCCGCAAGCGCAAACTCTCAGGGATGGGCACATCCGACTCGGACTCGGACCTCGACGAGAGCCTCGATGCACCCGGCGATGTCGACCTGACCGTCGATGACATGTCGCACGCCATGGACTTCACCGAGGCCGTGGGCGGCGCACCCCTGCTCAAGCGCAGGCGGAGCAGCGTGGCCCAGCTCGCTGCCGATCGCGCCGTTCTGATGGACAACGAGCAGGCCGACGACATGACCGCATCTCGCGCCGGCGTTACCTTCACGCACGCCGCCTCGGACGAGAGCAGCGCCTCTTTCGATGCCGGCGACGACCAGAGCGCCATGATGGACTTCACCATGCCCATGGGCCTCGTGCGCACTGGCGACGACGACACGCAACGTAGCGTCGGCGGACGCTCGATGGCCACTATGATATCGGATCGGGACAGTGGCGACGAGGACCTAGACATGTCGGTGTCGATGGACGTGACCAGACCAGTCACCACCGTCATCAAGACCAAGGGTGCCGAGGCTGCCAACGATGCAGACCTTCCCCAGATAGGCGACGACAGCGTTCCCCTCGGACGCAACAACCTCGGCGACGACGACAGCGACGATGAGCCTGATCGCCTGGCCGCCGTCGATGCCAGCGCGGACGTGAGCATGCCCATGGAGATGACGCACGCCATGACTGGCTTCATCGAGCAAAAGGACGGCGATTCTTCCAGCGACGACGACGACGGCGAGAGCATGGAGATGGACCAAGACGCCACGATGCAGTCGACGATGCAGATGACGCGGGCCATCGGCAAGATCACTTCGCAGCCATCACCTGCCAAGCACAGCCCCAGCCTCCCGCCACAAGACGACCGCTCTCGCCTCCTGGCCAGGACGCCGTCACAGTCGCCTCGAAAGCCTGCCACTGCGACTGACAACGATTCGTCGTCTAAGATGGCCGGCGCCTCGCCGAGCAAGTTCCGGCAGTCGCTGCGTGGCGGTATCGAGTCGCCCTCGTTGGCTCGGTCGCCCGCACGTCGCGTCGGGGGCACCGTGCCGCCGCCCGGAAGACCGTCGTTGAGCAACGTCTCGATCAGCAGCTTCCGCCAGTCCCTCATCGGAGGCGTCGAGTCGCCAAGCTACGTGCGATCTCCTGCTCGTCGTATCCAAGCGAGTCCGCCAAAAGCCGCCGCAGCCCCTGCGACCGCTTCGATCAGCACCCGCCTTGCGACGCCGACGAAGCCGGCAACGTCCACCCTGCCACTTGGCCTGAGCCTGTCGGCGCGCAAGCGCAGCCCCTCCCCCGAGACCAAGGCGGCGAAACGAGCTGCCATGACGGCCGGCCGCAAGTCGCTCGGATCCAACCTGACCACAGCGTCTTCGCTCTATCGCCCGCAACCCTTCGGGACGAGCAAGGACGCTCGCGCGGCCCGATCCTCGATTGTCGCCGCTGTCCTTCCGGACCACAGCCGCTTCAAGGACGAGTCGTTCGCATCTGCCCCTCCGTCGGACATGGACGAGGTTTCAGACCTCGAGGTGTACGGCGATGAGCTGGACAACAAGGCGGGCGAGTCGAGCTACAGCTTCAACGACGAGGGTGCGCCATTCCACATGCCGCTCAACGCGTTCCTATCGCACGTCGGCGTGCAGTTCCACGAGGATATGAGCGCCAGCCGGCGTCGGCCGGTGCCCGCGCGCGATGGCGACAGCTCGACCGACGGCGAAGCATCCGGGCCCAAGGCGCCCGTCAGCCTGGTCCGACTGGTCAAGGCCGCGTGCGGAGCGGTGCCTCAGCTCGAGGCACTGCGAGACGCCTGCCGCGAGATAAAAGAGCAGGTCGAGGACGGACGCGATCGCCTCGTCGAGATGGAGGCGGCCTTCTACTCGAACCCGCCCGACTTTGTTCGCGAGATCATGGGCCTGTCCAACGACGAAGAGAAAAAGGAGATGGAGGCGCAGTTCAAGCTGCAGAAGCAGGCCGCGAGGGCGCTGGCGGTCAGCGACTACTACGGGTGGAGGATGGACAAGGAGTTCGACGCCGAGATGGTCCAGACGCTGCAGGCGTACCACGGCCGGCTGCAGTGCGACCTGCAGATTGTCGAGGAGAAGAGGGAGGTGCTGGGTCAGAAGCTGCTTCCGCCTCTTCGGACGCGACACCTCGAGCTGCAACGGGAGCTCAATGCCGCGCGGCGGAGGCAGAAGGAGATCGAGGAGTGCGACCAGGATGAGCTCAAGAGCCTCTACGCCAGCATCGAGGAACAACAGTGAGTGCGAGCGACGGCTCAGCTGGTGAGGCCCGTGCTCGTCTTCATGCTTAGCCTCCATCGCTGACCGAGCCGCTCCATCGTCCCCTGTTCCTCTCGCACACCTCCAGCGAGGTGCTCGAAAGCATGCGCGCGAAGCTGGACGAGACGACGCAGTCGCACCAGCGCGTCCTGAAACGGCTGCACGAGAACGAGGAGAAGATGGCCTCTGCGTCCGACATGATCGCCAAGGCGCGCGCCGTCTGCGACCAGATCCAAGGGTGCACGCGCGGCGAGGCACGGCGCCTCCTCGGCGAGATACGCAACCTCGAGAAGCTCCACCTCGTCCGCATCGCTCGCGTCGGCGTAGCTCCGAAGGAGAAGAAGGACGAAGAGCGGAGCGCCATCGAGGTCGTGATGGACGGATGGCTGCTCGTCTCGTTGACGCTCGACCTCGTCAATGCAGGTGCCGTCGAGGCGGTCTCGCTTCAGTCGGTCAGCGAAAAGGGCAGTGCGGCCAGCGAGGTCGACCTCATCCGGCAAGCGGCGGTCGGCATCCTTCGTGCCGAGTTTCAGAAGGAGAAGCCGCAAAATGCCGTGCTGGTACGTTCAGATGGCCCGGTCCCATTCTGCTCGACTTGCCAGCAGTGGCGAACCCACGTCGATTGACATCCATCGTCTTGCACTCCTTCCTCTGTCTTCCGCCGTCGCCGCACCAGATCCTGCGCCGCATCTTCAAGACGCTGATCCGACACCGGCACCTCCAGGCCGAAATCGAGCATCTCCGATGCCGCTTCCCGCTACAACTCGTCGCAACCGGCGGCGATGCGAGCAGCACGGGCGACGAGCGCCATCTCTCGCTGCGAGCCTCTGTGCTGCTGCCGCGGCAGCGGAGCAAGATTGTCATTCAAGCCCGGTCGAACCTCGCCTGCATCGCTTCGGACCAGCCGACTTTTGAGCCCGACCAGGTTCGCGTCGAGACCGTCTATGGACCTGCCGAGTGAGTGTTTCTGCCCCCGCATTCTCCGCGCCGGATTCAACTGAGAAGACCGTGGACAGGCTTGGCTGATACGTCGCCGTTTTGGCCCGCTCTTGGCCCCGGAATGTGCCCTGCTGCAGTGCCCTGGCCATGTCGACCCAGATTCTAGACTGCCTCGCTGCCGATCCGACCATCGGCAGCTTGGGTAGGGCCTGTCTCGAGACGGTCGAGACGTTCGACGTCTAGATGTTCGGCGTGGGCACGTCGCCAACGTCGCTGCTCTTTTTTACCCGCTTCTCCCCACGTCCTCTACCGAGATCCAGACCCAGACCAACTCGCTCCGTCTCTTATCATCTCTTGTACCCTCAGCTACGTCGTCTGCGGACCGACTCGACCTCGACCTCGACTTGTATTTGTTTTTCACCATCTCTCGACGCCCGTCTCTCGCGCATCCCTCTCGAACCATCTGAAGCTCAGACAGGCAGGCGACGGTATGGTCTATGGTTCGTTGAATTCCGTCTCGCACCTTCTCTCATCATCACAACGACGTCGTCAGGCGGCGGGGATCCACGTCCGCTAAACGAGCTTCCAGAGCTCGCCGTCCCTCTGGATGGCGACGGTGCGCTTCTCGTCGAGGCTCTTTCGGCCCGCCTCGAGGATGGCGGCGGTGAGGATCGTGTCGCGGATGGTGGGGAGCGTCTTTTCGAAATCCTCGGCGGTGCGCTGGCCGCGGTTGATGTCGGTGCAGGCGCGCACGAAATTCTCGAGGGAAATGTAGCCGTAGCCGTGCTGTCCTGCAAAGTAGCCCAGACCGTCGGGCGTGTACCGGTTGTAGAAGGGGTTGATGTCCGACGAGACGCCGCCCGTCACCCCGTTGGCGGGGTTCTCGACGACCAGGTTGTAACCGCGTCGTGCCTGGTTCACTCGCAGCTCGCCCTTGGTTCCGACGTAGTCTGCGCGCGGTGGAGAGGGAGGGAGGGTCGAGGCTGTCAGTGATGAAACGAGACGATGACAGCGGCGGGTGCGGGTCCTCTGGGTTGACGGACTCACGGAAACCCTGCTCGCTGTGGACGCCGGCGCCGAGGGGTGCGGCCCAGCTGGCGGTAAAGACGCCCGTGGCGCGCTTCCCCTCTGCGAGCTTGTCGCTGCCTTCGCTCTCGAGGATGCCAAAGTCGACGAGGAGGGTGATGGTGTCCTCGGTGCCGCGCTGGCATCCAAACTGCTCGCCGCTCGCCACGCCCTCGGAGGCCGAGGCCGTGACGCGGAGGGGCACTGCGCGGTTCTGGACGATCCAGAGTGCGATGTCGATGTGGTGCGAGTTGAGGTAGTAGGAGATGTCGCTCTCCTTTCCGATCCACGCCTTGAACGTGTCGAGCTGCGTCTTTGGCTGGCTCATGTAGCTGCTGAAGAACTGGATGTCGCCGAGGTCGGCGCGGGCGCGCTCGCGGCCGTCGGCGTAGGCCGGGTCGAAGCGCTTGTGCATCTCGACCATGCAGAGGACGTCGTTGCGCCGCGCCGTCTCGACGAGGTCGATGTGGTGGGCCAGCGTCTGGGTGGCGGGCTTGGTGACGAGGACGTGGATCTTGCGCTCGAGGGCGTACATGGCGATGGCGTGGTGCGTCGAGTCGGGCGTAAAGATGGTGATGGCGTCGCCCGGCTTGAGCGAGTCAATCGCCTCCTTGTAGGCGTCCGGGTCGCGCTTGCCCTTGGCCGGGTAGCCGATAAAGGTGGTGTCCATGTCGCGGTAGCGGCTCTCGATGTTCTTCTTGAAGTGCTCGCGGATGCCGTCAAACTTGTCGCCGTTGGTGCCCACCATCTTGAAGTCTGGGGCGATGAGGCCGCGGCGGCGTAGGTCAAACATGACGAGGCCGACGACGCCGAGCTTCTTGTCCGAGGGCGACTCCGAGTTGCCGACGAAGCCCGTCGTGTACTCGCCCGTGCCGACGGCGAGGACGGTGGGGAGTCCGGCGGTCTCTGGCATGGTGGGTGGGCTTGGCAGCGTGTAGGTGCGGGGGGCTTGATGGTTTGGGGCGGTGGTGGAATCGAGGGACGAGGAAGACTGCACAGGGTCCAGGGTGAGGTGGCGGCTAAGGAGGAGATAGAAAGGAGAGAGACAGAGAGAGAGAGAGACAGGGAAGGAGGACCTTTGTTGGCCCTTGAACTTGATGGCTTTTGTAGCTGTTTGGATCGAAAGGCGGGGGGAATGGAGGGGGGGCCGGTGGATTGACGAGGTGCAAAGAGCGAGGCAGGCAGGGCGGGCAGGCAGGGTTGGCCCAAGCTTCCAGGTTGATCCCCGCACTCGTACTGCACCGCGCAGCGCTCTGCTTCCCCCCCACGCCTGGCCTGGCCGCGCCTTCCCCCACGTCGAGGGTGCTCCCTCTGTCGCGGTCGCGGCCACGGCCACCGACGGTGCTGGCTGCCTGACGGGCCAAAACCTCGTTGGCCGGCGACCCTGGCTTCCCCACTCGCTCCGCTCTCGGCATACTACCACGACGGCCGCGCCTCGCTGCTTCCCCCCCCATGGCATCGCATCGCATCGCATCGCCCTGACACCGGACAGATAGATCAAGGTCACCCAACATGGCCACCCCGCTCACTCACTTTCATCGCATCATCACTCTACGTCGTGCCCTGCCGGCCGTACCGCATTTCGGCACAGGTCTGCCGAGAGAGAGGATAGAGAGAAGGGCGACCAGCCAGCCGGCCGGCCGATCCGACCGAGAGCCACGCAGATAGAGTCTGGCACGCGCACCTGCTACAGGCGTAGCTACAGGTCGACACTCGGAGCTGAGCCCAACGAGGGGTCCCCACACGCTCATCCTCTTCCCGCCATCGCCCATCGCTGCTGTCACACTCCTCCTCGGAGCGCCCTATGAATCCCCTTCCGTGGCACACCCATCCCGCTGCATGGTCGTGGCGAACCGTAATGACCAGTCGCAGCATCGAAAACACTAACCATCCCAACTAACCTTGGGTCGCGGCCGGCCTGGCCCCCGGCCGAACCAGTCCCCGCACCACGCCCCTTCTCCGGCGACAGACTGACTGCTGCAGCCGCTCGTGCGACAAAGACCAAGTCGCCGACACCGCACTGCCTGATCTCGTCCTCGCCCGTCCCATGGCCATGCGCTTGGCAGCAAGGACATCTCTGTCCGATTCAAAGACAGCGGCGCACCCGTGTCTGGGCTCCCGGATATATGTACAACGTAGTCGGCGTGCGCGCTTGTCGGTGTGGATGCACTTGAGAGGACTCTTCCTCGTCTCATCGAGCCCCCTTGTCCTCGCTGGCGCCGGTGTCGCCCGATTCGCGACCAAGACTTGCAGGACGACGGCCTCTGCGTCCCTTTCGCTTGCTCCTTGACGATCCAACCTACTTTGCGTACCAGCGCATGAATTTGCCAATGATGTGCAACAGCACCACGCTGAAGACGAACGCAATCGAGAGAACCAGGACGACCACGGGGTCACTGGCGAGGGGCGCGGGATCAGGAGAGGGGAGAGAAGGAGAGCGGAAGGAGGCCGTCAGCATCAGAGCGAGCCGAGAAAGATTCGAGTGAGGCAGCCATGTAACGCTCCAGAGTCGTCCGAGCACGCTCGTGGCGATAGGAGCAAGCAGACGTCGTCCCGGCATCGGCTCGGACGGTGCCGGAAGGGGCACTCACACGCTGAGGCCCTTGCTGTCGTCGGTGTAGAGGCGCATCATGGTGCTCGAGCTTCCACCAGCGCCCGCCGCACGAGTGCTGTTGGGCTTGTTGGCGGCCTGCTGCGTCGCCCGTCGTCTGCAGGCCAAGCGTAAGCGTAAGCGCAGCCAGGGATCGAAAGTGCGGACGGGAGGGATGCAAAGAGTCAGTCGAGATGTTCGTCGCTCGATGCTGGGTTCCGGGGTGGGCAAGACGCACCGGACGACGGACGAGTTCTTGCTGGCCAGAGCGGCGAGGTTGGGCTGTGTCCCGCTGGAAGTTGCGTCAGACTGGCAGCGGCGGTGCGCGCGGTTCGTGCACAAGGAGTAGAGAGGGAAGAGGGGAGACGGAGAGGGGAGAGGGAAGAGGGAAGAGGGAAGAAGCGGCGGGTTTCAGTAACGGCTATCCTGTCGCCGAGGATGCAAACGAGCGGATGCGGTGGTCTTGGCGGACGGGAAAGCTCACCATGGTGGGCAGAGGTTCGGTGCGGAAGCGAAAGATGAGGGTGTGCGGGAACGACAGAGATGGTCAGGCTGATGGCGGCGGTGGTGGTAGTGGTGCGGGGTGAGGGTGGCCAGGCGTCGAGAAGCTTTGGAGCAGGCGGGGCCAGGGCGGGCAGCGACGCCAGCGCAGGCCAGCGGGGCCAGGCCAGGCAGCGGCCTCGCCGTCTGCGTGGCTGGCTGGCTCGGTCGGGCCCACGCTGGCCTGGCCGTGTTCCAGGCTGGCCTCCCCGCTCTCCGCTTCCGGCTGCAGCAGGCAGGCAAACTCGGCGTGGCCAGGCTGGCCGGCCCGCCTGCCTCGCTGGCCAACTCGCCGCCCAGTCGTCTGGGCAACAGATTCCGGATCCGAGAGTGTGGATTTTGTCCAATTCCGTCTTCCGGGTCCACGCCGGCTCACCACACTCTCGCACTCGAGACTCCTTCTCGCCAGCCCACCTTTCTCGACAAACCACAATCACCACCTACCCGCACCCTCTGCCTCGTCGTAAGCAACGCGCGACTCTCTCAGCACATTCTGCTCCGCTCCATCGTACACGGGCACCACGATCTCCGTCATACCGACACCGCGCGCACGATGAAGTTGAACAAGCTCAAGGTGCGACCGTCCAAGGACCTCGCCGCCGCACCCTGCGCCGCCGAGTTTGCCACCATGCTCGCGTGCTGGGCGTCTTCCAACGACCTTTCCAACGTCGGACAGTGCCGCGAAAGCGCAAAGGCATTGCAGGTCTGCATGGCTTCCAACGTGAGTTCGTCCCCGTCCCCTCCTTCCCTTGCTTTCCCGTCCCTTGTAAGCGGAATCTCGAATCACACGGTAGCTGAACATCCAAGACTCCCCCTTTTACCCCGCTCGACGTCTGGTGAATACAGAAAGGTAGAAGGGTCACGTCGAAGCCCACTGTCAACTACCACCTCGCCCGTCTCTCCAAGCACCTATGAGCTCCTCTGCACCTCGAGCCCGGCGACGGCTTCGCTGGCCCCTCGCACTCGCGATCTCCAGTCAAGACGGCTCTTCATCGCCCGCCTCACCTCCCCCGACTCCATCTCCGTGGCCGGCACTCGTCGTCGACCTTGTACACTAGCACCTGCCGGTTTCAACCCAACCCGGGGCCCGACTGGCCCAACATGCATCGTCATCCTTCTCACCGACTCACTGAACCGCTTCCTGCACCGCGAAGTCGCACAGAAGAATCGGCGACTATGGATCGCACGGCCTCTCGCCATCCTAACAAACGATCATAATGTCCATTCATCCCGCACCTCAGCGCCGCGGGCGTCGTCCGTCCATCATCGCCCGCGCGCGGGATTGCGATCCGAAAGCGAGGCGCGTGCCTACATGAGCAGCTGCACAAAGTTGCTCGGGAACGTGTTGGCGCCCGGCCTCCGTCTCGCCTCGTCGAGCAGCTCGCCCTGCCACCACCCGTCGGCCTCGGTGTGCGTCACTGCGATAATGTCGCCCGCCGTAAAGGAAAACTCCTCCTCCATCGTCGCCGTGTAGTCGTACAGCGCTTTCACTGCGCGCAGCCAGGTCCGTCGGTCGGCGGACGAGAGAGGGGGGTTTGAGGGTCAGTGACACATCAGCCCAGATGCTCTCACGGCGGGTACCAGCTCAGAGAAGGCAGATCCAATTCGGCACTCACCGTAGAAGAGGATGGGTCGCCCGCTGTCGCTGAACTGTCCAGTCGGCGGGTGCGGCTGCCCCTGCAGCTGGCCCGGCATGGCAGGTCCTCCACTCTGTCCGGCAGGAGGCTGCTGCTGCAGCTGTGCCGGCTGCACGGCTTGCTGGTGAGGCTGCTGCTGGTGGTGTTGCTGCTGCTGCGCCGGAGGAGCGTACTGCGCCGCTTGGTGGGGAGGCTGCTGCTGCAATTGCATGGGCGCAGGACTCTGGGACCTCATGTTGCCGGCGCCCGCGACGCTCCACGTCGACTGCTGCTGCAGGTGCTGCGACTGCTGCTGCTGCTGCGGTGGCGGCGGTTGCTGCTGGTACACGCTGGCATTGGTCGGCTGCTGCACGTGCCCGCTGGGCGCCGGCGATCCGACGGGAAGGCCATGCTGCTGCTGATATTGGTGCATGTAGGCGGCGGCAGGGGTCTCCTGCTGCTGCTGCGGCGGTGGCGGCTGCTGCGGCTGCTGCTGTACGGGAGGCTGCTGGCCGTAGTAGGCAGATGGCTGCTGCTGGTGGGGCGGCTGCACCATCGAAGGTGCCGGACTCGCCATGCCGGCGTGAGGGTTGGCCCCGTACTGCGGCTGCGCGAGGTGCGCCGGCAGGCTCTGGCTGGCGGCGGGATGGTGTCCGTGGGCCTGCTGCGCGTACGGCGCAGGACTGGCATGACCGCCGCCATAAGTGCGAGGGTCGGTGGGGGCCTGGTGATGCTGCGGTGCACCAGGCTGACCATAGTAGGAGCCCTGCTGCGATGGATGAACCGTTGGCGGCTGCACCGACTGCGAGGCGTACGACTGGTGCGTCGAGGGGACCGAGCCGGCGTACGGCGGGTACTGTCCCTGTACCGACGGCGCGCGCTGGGGCGGCACGCCGCCAGCGTATGGCTGCTGGTGCATCGAGGGCTGCGACTGGTGGTAGCCAGACTGCGCGATGCCGCCGCCGCCCGCTGCCGATGGCGGCCTCTGGGGCTGCTGCATCTGGCTCGAAGGAGCCTGGACCGGAGGCACGCTGCCGGAACGGCGGATGAACTCTTCGGCCATCTGGTCGTGAGTGACTGAGCCGGTGGCGTCGAGCGAGATGCCAAGCGGCGTGGTGCTGCGTGGCGGCGGAGCAGTCGTCTTGCGACGAGGGTCTTCGGCAGCTGGATGCTGCGGCTGCTGCTGCTGCTGTTGACGAGCATAGGGCTGGGGGCTCGGGCTCCGGCCACGCGCGCCCACGCCGGCAAAGCCTTGCTCGGCCTTAACGGGGCTTTTGGGATGGCTCTGCGGAGCACTAGGCGAGGGTCGCATGCTCATGCGGGATGCGGTCGAGTTCTGCCTGGACAGCGACTTTCGCTCGCCGGGGAACGACTGGCCGTACTGGCCAACAACGTCTTCGACCGGGAGCGGCGATGCAGCGCGGGCCGGCGCCTGCATAAAGGCCGCCGAAGGCGAGCGGGCCCGCTGCGGGAAGCCCTGCGACACTGAGGGCGACGGGGCGCGCTGGATCGGAGGCTGCGATGGCTGCTGAGGCTGGTACTGCGGCTGTCCGACGTTGTAGTGCTGGCCGGGCTGGGGCGTAGCAGCCTGATGTTGCTGCTGCTGCTGCTGCGGCGGCGGCGGAGGGTGGTAGGAGCCCGAATGCCTCGCGGCGTGCGGGTTAGGGCTCTGAGGGCCCGGACTCCTTCCACCAGGCCGCATTCTCAGGCTAGCGAGCGCCTTGGCGATCGGGTCCTCGTCGTCGCCCACACCCGAGCCGGCAGACTCGCTGGCCGGGATGCTGGGCTTGCTCGATGACTGCGCCGACGCGCCGCCTGCCACTGGAGCCTGCGCGGCATCGCCCAGGGGCTTGGGTGGCGGCTGAGTGCGGGACGACTGCGACAGCGACGACGTTCGCGCGAGGAAGTTGCGGGCTGACATGCGCCTCTCGTGCGAGGGCGACGATCGCATCTCTGAGTTCTTTCCCGGGCCGGACGCACCCGCCTCCGAGGGAGGCGCGGGATGACCATGTCCAGCAGCGCTCATTCCGGGAAGAGCAACAGAGCCCGGCGGTGGCCGATATGGTGAGCCAGGCGCATGGCCGTTCTGATTACCATTCTGTTGGTGTACCACCGCAGCAGGCTGACTGCCGTAGCCGCCGTTGGCATCGCCGTCGGCGGGAGGGGCGGGAGTCGGCTTGGTCGAAGGAGACAGGCTGTGCATCGTGTGCTCTACAGCCGCGGAAGCAGGCGCATGGGCTGGGGCTGGAGCCTGTGCGGGCGCGGGCGCGGGTGCGGGCGCTGGAGCTGGGGCTGGGGCTTGGGCGGGAGACGAGATCGGCAGCTGAACGGGCCGGGTCGTGTTGCGCTGGAACTTGGCCGTGTGGAACGAGGGCCGCGCGGGCGGCGGCTGACCCTTTGCATAGTTGATGTACTCGGGCGGTGCCGGGATGAGGGAGCCGGTGCCGCAGTGCTGGATGTAGAACTGGATGTCGCGAGGCGTCTCGACCGTCTCGAGCGAGACACGGACCCGTTCGCAGGACTCGTCGTCGGCGACGCACACGGCCGAGACGGCGTTGGCATAATTCCAAAGGTTGGACTTGATGAAGTCGATGCGCTCCTCCTCGAGGTCCTGGCACTGGTCGAGATAGGCCTTCCATTCGGCATTCCACTTGATGGTGGTGTCCTTGAGGGCGCGCACGAAGTTCTGGTAATCCTTGTCGTTCTGGGCCACGGTGGCCTGCGCCTTGTCGAGCTTGTAGGCCACCTTGTCGAGGTCCCTGCCCTGCACCAGGCTGCTCTGCGCCGTGTAGCCGTTGATTTTGATGCAGTCCTGCTCGTACCTCTCGCGGGACTTGTGGACGTACTGCTCCTGGGTCTGCTTGTTCTTGTGCAGCTTGTCGATGCTGGCCTGGGACGCCTTGCGGGCGTTGAGGGAGCGGCCGAGGAAGTCGTGGACGTTGCCCTCGAGGTCCTTGCGCACCATGTTGGCGAGGTCGAGGTGGGTGCGCGACGTGGCGTCGAGCTCGGCCCTCACGGTGTCGAGGGCGGCGCGGAGCGCTCCGGTCTCGTCTCTGCCGAGCGCCTGCTTGGAGAGCTTTGCCAGTCGCTTCGAGTAGTCGGCCTCGATATCGGCGCGCTCCTTGTAGACGGCGCGCAGGTCCTCCAAGGTGCGCTGTGCGCCCTTCATGCGCGCCTGTATGACTTCGTAGCCAGCATCGTTGGAGCCCCAGAAGGCATTGCAGAAGGCGGTGGTCTCGCTGAGCTCGCGGCGGATGTACTCGTCCTCTGCCGCGATCCTGCGGCCTGCCTCGCCGCCATCTGGGCCCATGGAGTCGCTGGCGCGCTCCCTACGGGAGCTGGAGCTGTGTCCCGACCGGTTGGAGCTTTCCGAGGGTGTGCGGCGCTCCGAGGGCATGGTCGTGTTCTGGCAAGGGACAGGTGCGGGTGTGGAGAGGGCGTGGATCGGTCCTGGGCCCAGGAGCGGGCGAGGCCGGGTGCGGTGGCAGCAGTGGCGCTCGCTCTGTGGCGAGATATCCAGAGCGGGGGGAAAGGTGGGCTTGCCTGGGCCTTTGCGGCGGTGAGCGGCTCGTAGAGAAAAGTGACGTAGTGGTGCGGTGCGAAGGCGACGCTGGGGTTATGGTGGTATCGAGCGTGGTCGTGATAAGCACGTGCGTCTATGATAGGGGAGGAATTCGTGATGCGTTGCGTCGCGGAGCTGAGCGGCGGGAGACGACGACTGGCTCCGGTCGCGAGCAGAGGGGATGATGGTGAGGAGGAGGGTCTGGTTGGCTGGCTCGAGGGAGCTGGGAGCGGGTGAGGCGGTGTTGGTCGTCGGTCGGTCAGTGGCCTGCCAGAAAACACACAGGCGGCCGCCGCTGCCTGGCCTGGCCTGGCCTGGCCTGGCCTGGCCTGACCCGCCTGGCAGCCTGCTGTCTGTGCGCGTCACTCAAAGCAACCCCATGCCGGCAGCCGTTGGCCGCCCGCTTTGGCCTTGGCCTTGTGCCCGATTGATGGAAATTCGATGTGCGCCTGGATCGATTTGTGAGTTTCATCCCGATCGGAATTGGAAATCGGGCCAAGCCAGCCCTTGCCCCGCCTGGCTTGGTCTGCAGGAGAAGCAGGCAGGGAGGGAGCTTTGCTTGCCTCTTGCAGCAGCCCAGTGCCACGTGGTGCTGAGCATCGGCCTGGGCCTCAAACAGGCAGGCGGCACCCGACTTTGCTCGCTGCTGGGGCCCGCCTCGGATGCATGGCCTGGCCCTGGCTTCGAACGGTCCCAAGCACGCCTTTTGGCTTTATTTTCCACCAGACCGGCGGCAAACGTCCTTTGTGCCTTTGAGCAAGCAAGCTAAGCTAGCAAGCTAAGCTGCTGATCCCAAAGCCGCTGGCCGAGGCTGCCTGGCAGCGACGGCCTTGCTTCCCATCACGACCAGCAGCCGCGTGGCGCCAGGCTTCTCCTCGCGCCCGTCTGACTCGACGCCCTGCTCTGCTGTCGTCGGCCCATTGTGCTGCACATGATTTCCTCGACCCCTCCTCGACCCCACACCTCTATCTATCCTGACATTGAGGCGCAGAGGCAGGCTGGACCTGTTTATCAAATTCGGTTTGCCATCGGCCCAGACGGTCGGTCTTGCCTCGCGCGCTGTCCTCGCCCCAATGTACGCGCAACCATCTTTGCGCGTGCTGACTTGCCGGCATCTGATCTTGGAAGAAAAGTCATGTCCGCTTGTCGGCGGCCCACCCCGCCTGTCTGGTCGGCAGTCAGAGAAGCCGCCTGGTCCTGCCTCGTCCCTGATCCCTGGCTCGGCAATCCATCCTGAAACCGCCATCCACGAGCAGCAGCAGCAACTTTGAGGGCGAAGAGCTCGGCCTCAGCCTCCTCAGGGATCCGCGGCTCTTGGCGGCCTCGCCATCAGACAAACTTGTTCATCCCCTCTCTTGCTCTCCATCCTTGCCATCCAGCGACCACCATCCGCATCCCTTCTCCTCGTCGCGCCCTGCTCGCCGCCCCCATCATGGCATCCGATGGCGCCACCGTGTCGGAGCGCAGGCTGCTGCTGCGCATCGACCTGCTCCTCATGCCCATCATGACCATCGCCTACGGCCTCCAGTTCTACGACAAGGCCATCCTCTCGTCGGCCTCAATCTTTGGCATCCTCGCCGACCTCGACCTCTCAGTCACCCACGGCACGCCCCCAACCACGTCGCTCCAGCGCTACTCGACCGCCACCTCGGCCTTCTACTGGGGCTACCTCGTCGCCGCGCTGCCCATGGCCCTCCTCGTCCAGCGCTACCGCGCCAACTGGTTCCTCGGCCTCGCCGTCGTGCTGTGGGGCATCATCGTCATCCTCACCCCCGCCATCACCTCATGGAGGGGCCTCGTCGCACAGCGCTTCTTCCTCGGCGCCGTCGAGTCGGCTGTCAGCCCCGGCTTTGTCCGCATCACGCGCTCCTGGTACAAGCGCTCCGAACAGCCCCTCCGCCTCGGCATCTGGTACTCGGCCACCGGTCTCTTTTCCATCTTCTCCGGCCTCGTCAACTACGGCTGGGGCAAGCTCGGCTCCCAGCCCGGCGCAGCGCTGCGCCCTTGGAAGTACATGTTCCTCTTTGCAGGCGCCCTGACAATCGCATTTGGCCTCATCCTCCTCGCCCTCCTGCCGGCATCGCCTACCCAGGACGCCATCATCAGGGTCAGGGGCTACAACTACTTTGACGCCGCCAGCAAGAGGCTCGCCAGCACTCGCCTGCGCGACAGCCTCACCGGCGTGGCTAGCGACGGCGACGACGGCAGCAGCCTTGGCGGCTACGTCACCCGGCCCGCCGCCGGCGGCAGCACCGATTCGGTCAACCACAACCACAAGCAGCAGCAGCAGCAGCAGCAGGCCGACGGCAGCGTTCTCGCCGACACCAAGGGCGCGCTGCGATCCTTTGACGACGAAGACGTCGAGTCCACTGCCGACGGGTCGGCGGGCGAGCAGAGCCGCTGGCAGCTGTACCAGGTCAAGGAGGCGTTGCTCGACTACAAGATCTGGATCTTCTTCCTTCAGGCCATTGCAATCTACATCTGCAACGGCGGCGTCACGGGCTTCGGCGCCTACATCATCAAGACGTTTGGCTACAGCTCGCTGCGCTCCATCATCCTCCAGACGCCGGGAGGCGCGACGACGGCCGTGTCGATCTACATCTCGACGTTCATCGTGCTCAAGACGAAGAACACGCGCTCGCTGCTCCTCTGCCTCACCTGCCTGCCCGTCATGGCCGGCGCGGCCATGATCTGGAAGGGCGACTGGACAAACCGAGCGGTCCCGCTGGCGGGCTACTACCTGCTGCCCATCTTTGGCGCGCCGTTCGTGCTGATGCTCTCGCTCTCGACGGCCAACATCGCCGGGTCGACCAAGCTGTCGATTGCGAGCGCCATGATCTTTATCGGGTACAACGTCGGCAACATCGTGGCGCCGTACCTCACAAAGGCCGAGCAGAAGGCGATCCACTACCGCGACACGTTTGTCGCCATCATCACGTGCATGGCCATCACCATCGCCCTCACCGTCCTCCTCGATGTCGGGATGTGGTACCAGAACCGGACGAGGGATCGAGCTGCCGCCTCGTCGACCGCGACGGGCAGGGTCGGTGACGGCGAGACCGAGCAGCAGGTCAGGATCAGGGCTGTCAAGGAGGACTGGACAGACTGGGAGAACCCACACTTCCGCTACGTCTTCTAGACGAGGTCGCGGCAGCATGGCAAGACAGGTGGGGGTGGTCCTTTAAAGGAAACAAAATAGAATAAATAAATTGGGCGGAGCCCAGGTCATCGCCGTACAGTTGGATCGATTAGGTTGTAAAGCTGGTCAAGTCTTCGTGATAACAGGAAGGAGACGGGCCGAGTGCCCGTACACTACCAGCGTGCTCAGATTAAAGATCCGGGGCAAGAGCCGGTCGATGGGCTCTTTGTGGATTGGTCGCGTCGTCACGTCGCCAGACCCCAGCCGACTAGTAGATGCACCTGATGAAGCCGTTGGGCGTGGGCGCCCGAGTGTGGGTGACCTGCAGATCGAACGCAGCGTTGCGACGCAAACGAGGCGGGCGGCGTCGTCAGGTGTTTGCCATGGAGCTGCAGCTCAATGTGGAGCCAGGAACGACCATGGGACTTCGACTCACAGCGCCGCAGAATTCTCCTCCCGAGTCGTAGATGACACGGTCAGGGCCCGGATTTCCGCCCGTGTAGCCCCCAGCGGTCAGGACGAGGGGGTACTCATAGTAGGGGGGGCCTGAGCAGTAGGCGCTGAAATTGAAACCTAGTGCGCAAGAGGAGGGACGGCCGAGATACGCGTCAGCTTTCAAGGGAGGACAAGAGAGCGGATCGAGTCGAAGGAGCTTAGGCGCGACGCATCTCACCCTCGTAGTTCTTGAACTTCTTCGGGTAGCCCCGAATAGGATTGAACTGCGCAATCTGGGCGAGCGAGATGGCATCTTGCACGTCGGTGTCTGCGTACTCGTTCGTGCCGCACTTGAGGGTACTAGGGGGCGGCGACCTGGTGGGATTGGGGAAGACGTAAAGGGGGGGGCCGGCGGGAGCAGCGACAGCAAGGGCCGGGAACAGAGCAAAGAGGGCGAGCCCGTACTGCATCGTGTCAGGAGATGGAGGGGTAGGCTTAGGGAGATGGGAAGCAAGGTCAAGGTCGAGGATGGGTGTCGAGTCAGTGAGACTGTTGGGCGATGTCGAAACGGGCTCGAGGGCCATGATGAGCCTCGCTCTTATAGATGTTGGCCACACTGACGCCGGGATTGTTTGACCCACATTTTCGTGGCTGAGGCAGACGAACGACTTCTTGATCTCGCCCACCCACCTGCTCGCCTCCTGCCGCCCGCTTCCTGTCCGCGTGCTTCCTATCCGCCCGCCTCCCACATATCTTCCCGCCTGTCGATTGTTCGCTTTCCGAAGTCGGTCTGAAAGTGGGCAGACCACATTGCACACTCCTCATCCGCCCTGATCGATGCCGTCCGACTACAATGCAGCGTTCCAGGAGCGACCTCGAGGCCGACACGGCAAGCCATCCAGACTATAACGGGGATGCAACGTTGACAAGAAGGACTGTGAGGACAGGGGGTCGAGGCGGTGGCACCCCGGTGCAAGGCCGACACGATGCCGACGGTGGGAGACGTGCTCGGGCGAGTGCACGATGGCGGATTCGTGGCATCGATCGTCGCATGGTTGTGGGAAGGTCACGATCAACGATGAACATTCAATGGTCACCATTGTTGCCTTGTCCTCACCTCACCGTACAAGGTTGGGCCCAGGAACGCGTCTACAGACCGACCTCTGACCGGCCGTATGACTGTCTTCAATTGGCATGGTCTTCGATGACCACGAGCGGCCCAATTCCCTAGCCGGCGGGTCAAATGATCAAATGGCATCGGTGCGATGCTGAGGAGAATGAATGCGGCTGTCGCCTGGCCAAGATCCATCGAGCCGCGGCCCCGACGATCCTGACCAGATGTGGGCGCTTCTGCATGGCCATCGCCGCTGGCCCCAACAGTGGGTCATGACAGGCTAGGGGCTGTCTAGAAGGACTTGGCGGAATCAATCAGTTGAAAGAAACCCACTTCCGCCATATACTTCAGACGCCGAATTGCCACGGACAGATCGAGACAAGGAGCTCGTGAAGAGCCGAAGATGCCAGCGGTATGCCGAAGGCGAGTGGTTGGGCGCTCGAGGCGTCGAGTTCACCGTCGCGAGAAGAGCAGATCGAGTACGGTGCAGATCCATTCGATTTCGTTCAGTCGTCAAATCATCATGCCACAAGAGGCGTCTAGTACCTGCAGCCGACAAAGGCGTTGTTGCTGGCGCCGGTGTGAGTGATCTATGAATGGCGGCGGGCAGCAGAAAGGGTGGTCAGCAAAAAATGGACAGGGCGCGTCAGCACGATGCAGCTATGGGCCGAGGACCACGAGAAGGGACCAAACGGAAGGGTGTTCCAAAACGTTGACCACTCACAGCACCGCAGAAGCGACCGGTGTTGGGGTTGTAGATGACACGGTCGGGGCCGGGCGAGCCGCCAGTGTAGCCGTAGGAGCTCTTGACCAGGGGGAACTCCTCGAAGGGGCCGCTGGAGCAGTAGTCGCTGAAGTCGAAGCCTAGCGTGCCGGAACGTTCGGGGACAGAAAACATGGGAATGAAGATGATCAGCTTTGGGACAGGACAAGTGAACGAGGATATGGCAGAGAACGTCGAGGCGTGGCCGACACGTACCCTCGTAGTTGTTGTAGGTGTGCGGGTAGGTGGTGGACGAGGCGGCGTCCTGGATGGCGTTGTTAACGGCGCGGTTGACCTGGGTGCTCGAGTAGTAGGTGGAGCCGCAGGTGACCGAGACGCCGCCCTGGCGGGCCTCGAGGGGGGCAGCGACGGCGAGAGCCGGGATGAGGGCGAGGAGAGCGAGCTTGAACTGCATCTTGTCAGAGGAGAGCGGGCGGGGACGGGGAAGAAGGCGAGGAGCGAGGGGTATCAAGGAGCAAAGGCCGAGAAGGGGAGATGGGCTGGGCAGTGGAGAGGAGGGCTGGTGGATGCTTCCGAACAGGTTGTCTGGGCCATGATGAGCCGCCCTCTTATATCTCCTTCCCTCGACGAGAGGGCGGGGAGGGAGGATCAGTGTAAAGCAAGAGCAAGGACGAGGGCGAGGCAAGTCACGGCTTGCTCGACAGACACCGTACGGGCACATCGTCGCTCGTCGGTGTCTCACCTGCACTACTGTGCGGGACGTACTGGGAGCCATGCCATGAAACACGGTGACCCTGTCCCAGCTCAGCGGTACCCTATCGTCGAGCTGCAACCAGGAGCAAGGAGCGGGGCGGGTGGGACTCTCCTCCTCGGCTGCCCCGTTGATTGACGCCGGAAGCCTGCAAGCCGGAGCGGCCATCCCCGCCGACCAAGGCGGCCTCCCTTCCTTGCTTGCTAGGCTGCGGCTGCTTCCTCGTTGCTACAAAGAAAGAGATTATTGCAGCACGGCGCCAACTGCCGACCCCTTTGATGGCGCACAGGAGCGCCCAAGCGAGGTCTTTGCGCCTGGTGGCTACCGTAGCGTGTCACCGTGGCCATGGTGGTTCGAGAGGGGTCGAGCATGGCACGTTGCTCGATGGATACGAGATGGGGCCAGGAACGTTCCCCCTCGGTCTGCCTCTTGGTCGAGACGCGGCTGCAATCGTCCGTCGAGGCGCAGGGGGGAGCGCCCATCGCGAAGGTCTGCCACACGCTCAGCATGCCAAGAGAGAAGCGCCGGCCCTCGGGTTCTCGAAGCGAAAGGGGGTGCGAGAAGGGCACCGGGACAGCGCCAATCTTCCGACCCAACATCGCCTGCCTCTTCTCGGACTTCGTCTAGCCTACTGTGGGCGAATGCGAACCGCGCGGACAAGACCGAGGCGGGCGTGGGCACGTTGGAAGAGTGCGGTCACGTTCGCGACCGTCCATCGGCTCGCTTCTCGATGCGAAGCGGTGTTGGATGCCAAGAAGGAAGCAAGCAGGCAGGCGGGCAAAGCCCCACACTTGGACCAGCCTGGGATCGACGCTTCCCGAGGCCTGACAGAGGAGGAGGAGGCACAACGACGGTGAGCCTGGCCAGTCGACTCTCTCCCTCTCTGGTCGGTAGATTCTCGCAAGCGAGGCTGTACGACTCGTCTCGGCCCTGCTTGTCCCTTTCGGCCCGGTCTCTTCCTTGTTCTTCCGATCGTGGAGGAGCGGGACGATGCCACGCTCGACGACGACATGGTGAACTCTAAAACGCCTCAAACCCACTCTGCCCTCCACCTGCGCTTGGCCGTCTGGCTGTCTTGTAAAGCAATAATGCCATGAAAAGGCGGAGGCGGAGCACACGTTGACAGACACCTATGCTGTCCGCCCACTGCCGCTGGCCGCTTTTCAGCCGAACCCTCATATCATGGTTCCGCCCACTCGTGCGCCGGCCCATTTCAGCCGGCGGTCGATCAAAAGGCGGAGCGGAGCGGCTAATCGAGAACGGCCCGGCCCAAGTCTTGACCGCTTCCTTATCATGCTCCACTGAGGATGCATCCCGGGACCAGACGAGCGCCAGGGCCAACGACTAGGCAGTGTCGTTGCTCGTCGGTAACGTGGGTGATTGTAGGTATCTCAAAGGACGGGGCTACGTGCTGTACGCTGGCGCCAGTTGATAACCGAGGTTACGGAAGGTGGTGCCCCGAACACCCCCACCTGCGTGCCGACTGCGATGTGGCGGGCCAGCAAGCGTATGTAGGCGCTACCGATACCTTCTCGACGGACGACAGAGGCCCACGTTCTGCCACCTCGCGACACGGCCACATCTCGCGGCAGTCGTCACTCGCGCCCCTTCGCGGCACCGGCAGTCGGCACGAGGCAATGCTCCGCTACAAGACACTCTTCTCGTCGGGCCGGGTCAGCGCCATGCAGTCAGCTTGGTCGATCGGCGGCTCGGGCAGACGGTCAATCTGGTCCCAAATCGGGCTCAGGACGGTGCCGCCCCGATCCCACCGATGTGCCGGTGGAATTGCGTCTCGTGAGGTTCTGTCAAGAGGTTGCGTTGGAGCCGTATAGTACAAGTGCCGCCGTGGTGAGGCGGCACGGAAGATGTCGAAAGTCTAGGGATGACGATGGGACCGGAGCGTGGATAGGGAAGCCGACATGGTCGGGGGGTAGCCCATGATGGTCGCCTAGCAAGATGCTCGTTCAGGCCGCCGAAGAGATTGTCGATTGCATCGAGGGCCGCCCAGATTGCATCGGGGCCCTTCGCAAGAGGATGGCCATGTGGCATCGTGCGGGCGGCGGCAGGCGAAACGATGTCCGACCCCTTGCGACGAGTGTGGCGCGCTGCCCGGCTAGCCAGATGGCCCGAGAGCTGCCGAAAGTGGAGACCGTGCTGAAAGATGTGGGCGGTACCTTGGCGCAGACGAGGCAGAGCCAAGCGAACGAGGAGGGGGTTCCGGATGCGATGCCGAGGTGCGGGATGTCATGTCTGTGCGTGGTACTTGATCGTCTTTCCGCCAAAGAGGGCCCTGGACTCGAGGTTGTCGTTGCCCGTCTCGTTGCCGCCGGACGTCGTCTTGGGGACGATCTGTTCGATGCGGTCTCCGAGCTTGAGGGCGGTCCACTTGATGACGCGCGGGTCGGCGCGGAGGCGGTCGTTTAGCGACTTGAGGACGGGTGCGTTTGAGTCAAAGTGCATGAGCCAGTAGTCGCCCTGGGTGTGGTACTGCTGGTGCCTCCTTGCGCGCTGGGGCAGCTTGCGGAGACCCCAGTACTGGATGCCGCGGACGGCTCCGCCGTTGTCGATGACGAGCTTCGACGTCGACTTGACGAGGTCGCGCAGCGGGGCCGACTCTGCCGACGAGGCGGCGATGCAGAGCAGCTCGTAGAGGGGCATGTCGGGTGGTAGAGGAGGTGTGCGCCTGTGGTGATGGTGGTGGCGGTGCGGGTTGGTGGTGGTGTTCAACAGCGCAGTGGGCTCGGTGGGGCGATGCCGCTTTCGAGAAGAAGAAGTGTGCGGCGGCGGCCCCGCCTTTTTTGACGGCGCCGAGCTGGGTTTCTCGTCCGAGAGAGGCTTTCTCCACTTTGCGAAGAATTGGGGAATTTTTTCGATTTGCGCGTTCAAGCGCAAAGGGTCGCTCGAGCGACGTTGGCAGCGAGCCCTGCCTTGATTTGACTGGCTTGGACCTCGGACCCCACCTCTTGTAAGCCCTCCAACCACCATCGCCCTCGCGACCTCTAGCAAGCGAGCCTGCCCAAGGGCCTTGCCTCAACCCCGTCGACAGAATCGCCATGTCGACAAACGACGTCGCCGCCGTGGCACCCGCCGCCCTCGCCCTCCACCGCATCCGATACCTCGACTGGTCCCCCTCGACCATCACCTCGCTCGCCGTCTCGCCCGTATACCGTGCCGCGTCCGCATCCAGCAGCGCCAGCTCCTCCAGGGGCATCCTCGCAATCGGCAGGCAGAATGGTGACATCGAGCTCTGCGTCTGGCTCGAGAACCGCGCAGCCCACAAGGCCGAGGTGCTCCACAGGTCCTTTCACACCTACGCAAAGGGTTGGATCGTGCACACGCTCCTCCCCGGTCAGCTCAACTCCAAGATCGAACAGCTCGCATTCGCAAACCCTCCCGTGGAAGGCGACAACGGCGTACACAAGCTGCGCCTCTTCTCCATCTCGGGCGGCGCCATCGTCACCGAGCACTTCCTCCCCGCCGACATCGCCATCTTGGGCGCAAAGTCCAACAACGGCTCCCGATCCAACACCTCCTCTGGCAACCTCGGAGGCCTATCCACCCTCTTCCCCGGACGAGCTGACAAGTCGAGCGCGGATCAGCACGTTCCCGGAGCCATTCGCACCGTCCCCTCGCTCGGAGGCGCCGTGTGGAGCATGGCCGTGAGCCCCACGGGCAGGTACCTCGCCATCGGCTGCGAAGACGGCCACGCCCGCATCATCGACCTGGTCGACAACAAGTTTGAGCACCTCGCCAGCTCCTCGAACCGCGGCGCAGACGTCAGCGCCCGCCTCGGCAAGGCCCAGGGACGGATCATCAGCCTGGCCTGGGGCCCACCGAAGCGGGCGAGTCGTGCCGCCACCACCGCAAATGGAGGTAGCGCGCAGTCCAAGCAGCAGAAGGAGGGCGACAGCTCCGATTCCGATTCCGACTCTGACTCGAGCGACAGCGACAGCGACGATGACGACGACGACGACGCAGCCGAGAGCGGCTGGAAAGAGACGTTCCTCGTCGGAGGCCTAGGCAACTCTTCGGCTGCCGTGTGGGACGTTGCAAGCGGCCGCATCGCCTCCAAGCTGACGGTGCAGAAAGCTCGTAGCGAGGCCACCATCGTCTGGTGCGTGGCGACGCTGCCGGACGGCACCATCGTCACTGGAGACTCGACTGGCCGAGTCACGCTCTTCGACGCAAAGACGCGCGTCCCCATCCCCGGCGCCACCTTCCGCAGCCACACGAGCGGCGCCGACGTCCTCTCGCTCTGCGTCGGCCCGGACGGCAAGAGCCTCTACAGCGCGGGCGTCGACCAAAAGGTGGCCGAGTACGCCCTTGTGGCCTCGGCCTCGTCGAAGCGGGGCCGCTGGGTCCAGATCGCCGCGCGGAGGCTGCACGCCCACGACATTCGCTCGCTCGCCATCGACCCGCCCTACGACCCCATGCTCTCGGTCGATGCGCTCGCGCAGGGAGTGGGCACCGCCGTCGGCAAGCTGCCGATCTTGCTCAGCGGCGGTGTCGACTTCAACCTGATCCTGACGCCCGCCTCGCCCCCGTCCGGTCTCACCATGGCCCTCGCTGCTGGCGCTGCGGCCGGTCTGCCCAACAGCAATAAGCGCAAGAAGAACCCGCTGATGTCGGCGGCCGAGCAGGAGCAGGCGCTCATCAACCCTATTTCGTCCAACGCGGTCACCACATTTGCCGACTCGACGCAGAGGAGGATCCCCTTCGTGCCCAGCACCGCGCGCAGCGGCTCTGTCGGTGGCGGGTCCGTGGCCACCGTGTGCCGCGGCAAGGGCTGGATCGTGCTGCGGAGGGAGCACAGCATCGGCATCTGGGACCTCGGCATCAAGGACGAGAACCACGGCGGCCTCAACGAGCTGGGCGAGGAGGCGTCGGCTGTTCCGCCTCAGTGGACCAAGCTGCTCGAGATGGAGCTCAAGGTTAACTCGAACCTCTGCAGCGTCGCCGTCAGCCCCAACGGCAAGTTCCTCGCTGCCTCGGACATGTACGAGACGAAACTGTTCGCGCTGCGCGAACGGATCAGCCAACAGCACCAGACGGACCTCGAGCCGCGCAAGGTCAAGAGCTTTGCGAGCGTCTTTGGTCACGACGACGATGTCGCGCCGGGCGCGAGCGCGCTCAGTTTCTCGCCCGACTCGTCGCGGCTGGTGCTCGCTTCGTGGTCGGGCAGCTACGTCCACGTTGTCGAGCTGCCCTCGGCCGAGGCCGGCGCTTCAGCGGGCACCTGTCGCCTCCTCCGCAGCTTTGGTCAGCACCGGCAGAGGCCTGGGTCGGCCTCGGTTGGAGATGTGGGGGCATCTTCGAACAACCCGCAGGGCAGGCAGCTCGCGGGACGCAACGGAGTCGCGGCGTCCAAGCAAAACGGAAGCAACGGACAGGGGCACGGCAACGGCAGCGGCAGCGGCAGCGGCGACGACGCCGGTCACCCTGCCCGCGCGGACGACGAGACCGGCCGCAGGAACAGCGCTAGGGGCGGCCAGAGCGACCGCGTCGAGCGCAGCACCTCGTCGCTGATCCACCACGTCCAGATTTCCTCGGACGGAGCCTGGCTGTCGACGATTTCGTCCGACCTGCAGCACCACGTCTTCTCGCTCGACTCGTTGACCTTTGAGCGGACGCTGCCGTCGCCGCACGCGCTGCCTTCGGGCTCGAGCTTCCACCCCTCGACCCACGCGGCGCGCTCGAGCATGTTGACGCTCGTCTTTTCGGACAACAAGATCGAGTTCTGGGACGTCGAGAGCGGCAAGGAGCTGAGCAGCATCGCGCACCTCGACACTGCGTCCAGCGGCGACGGCAGCTTGGGCGGCAGCAGCGGCGAGAAGCGAAAGGCCGGCGGTGGCGCCCTGGCCAAGCGGGCAGGGCAGGGCCCGCGCGCCGAGTGGGAGGCGCAGATGGCCAACCTCAAGCTCCGCGTGCAGGAGAGGCTGATGAGCATCCGCGAGTCGGCCATTGGGGCAGTGTGGGTGGGCAAGCCCGATGACGGTGGCATCAAGGAGACGCTCGTCGTCTGGGGACCCACCTGGATCTGCACGGCGCGCCATGATGCGCAGAGCACCACGTCCCCGGCTGCGCCTGCGGCTGCCTCCAATGGCGGGTCAGCTTCGGTGTCGCGGCCAGCAGCCGCTCAAGACGGCGATGGCGACGTCGAGATGGCCGACCTGCCTGGCTCTACCAGCGGTGCCGTCTCGGGAACCGGTCCCGCGGCTGCTACCGCTGCTGCTGGAGTGCCCGGTGCTGGCCCAGGTCGAGGAGGCGGGTGGCACATCAAGCACACGCACAAGTACCAGCCGCTGCTTCTGGTCGATTCGATCGCTACGGGACGAGGCCAGGTCAAGAAGGACGATCTGGTGGTCGTCGAGAGGCCCTTCTACGAGCTGGCCAGGAACCTGCCGCCCGCTTTCCACCGTGGAGCCAGATACGGCGCCTAGCCGACCGCCGACCGCCGACCAGCGCTCGCGCTCGCGCTCGATTCCCTCTCTGTCAGCTCTACTCGCCATGCCTGCGATCTCGAGTGGCATCTCATATCAACTCAGCTAGACCGTCGATTAGCAGAGTGCTCGGCCGAGTTGCCGGTATGCTCGTTGGGGAATCTCGCCAACGCCAAGTGGCCACTCGCTGTCCCCTTTGCATAGCCTCGTTCTCATCCTCGACTCGACTCGACACCTCGCGACGAAACGTGGGCGAGATTAAAGCTCCAATTAGACGGAATCGGCTGGAGGAAAGGCCACGAGGACGGAGCCGCAGCCACGACAGGGTGGACGGGGGTTAAGAGTCAGGACCGTGGCTGGCCACGTAGTCAGTCGTGTTGTCAAGGCGATGAGACACGGACGACTTGGCACAGCCCCGTCCGTCGATCGGGGCTGGTACTGCAGAAGAAGGCTAGCTCCATCGTCATTCACCCTTACTGGGAGACGACGCCGGTGTCGGAGAGGTCCGCTTTGCCGTCGCTGGCGTCTTGTTGCAAGCCCTGTAGCGTGTCGTCCCCGAACACCATTACCCGCTCGGGCGCTGTGGCCTTTGTTACCCGTGAGCTCGCCAACCGAACCCCCTTTCACTCTGCGTGGGTGTGGGCCATACGTAACTGGTGGGCGGGCCGAAGGGAGAGTTAGTTGGGCGGTCCGGCGAGACCGATGGTTTCCGCGTTGCCGACATGGTACAAGTTCTCACGGCTTTGCTACATAGCGTGGGGTGGTACAGTACCGTACCTTGTCGTGGTTGCAGCGTTGCCCGTACGGGTGGGGAGGAGCGGTATCGCGGGCCGGGACCGGTCCGACACGGCGGGCGGAGAGGGCCGGCCGGCCACGCCTCGCTTCGTCAGGCCTCGTGGTCGTAGAAGGGAGCCAGATCGAGGCATCGAGCGTTCGACCAACTACCGTACTAGCTCTGGCTCTGCGAGGACGGCCTCCTAAGCGAGAGAAGGACGATGGGGCTGCAGCCAGTCAGATGCCACACAGAAGCACGCAGCCAAGCGAGCGCAGCACCACCCAGCACAGCATGCGTAGATCGATTCCCCTAGGCGACGAAGTACACGCAGCAGCCAGCAGGCAGGCAATGCTGCCGCCGGTCCCGTACTGTACATATGTACAGTACGACGCCGTCGTCACCTTGCCCTGCCCACCCTTGCTTCGATGGCACTACCCTCGTCTCTGATGCTGCACTCGCGGCTCGCAGAGCAATCAAGCACAGCGCGGCGATTTCTAGTCGGCCCAAGTTCGGTCCGTCTCGTGCTCCGCCCTAGACGAGATGCACACCGGCGCCCCACCCCACGGCGGCTTTCGGTTCGGTTGGCATCGCACCGAAGGCAATCTGCTTTGCTTGTCCAGTCCACCCCGTTCGGCTCAGTGGCAAGCTATGTAAGGTCGGCGCCAAATCATCCACCCAAGTGCTCCGGTTCGCTCGACGATGAACACCTCGGCACCGATTCCGATCCCTATTGACAGTGGAACCCGTCCTCCGCCCCGCTTACCCAACTGCCCCACGGCTCGGTCGTGGTCTGACCTCGAGTCGGATGATTCAGTGCGGGGTCCAACGACTGGGGATCTGCGGCCATCTGGAAATAGAAGCAACGCTTCAATGAGCACGCACGACTACATAGGTGCGGTGAGACACGAGGAGGAATGCCACGCAATTGGTGGCCTCCGCGACGTCGTGAGCGTGAAAAGCCAGGGGCGGCGGTGGCGGTGCTGACGACAGACAAGAGATAGACGCACATCGTCACCGTCGTATCAGTACCCTCCCTTCCCAGTACACTAGTGTGCATCTGCTGTTCTTTCCCGATCACGGTGAAGGCAAAGCACACCGGCGATTCGGCGAGCGTCTGTATCTATGTGTGACACTTTGCTTAATGTCTCACCTGCAGCGGCAAGGGGGCAAAACGTGGCGCGAAGGCAAACGCCAGTTTTATCGCATCGATCTGGGAATCTTGGGCGTAACAGAGTGCAATTGCGGCTGTGGCTAGGTATGTGCGAGTTGCGGGGTGCAAAATCGGGCCTGTGGCAAACGTCGGTGGTCCGACGCAGGAATATGTATGGCGCGGCGTCGGCGTCGGCGGCGTCGGTTGACGACGGGGGGCGCGGCGCGAGACGCACGTCGAGGGCGCAAGCGAAGGCGTTTCCACTCGCCTGGCCTGGACATGGGCAGGGCGGCAAGGGGGCGGGCGACGCTGCTGCCTGCACGACAGGCACGCAGCGAGCGGGATGGTAGTCCAGGCCAGGCCAGGCGGAGTGGCGGACAAGACGAAGGACAAAATCCGACGTGAAAGGCCCGCCACGTCGGACCTCGAACGGGTTGCGGAAACGTCAGAAAGAACAGGAGGCTAAGCCATATAGGACGTCCGCACGTACCGGTACATACAAGTTCCGTACCGTACCCATCCGGATCCTTACATACATGTAGTCTCGGAGCGCCCTGTCGTTCTCGCGGACGGGCCGCGTCGCAAACAAAGGCCGACGGAGAACAAAGAGCAGCCTATGTCCGGTACGTACCCCTAGCCACACCTCCGAGGCGACAGTAGTGCAGGTTCCGAAGCCGAATCCGACGCCGATCCGTGTTCCTTGTCTCCTATGGTGGACCTTTGCTGCCGGTTCCCTCTTCCTGCCTCCGTTACATGTCCAGTCCCGACCGGGGCTCGTTGCTGCTGCTGCTGCTGCTCGTCTTTGTCCTTTCGTGCGGCAGCAGGTCACCGGCCGGTGTGTCGGAGTCGGCGCTGCTTCTCGGTTGACCGACCGCGTCTCCGCTTGGCACGCACGGATCATCGTTGCCGGTTCCGTTGCTTGACACTTGCTCGTCTTCGGGGATCGTCTTCCGACGAGGCGGCCAAGCCCCCTCCCCGCTTTTGCACGCTTGCCCGCTGGCGATGGCCATCGCAGTCGGACAAACAAGTCTGCAGCGCTCGCCACGCTACTCTGTGCATACCGCGCGGCCTTGGCCGATTCAATCGGAGAGCTTGAGCGTAACTCTCTGTTGATCCGACAGGAAAGGCAGAGCATATGATCGCGAGGAGGCCTTGGCTCGAGCAAGATAACTATCGCATGAAAGGAATGGATCGAGCCTCGAAAGGTAGGGCTCACAGCCGCACCATCTTTGTGCGGATTCAGCGCGGTGACACCGTGCTACGGGAGAGAGGGCCCACGGAAGGCGGCATGAGACCTTGCCGGGAGATGGTGAGGGCGACTATGTCTGCGCGCGGCGATGGCGGGCCTGGGTCACAAGGGGCGGATTCCCGCCGCATCGCACGCACGCCGACATCCGCACGGGGGCGAAGACAATAATGGACCATGGGATGCAGGATGAGGCAGGCGAGGTGTTGGTCCACCGCAAGTCGGGCCAACCCGCGCGATGGCGCCCGGTGCGGCTCCATGAAGTCGGCCAGGATATGATGTGCGGGAGTGGTTTGGCGACGGCGGCGCGCCTACGCCTGCGTGCGCGCGTGCTCTCTGGCTGATCCTCGGGCTCGTTCATGCTCCTGCCCCCGCCACTGCTCTCGAGCTTCGCATGAGCTACATATCGCCTCGTGCGAGCCGGTGCGGCCAATTCCTTTGCTCGCTACAGCATGTACATACATCCACCGCCCGTTCCATGTGCGGAAGCGAACCGAAGCCATGAATATGAATCGCCTCGCCGTCGTACAGTCAGGCGGGGCGAGATGCGAAGGGATCAGAGGCAGGCCAGGGCTAGGGGTTCTGTTGTCGGAATCGCGAAGTCGCTTCGGCTGCCGATAAGGTGTGCGGAAGGTGGCCGGCGGAGGTAAATGTAGAGAGGATGTCGTTGGAGCCCGCATCTGGTTGGAATTGCCCGCTTTCCGACGCGCCCTCCGCAACCTGCCGACTCTACCAGTACCTACCAGCAAGATGGCCGGTCGGACACATCTTAGCTAAGGCAGAGCGAGGATGTGCCGGCCCGCCCACCTTCGGGACAGTCACCCCTGACGACTGCAGCACAACAATCACGTCGGACGAATGTCGACCCCAGAAGCTCAGCTTGCGGTATGGTGTGTGGTACTGCGCAACAGGTTTGGCAGTAGGTTGACGACGAGTGACTCGAGGTTAGCAGGCCATCGACTTGACCTAAGCGCCAGCCTGATGCCCCCTGCCCGCCTTCCTACCGGTATCACGCTATAATAAGGTAGGAAGCTACACCGGTACTGGAAGCTCGACGAGGCTTCGGACACCGACGTCGTTTGGTCTTGCCGTCGATACGGCGCTCAGAGTGAGAAGTGACACGCTACCGACCGACGTGGAAATGGCCGCAGCGTGGGCCTTGTCTGCCTGCGCCATGAAATTTCATGGGCCTGGAATTGGCCGCATGGGTTGCTTGGGTGGCCACACAGACGAGCCCCTTCGGTTGTCCCTTGGTTGTGGCGGCGCCGCCTCTGTTTCTGTCTGAGCCAGGCAGGCGACCGGCGGCCAGGCAGGAGGGTCCTCTGCCAAACGAGGCTGGGGCTCAGCACTCTGGCGCACGCGCACGTTCGATTTCCAATCGATCTCAACCAGCCTGGCACCTCCAGGCGCTCATCTTCTCTCGCCGCCCCCTCGCGCTGTTGGGCCACCTACCTCGCACCGAACAAAGACCGAGCTGTTGACAGGCTGCGCCATTCTCGAGCGTCGAAAAGGACGGCGCATGAAATCCCCGTCGACGTGCCTTTCCCTTCCTTCACCTTCGCGCTCTTCAAACTCGACCCCGACTCCTGCAGAAAACTGAGATCGAGCGGCAGCTGCTCACAGGGGGGCGTGTTTGCTGCAGCGACCTCCTCACGGGCCGGTAACTAGGTGGCGGTTCGGCGATCCGCCGTCGTCGCTCGACGGTACATACGGTAGCCGTGATTGGGCCCCGTCGCCATCATGTCTTGATCTGTGCGCCAAACAGCACGACACGCATCCACAACGACGACGGGCAGGAACCGCATCCCACCCGACCCATTGTTCATCCGCGTCCTCCTCGCTTCGCCCTGCCCCCTGGTGGCGAGCTCGGAGCACATCGTCCTCCTGCCCGGCATCGGCTCTTCTTTTTCCTTTCTCTGGCCGCTCGTAGCCTGCCCACATCTCCCGAAGGCCATCGGACTCAAGTTGCCGCTCCTTCCCAGGACGCTGCGGTAGTACAGTAGTCTCAGAGCTAGTTAAGACCCGCTGTCCTGAGCCTTCCGGCCCGTCTGCCGGGCCACCTGGCTGCCTGCCCGACTGGCCAGGTTGCCCACCCCGATCCTTCCCAAGCAGGCAGCAAAGCGAAGATGCAGCTGCATGCGCCATCACAGGTCACCAGATACAGCGCATGGACTGCACAGCTGCGCAGTTCAGCTGCCCGCGCCCTCGTCGCCTTTCATGGCGGTCAACCTTGACCAGCTGGTGGCCGTGGAAGCACAGGGCCAGGTAGGCAGGCTGCACGATCCCCTTCGGATCATCGACTGCCTCTCCAAGGATACCGTACCGGCAGGGGAGCCTGTGGTTGTTACTCGAACCACGTCGCGCCGGTCAAATATTTGCACAGGGCGCGGTCGCAGTGCCAATCGGCATCGCCCGAGGCTGGCTCGAGGCCCCGTGGTGCGACAGTAGTGTATGCTCTGTATCTTGTAACTAGGCAGTCGTGCAGTTTGCTTGGTAGCCTCGAGGGCGGTTGGCCGTCCTGTCGACCTCTTCCGTCCATCCTGCACCGCTCGCCGCCACGTACAGTGCTGTACAGTACGGCTCTGCCCCCCCAATAGGCTCGTTCCATGAAACTGTACCCCGCCTGGTCCTCGACCCACGCGGCATCCGCTCGCCGATCGCGTGTAAATATGTAAACTTACTGAAGCAAAGCTAGAGTCTTGGCTGCTTTCCTGGCATGGCGGCCACCGTCTCGCGCCACACTGCACCGCCCATGACCAGAGGGCCAAGCATGAGATGGTACGGATCAGGAAGACCGAACTGGGTCCGACAGATTGGAAGTCGCCTTAGCGCGCGCGAACCGACATTGTAGCTTCATGTTGGAGCCCGGCCTCTCGGCCTTTAATCTCGAGGCAACCAATGATCGCATGGCCTCTGGGGGACCTGCCATGGTACTTACAGTGCACAGCGGCAACTTATTGGCCTCTGGAAAAGGGCGAGAGAAGGCAAGCCCTGCCTCGCCGTCGTGCAGCGCAGTTGCTGTCCGTCCCCGCGCCATGATGCTGTGCGGTGCTGCGCTGTGCGTTACGCGCCGTCCGGTAGATGCCCACTGCAAGACGGAAGAAGACCCGCACGTCAGATCAGAGGCCAGAAAAGAGGCTAATAGGCCAAGGCCGACGTCGAGCAGGCGAACGAGGACGAGGACGAGGGTGTGCAACCTAGCAGTGCTTGGTTGCCATGCCCTGGCGGCCGCTTCGCTCCCCCTCCTTTCCCACGTGCGGGCTTCTGCACTGGCGACGACGACGACGCCGACGCCGCCCCAAGCGACGTTTTCCTGCTTGCCTGTTCGCTTGGGTGGTAGTGCAGGCAGCAACGACAGGGAGGGCCTTGTTTGCATGAACGATGGTCCTTCCGCACAGCAGACGACCCTGCTCGGTTCGTTTGTACGGTGCGGTGCGGCGCGGCACCGTCACGGGGCGCCGGCCCCCGTGGCCCCATCCGCCTGCCTCATCTTAGGCCGGCCTCGTCATGATTCTCCCAGCCACGCCGTAGCTGAGACATGGGCTACTGCACGTCGCCCCAGTAGGCCGCCCGCCGGAGAGGGCAGATGGCGCGTTGTTGCGGTGCGGCCACTTTTTTTGACGCTCGCCACCATCGCAGCAGCAGCAGCAGCAGCGACAATAGGCGCACAGCAGAAGCGCCCGCCGCGAGTTGGTTTGGCTTCATGCTCTCCGGATTCGTTTGCCGTGCTGTGCGTCTGCACTCACACGCAACTTGGCTCCCGCGCCCAGAGCAAGGCTCAACAACGAGCATGGCGGTGTGGTGTGGTGTGGTGCTGAACCGGGATGATGTGCGAACAGAGAGATCTCCAGACCAGTTAGGCCTCTGCGGGCGCTCGTCCTTGGCCTCGAGAGCGGTCGTCGTGGTCCGGCTGATTAGGTCCGCTCGCTACGAGGCTTCCTGCGGGACGCTGCCACCTCTGCTCCTGGTGCGCTAACCGCCCAAGCTATACCCCACTCGGCTTCGCCCTTGCTCTACGTCCCGAGGGTGGGAAAGGCGATTCGAATCGAGCGGGGCGAGGTCCTTTGGCGGCGTGTGATTGCGTTCCCCTCTGGCGGACGATTGCTGTGCTACAGTGTGGCTGATCGAATCGCGGGGCAAGCAAGCCAAGTCGGACCGCCGACGCCGCTGCCGACGCCGCTGAGCCGTCGAGGCTGCGGCCCCCCCTGAGCTCAGCATGAACCAATTGTCCCTCTGACTGAAATCCACCAACCCGCCAGCCAGCCCGCCAGACGAGCCAGACGAGCGCTCGGATAGCAGACCGGCGGGTTCCGGTGTCGCAGCCTGGCGTGCATCCATAGCAGCTCGAAACCCCCTTTTCGGGTTCGGAGTGGTGAATCAAGGTCGCCGGCCACGCCCCGTCGTCGTCGTCGTCACCTGAACGCGCCTCTGCCATGGCCCACAGGGCGCAATACAGTGAGTGGGCTGACAGCCCTCATGCCTGGCGAGATCTGCTCGCCTTCATTGTCGGGTTGCGGCAGACGGAGCATTACAGCCCAGGCCAGCAGTGTCACCCTCGATCTCTCTCCCTCACCCTCTCTCGCCACCTAGCCTGTAGCTGCACCGCAGATGGCGGGACCCGCTCCTGTTCCGGTCTCGGCGGTGCGTCGGAAAACGGCAACATCGGAGGTTACTCTGCTGAGTACGTCAGTGTCCCCAAGGTGCACCCAGGCAGAGAGAGGGCAGCCGCAAACGGCGACGACCAACACGACCAACGCTGCCAGTCTGAGAGCACGACCAGGCGGCCCCACGACGACCACGCACAGCAGACGGCACCGGGCCAGTAGAGAACACACGAAGGCGGGCAAGAACCGGCATTCTCGCCACGGACGACCCAGCAGTACCAGTACCAGGTGCACCTGCTGCCGTATGTGCCTCGACCCTACCTGACCCGACGTAGGCTGCCTGGCTCGCCGCTGCAACGGCACCCACCTCCCAGGCCGCACCTCGAGCTACGGCAACATCCCGACCGCGGCCCGCTCTGGTGCTGTCCTGGCCTATCCTGTCCTTCCATGCACTCCGCCGTTGTCGATCCCTCGCTGCCCCCGCCGTCCCTCGACTACCCCACCCCCCCCCCCGCTCCNCNCNCNCNCNCCNCNCNCG